AAAATGAGTAACACATTTGTGTCAGAATGAGTGGAAACGAGCAGTAATCTTTTTGAAAATTTTATTTAACTCATTATTTGTATTTGCACAATATTTTGGACATTTTGAGACTAATATTTTGCTTGTGTATTTTATTATTTTATTTGAAACCTTTGGCACAAATTAACCAGCAGAACAAGCCTTCACTGCGAAGATGCTGTCCACACAGCTCTGAAAACATCTTATCTGTGTCACATTAGGGCAAAAAATTTGATTTGTCCCACTTCAGCCTGGTAATGTTAAAGTAGCCTAACATATACCATTGCTATGTTAAAAATGTAAGCGCTCATAAGCAGCATTTACATATTAGCTATGTTTGTAAAATGAAACTCCATAATTTGTGTTATTTTTTTTTTATTATTTGGAGCACTCACACCATTGCTAGCTAAATCATCATGCTTTAATCTAGTTCCAGTAGTTCCAGATGTGCTCAGTTTAGGCTACTAGCATAATTGGCTATATTAGTGATTAGAAATTAACACTATTTTTTTTACCTGCACATAACATAATACAACCAGCATGAGAAAGTTCAATGGTAACTAGCAAATTGATGGTATAATATCACGTAGCTAACATTATTAGGAAATCAGCTGGTACATCTGGCTGTATTTTGTCTCATTAACTGAACGAGTAGCTACCTTTTCCATTAGCTGGGTATATAATGTATATAATGTATGTCTAATGTGTGCTTTCAGTAGTTAGTGAGGACAGAAACAAGCAGAGCGAGAGAGAGGTAAATGAAATAAAATCAATTTGAAACTATCACTTGATTTAGTGTAGGTTTCTAAATGTATTTTCAGGTGAAAAATAAATAAATAGATAAATGATTAATTAAATAAACAAACAGGGTGACTGGAGTCAAATCGGTTTATGGAACAATAACAGCAGTTTATGGAACAATAGAGGGATGAGAATAGAACTAATGAAAGGAAAAGTTGTATAACAGATATGGATAGGTAAAAAAAGGAACAATGATGATCCAAAGGAGAAACTGTGGGATGTAGACTAAAATCCTGAACCTAGTAATGGCCCTGGATGTGAGCTGGGAGAAAATGAGCTGTTAGACAGAGAAAAGCTTCGCTTGTGTATGGCGTGGCTGAGCGGTGAACACTACAACAAAATTTTTTAAACATATTTTCTTTATTTGATAAAGGAAGTAAGAAATATCAAATATAAATAATGAATTATTTCATTGAATTACTGCAGAAACAACAGAAGCTTATACACATGCCCCTTAACATGTAGGAGTATAGCAGTGGTCAGGTGATTTTGAAACTGGAAGGAAATACCAGGTGGCAGGAGTTAAAAAAAAACACTCTTCATCATCTCCACCCACAACATTAAATGAAGGATCAACAAAAAATATTAAACTCAGGAAACTGACAAATAACTAGTGAAACAATATAGAAATCATAATCAGCTTCTGGATGAGTAATGTCCATTCCAAAATATGTTTGTCGCAAACAACTAATCATTCCTTTGTTCTTTCTGCTAGAACTTTTTATATAATATTAGTTTTTATATAATATTAGTTTACTTTTCCTTTTCTTCCTGTCCTGTTAGTCTTCCAGAACACTTTATTTTTTACAGCTGTTTGCCACCTATATGACCTAAATACCATAAAATGTTCCTCAAGCAAATTTGTTTTCCAAAAATATAGATTGTATGCACTGTCCAGTGTTTATTCGAGGCAGCTTTTAGAGGGGAATTCCCACCCCACCAAGTTTACAAAATCCCTGCATAATTAAACCATTAAGATGTAAACTAAGTCATTCAAGCATGGTTTGATGTGAAATGCTACGTTGGGAACTAGACATCTGAAGAGTTTAATGCCACTAAAAGCTCCCTTAGAGAGAAAATTATGACAGGAAATGGTTAAATACACAACTTAATGTGTGAACCATTGTTTCACAATAGTTTAATATACCACTGGTTGCTGTCAGCACCACTGTAAAGAAATCTGAGTCTGTAAGTTTCTCTACAATGAATTATTTTACATCAAACCACTCTGAATGACTTCTCAGTGATTGAATTATGCAGAAATTTGGGGAAAAAAATAAATAACAAAACAGGGGACTTATCCTTTAAGGCATCATCATCCCACAAAATAATTTTCAGTCAACATTTTGTAATCCAATTTATCAGTGTTTGCTCATTAGTCTCACAGAACTGTTGAAGAAGCACTTTCTAAGTTAACTAACCCTAATGAATACATGCATTTCTACCACATTGATGCTGTTCACTGCAATCATCTGCAAGGTTAATTCACAGAGTGCAAGTATGTGATCGCATGGAGGAGTATTTCTGATTTCAGAGACTTAAGTTAAAAGAGACTGTGATACCTGCTGGGTTCAAAACCTTGCAAAACTAAAAAATAGTGTACAGAAGGTTTTCAGAAGGACCATAGAGGAAAGTGAGGTGTTCTGAAGAGAAGAAGAAAGGCAAGGAGGGTGTGTTGTCTGAGGACTATTTATTATAAACAGTGTCTGGAGAGCTCTTTTGAGCCAAGAACACTCTTAAGTCATTTTCACTCCCAGCATGTAGGCTCATCCTCGCTGGGCTCTCAGAATTAAGTGCTCCAATATCACCACGTCATAGAGCTTGATATGGTACACAGAAAAGAATAGTCTCATATTACTTTTCTATGTGTATGAATAGGCTAGCCTAAACATTTTATGGATCTTGTTTGGATCCTGGAATTTCAGGATATTTTATTCATGTTGGATTTAATATTTATATTTGGTTATATAACATCCTGAGCCTTTAAGCTTCTATGTCAAGCTCTCTTGTTTAAATCTCTACTATAAACACATACTGTATAAGAGATCCAGGGCTGTCTCTTGAGCAGTTCAGTGGTATCCAGGGTTTTGCATTTTTGGGAAAGAACTATTTTGTGAAATGAAATGTTTTAGGTTGAAAATGCAAAGAGCACATGGCAACCCTTTCTTCCTCCTTGTCTATGATAATCTTTACTAGATTTGAATCTGTTTGAAAATCAAAAACAAGACTTAATTAGTTTATTTCTAACAGACAAATATGTCATTAAAACATGCACACTCTGCTGAAAAAACAGCACGACCAGTATACCAGCATCAAAACAACAAATGCTGGTTTTGGTGGTGATCAACATATTAACTACCATTGCTGCTGACCAGCATACCAGCATCCAAAACACAACGTGCTGTTTTTTCTAGCAGCACATTCAAATAGGGCTAACATATGAGCAGCTATTGTTGAATTAACAGGGTTCATTTGGGTCCAGCTGGACTTAAAGGCACAGTATACATTTTCAATCCAATACACTTTTTGTCAAATTCAGTGAATATTTCCTCATGGTCCCTTAGCTGACCTGCTATAGTGACTTGACTAAGGAATGACAAAAAGACTTTTTGGACACTACATCATTGACAGTATATACACTTATCATCAAAAAAAATAGTTGCACCCAGAAGTCAGATTGCAGTGCTATTTGGAAGGAAGGCAAAGGTTACCAGGAACAATAAATGATAAAAATTCAGACTGATAAGGGCAATATGTATTGAGCTACACATACAGTGGTACAAGTAGTGTCTCTCAGTATGGCGTCGGGCCAGATGTCTCAGCATGAGTTGCTGAGGTTCCTAATGGTGACCTGTGATAATCCATCCCATGCAGCTTTAATATTCTCACATAGTTCCTAGAGATTTTGTGGTAGGAGTGGAGTGTTGATAGCGTGTCCAATAGCATCCCACACATTTTCAATCGGGGATAGGTCTGGCGATGCAGCTGGCCATGTCATAGTATCTGTGTGTTCAAGGCAAGCTTTTGAGATGGCAGCAGTATGTGGACAAGCATTGTCCTGTTGGAATAGCACATTAGAGTGTGTTCAGAAAAGGTAGGGCCACTGGTTGCAGGACCTCATTAACGTCACATTGGGCTATCAAAGTGCCTGTAACAAAGACCAAAGGTGATATAGCATCATACAAAATTGCACCCCACACCATGACACCAGGCCTTCTGAACGTGTGATGTGCAACAACAAACCGTTCATCTTGGTGCTGACCACGGTGCCTCCACACACCGATTCGTTGGTCGTCTCCACCAAGACAAAAGTGGGACTCGTCACTGAAGATGACCCGCTGCCATTCTGAGTTACTCCATGACAGTCTGGCACGACACCATTGCAGTCTTTGGCAAAGTTGACGTGGTGTTAAGGGAAGTCATCATAACGGCCTGTGTGCATGTAGTCCTGCATCATGCAGCTGTCTGCCAATGGTGCTTGCACCAACAGGATGACTCATGGATGGCATCACTGCTCGCTGAATGTCCGCAATTGTGGCTGTTGGGTCACTCCGTGCATGTCAGACAATTGGTCAGTTCTCCTTCTCCGTGTTCATGGTTCATGTAGGTCTCCCAGATCCTGTTGCTGGTGCATGCCTTCCTCAATCCACTGCCACCAACACCATGCTATTGTAATATCTGCATGACGCACAATATGTTGATAAGACCATCCCGCTTCCTGGAGCCCTACTATGCGACCCCTCTTGAACTCTTCTCCAAAGCATACTTCGCTTGCAAAAGATGCTACCAACACAACAGCACGAGTCAGAATGGAAAGCATGCGCAACGGGACGACATTATATAGTCAGTCAGGTACAGCGATAATGCCTATCCTTGATTACGTTACATGCGTGGCCGAGCATGAAACTTGAATCATTTGCATGTCTCGCAATGTCAAACCTACCCACCAATTTTTTATTCTTGCCGGTTGATTCCTTCTGGGTGCATCTATTTTTTTGACGATGATTGTAATATTCCCACCCGCTCATGCATGTTGATGTAATCAACAATCACATGACATAAGTGGGTGAAAGTCATTACACTTCAAAGATTCTTCAAAGAAAAAGAGAAAAGAATGTTGTCTTTTAAATGGTATATGATAAATCGTGCATTACATGGCAAGGCACATGAAAAAACAAAAGTATAATAGGTGTATTTTTATTGAAGACTTGACAACAGCGCATAACCTTATCTTTCAATTTGCTGATTACCAAATCAGTGTTTTAGAAATCTTCGAGTTCTATTGTCCTCAAATTCTGGACAAAGTCTTTGGGTCATTGCACAACATTTAACTTAAATACCTTATCAAATTTCCCCATAGTTAGTGACATTATTTTGCCCTCAGTAAAAGCTAATGCAGAAAAGACACATTGCCTTTGTCCCATCTCTTTTTGATGAATGCTCTGACCTTGGCTACGATTTCACACAGCTTCAATACAACCATAAAAGTCTCTGAGGAGGCTACTTCAACTGATATACAGTACAACCTTGGGTAGGATTAGGGCCTCCAGCTATTTGCTTTATGATATTCCTGTCTGATTTACATAACCATATTTTTATTTTCTTTCTTTACTTTTTGTGTTACAAACTTATATTCATTGAGTATTATAATCATTAATATGTGCCTGTTTTCAGAAGGGCTTAGTTGTTTCCCATTCCATAATTTTACATTTCTCTTTATATCAAAATTGTGCAGTCATTCAGAAGACATTAGTCTAGCATTAGTTTACTTCTTCTGCTGAGTCATCCAACAAATGCTCCATCACTAGCTGAATACACTAATGACCAAAAGTATTACACGATTTGTATTTTACCTTCAGCTGCTGTCCTTCAAAGAATACACCCTCTTATACAGCGACTCTAAAGGTTAGCAAAGGCAAAAATAGTCAAATCTGAAAACAAAGCACTGTTATTAGCTTAGTGCTAACTCATGATGATGGCAATAACCATATGATTTTGTAGGCGACTGAGAGAAAATTATTTAATAAATGACTCAATAAATATTTTTTATTCCTTTCCAAGCAATTAGCAGCAAATCATTGCAGCAATTCATTTTCTTAAAAATTGGAAATGCAGTCTCTATAAAAATCAGTATTTCTGTACTACCAGCTGACAACCCAAATCAAATGAATAAAGATGTGAACCCAGGCCCTCTGGCGAATGCTACCAACTGCTTCTGGTACATTATTTCAAGGCCTCAAACAATTTATACCTGAAGGAATTAAAAGACTGTGACGTCACGCTCTCCTGATGCTTTTCTTAGTATGACTACAGTGGCACCTAGTGGAGGTCTGCAACCACAGCAAAAAGCTACATGTTAAAAAACAGACATTTGGTTTCACTGACAAGGCTTCTAAGTCAATGATTAAGAATTCATTATCCAAGTTACAGGGCAGTACAGGCCCAATGTCATTAGTGATATGCACAAAGGCAAGCATTTCGGTCCTTTGGTTCTGAGGAATGAATCACATGAACTCTGTAGTTGGTCTGGATATGCAGTTTGTGAGTCAGATCTGTTAGAGCTGAATTGGGGCTCAAATTGGGGGGATCTAAAACCACTAAGCGCTTAAGATGGGACATCTGTGCAAGCTGAAGAAACTCTGTCTCAGGAACATTGTGGTGTCTAAAAGAACAAAAGCATAAAAAGATTCAGCAATTATATAACATATAAGACAGCTTTGAATTGTATTAGCTATGACTGAAGATGAAGCTCTGACCTCATTTTCAGGCTCTGTAGCTTAGGGAAAAGCTGAGGAACCTCAGCAATAAAGCTGTGCCTTTCATGGCAGCACAGGTCTAAGTGAAGGCACAAGAGATCAGGCACCTGTTGCGCCATTTCCCTCAAGGACTTCAGCTCCCCCACCACTCCTTTAAGCGACAAGCTCTGCACTGTTCCAGGCACCAGGTTAGCATAGGCACCAAGCTGATACCCCACTGGAAAACACAAACAAGCTTGTACTTGTAAAAGAAATGCAAAAGAAATATTAGGTTGCAAAACAAGATGTAAAACAGATGTAACAGGTGAGCACATTTTCCCCTCTAATGGTACTTTCTGGAGTAAAATGAAATCATAGTACATTTACTCTTACTTGAGTTCCTTTATAATGAAATAGTTACTACAGTACCAATTTTTAACATTACAGAATATAAATAAATTAGGGGTGTATCACTCATAAACCAATTAGAAGAAAACATGGTTAAATTTAAAAGATTCAACTCCAGCCTGAGGGATCAAATGCCTAGCTAGCTAATCCTAGCTAAACAGGTACAGTGTTTTCTGTTTTATTCTTACTTTTATTATGTATCTATTTATTAAACTTAAAATCTGTTGTGTATATTTTATGGCAAGCACCTGTCAGCTAGCTACTTTAGTTAACTGGTGTCACCCCATACTTTTATAGTTTACCCACTTAAAATATGACCTAATTTTAGTTGCTGTTTTGGAGATAAACGGCCATGTACAGCTGTGATACAGGAAATCTAGTTTAATGCAGATATTCCCCATAAATTCTAGACAATAATTCCATTGGACTGTCATTTTTGAGCTTAAAGGCCTGATCTGATCAGACTGTGGGAAGTGTGAAGCCCTTTTGTCATGTGCACGCTGTACACAGACTAAACAGAGCTTGCCTCACATTAATACACCAGGGCACAGCCAACTCTGGTAACTCTGCACAGTCTTTCAGGGATCCTAAACTACTTTGTTGAAAACAGATAAACTAGGAAGTCATATAGAGTCAACTAACTGTGAAATTCATGTAGTTTAATGTAAACCTTGTTCCTTGCGCAGTTCACAGAATGATATATAAATGTGCCCTAGCAGAGCGTACTGTGATTAGTCTCAGGACTTTTATCTCATACTTATAACTTATGACTGTGTAGATTTGCTTACTGTTGAAGAATACTGGAATGGTTATTCCAGTTTGAGTATATTTTCTCTTAACCCATATGTAGTTGATCAGCTGAGACATGTTTGGTGAAATTTAGAGGCTATACTCACTGTATGCTTTATTTGGTACACCTTCTTTGTAGCTACACTCATTGTCCATTTTATCAGTCCCAATTACCATCCAGGTACACATGTAAAACAGACGGTTCTTCAAGGGTTCTTTAGTGAAGGCAATGGTTCTATTTTGAACCATGAGTTTTATATGGTTCTGGAGTTGCATGGTGAATTGGATCTTCAGATTGATGGGGCATGTGTCGTATATGGTTCTATTTAAAACCTTTTTGAAAATGGTTCTATACAGCACCGCAAAGGGTTCTTCTACTGTTACAAGCTTGACATTGTAACAACAGAATAACGCTTTTTTGGTACTATTGTATCTAATGTTATAAATACAAGGTAGGTGTATCTAATAGAGGGGACAATAAGTTTTTAAAAACTCCAGCAACACCGCTGTGTCTGATCCACTTGCAGCAGTGCAACACACACTAAGGCCCGAAACACACTTTACGCAAGGACGCGAATGCGAATGATAGCGCTCAGCCAACACACTGCAAACGCTCGGCCCTTCTGTACAAACTCACCGCACGTTCTTACGTTGCTGTGGAGGTTAAAACACTCAGTACTGAAGGGGACGATAGAGTACAAATCAGAGAGGGATCTACTGTTATTCCAATAGCCTCAACAGCTAAACGTGGACAGTAGAGGAGCGTGAGCTGCTTTACGTCTTTTCTTGGATTGGAAATGTGTAAATTAATCACATTTTTATGCCATCTTTGCGTGAGACTCAACTGCTCGTCTGCTATGGCAGTTGAGAAAGCACGCTGGAGGCTCAAGACCGTGTGGTCAGGCTTGGCTGTTGTTTTAGCGCCCTTTGCTGTAACACTCAGAATGCAGCTCGCGCTTGCGGCGCGTTATGAAATGCATCTTGACACATTATTTAACGCAACTACGCGTGAAACCCCGCCTGCGTAGCTCGAAGCTGCGAAGCTGCGTTCGTGTCCTTGCATGAAGCAGTGCTGGGAGCAATCCACCACCCAAATAATACCTGCTCTGTGGCGGTCCCGTAAGGGTCCTGAACATCGAACAGGTTGAAGAGGGGCTAACAAATTACGCAGAGAAAAAGACAGACTACAGCCTGTAACTGCAGCACTACAAAGTGCACCTATATGGTACGTGGACCTGATAAAATGGACAGTGAGTGCTTGTCACCCCAAAAGATTTTGACTTCTATTACTTGTTAGCTAAAATAGACTCACAGCTCCAGTACAAAACTACACTGAAGACACCAAATATCTTTGCTAACTGACTACATCTGGGGTTTGGGAAAAATTGTCTTATTTAACAAATATGCTGTGTTTTACAGGGCTGTGTAATTTGAGCCTTTCATGCAGAAATCCTGCTAATTCCAAAGGATCTCAAACATTTTTTTTTTCTCACAAGTGTATGTACAACACATACATGCTTGTGTCTGTTATCCTAATACTCACAAGAAATGCTGAGCTCTAAGAGGAGTGGCAGCATTGACAGCCATGTTTTGAGGTGACACAGGCTTGAATCTAGAGCCCAGCCTCTATACTGCACAGTCAAACTTTTGAGGGAGGGTAGGCCTTGCAGGGCTACTGGAGAGAGCATGGGGTCCATGTAGTTCAGCAGCTCCAGACTGGTCAGGCCTAGAGCTCCACACACTGGCACACCTGTGGTCAGAATCATATAAAATATTATCAGGTATTATAAATGCCATAACCATTGCTGAATGAAATGTTTCTAAAGCCCTATTTGAGCTGGATTAGCTTTACCTGGGGCATGCTGGATTTTGAGCGATTATCGAGTTCTGTCATTTTAATCCAGCACAAATTTTCTATGTCCATAGTTTTTATAAGTATCTGGACTGAATGACCTCCTTTAATTTGCCAATCTCAGAGCTCCCACAGTAATAGAAGTCCTGCTCGAATCGACATCTCAGCAATGTGATAACAACACTGGGTAATAGAAAACAACGCCTCCCTACCTGAAAACAAACGTGTTGCCAAAGGGCCTCATTCACCAACCGTTCTTAAAAATTTCTTCTTAAAACCCACTTATGCAGTTTTCACAAAGATTCTGACGTTTACTAGTAATTTCTTATTTGGAATTTGTTCTGAGGTAAGAACAGATTCTACACACATTCAAGAGCATGAAGATGCTATCAGTTATGCAGAATGTGATGTAGACTTTTTCACAGGACATTTCTCAAGAACAAATTTATGAAAAAACCAATGATATTGGTAAACGAAGCTCATTGTTCGGACGTGTGGTGCCTGTCGCATTATGCTGATGTAAATGCGATGATGTTTCGATTCGGGCTAACTGGGGAAATTACAGATACCCTTTATCCTGAACCAGTCGGCCTGTCAAATCACGCACAAATGACATCACCGGACCTCCTCTGGAAAAACGAATCCAGCTCGAATAGGGCTCGACTCTTACTTACCAGACAATTGGTTTGCTTTAGCAGGACAGAAGTAATCACTGGGCAGAGGGCTTTGGTTTGCTCCCATTTTTAAAGACAAATGTTTTAAGTTTGGTAGGCACCGCAAGATTTTGTGAAGAGCTGCCTTAGGAATAGGTTTATTGCTTTCATGGTAGTGAAGAGATCTGAGGTTACTGAGCTGGGAAACAGCATTAATAAGGTCCGTTCTGGGGGCGCAAACGACCTCACATAAACCGATATGTGTCAACTGGAGCAGTGATGGCAATGAAGCTGCGAGGCTCGGACAGCGGCACTGGCGAATTTCAAGCCTCTTTAGCTTATTTAAACGACTCAGTGTCCTAAGCGCTTCGGGATCACCACACACCTGTATAGTAAGTGAGGCTAGCCAGGGTAAGCGGCACACTAGCTCCGTGCACTCCCTCACACCGCTTGCCTTTAACACCACTACCGAGCTGGTCTTCCTCTTGCCGAGAGTCCTCCAAAAATGAGACTTATATGAAGTTATTTTTTCTAGGTACACCGTGCTGTTCCTCCACAAGCCAGGCCGGTCTATCAATCTCTTAAAGAACTTGCAGCTCGAACGAACGCTGAGCTTGTCAGGAAGCGAGAGGAACTCAAACACATGGTACCACACTTCCTCCGGTAGCCCAATGACTGCCATGGTTTTCTCCAGCTCACTGTCCGTAGGTAGCTAGCTAAACATGCCAGCCTCTTCATGTGCAATATTTCCAAATGAGTTTGAAACTATATTTAATTTGCCTTCAAAGAATTTGCTGACAACACAAACAAATATGTACAGACACACACACACCTCGCCAACAGTCATGTCCGGCTCGTAAACGATTCGTTCTTTTGAACCGGTTCTTTTCGATGAATCCGTCCAAACGACTCACATGTCCAACTACATTGAACTTTTTGTAACGTGTAAGTTTACATATGTGGTATAAGATAAGTTAATGAAGTTCGAATAACATTTTTGGAATTGAATATGAGCCTCATAAAATACTATGCTGTGCACATTTAAAGGACCCATCCCTTTTTCTTGAATTTACATTTTTTGTCTGAGATCGACTAATAACTTTTTGTGGATTAATGTACCAAAATATAATGTTACATAATCCCATTCAGTCTTCTCTGGGTCCCTTAAATTATGCCTTTAAGCCCGTTATATGTAAATAACATCTGCTCTGATTGGCTATCCTGTGTTGTGCCTCACTCAAAAAGTAGTGCAGGCTGAAATACTCTTTATAACTTTACCGTAAACTGCTGTAGGCAAAATAGGCAGATATGTAAATTTGTTGTTTTTCCTAACATCATAAAAACTATATAAAATAGGCTGGTTTTGCACCTTATTTTCTCTGCACGGACCGTATAGACTGTAGCGTGAAAAGTATATTTTAAGCTTTAACAATATTTAAACACCGCATCAAATTATTTTCAATAAAGTCTGGAAAATTGATGTCCATGATATGAGTCCATGATATTAGCCCTTTAAGAACTTCTTTGAGTCGGTAGAATCGGACATTCACTTCATTAAAACACATGTTTTAATGAATCGGTTCAGTAAAATTGAATTGTGAAAACATTTCTCCTTCCTCAGCAGCGGAAATGACGCCATCAGTACGTGGTGGAAAATTCAAAAGACGCGCACTCCGTGAAATTACCGAATCGAGTGTGGAGCCGCTACTATTCGGAAGAAATTCGTGTCAGTTTTATTAAATCATTAACAAATGTTTCCCAGACGCTTGTTTTACAGTATAGTGGTAACATATATCCCAACTGGATTTGTTTATTTGTAGTAAGCGTCCGTTAGGCTGACGGGGTAAGTTTACTGTGTGGATGTTGTTATCCAGGTGGCTGACGACGTTAACTGTTAAATTTAAGTCTGCAAATAGACGAGATTCCAGTTAGTTTTTGTTCATTTTTCTGCTTCGTTGTATTGTGATAATGTGATCGACTCTTTGTTCTCGAGTGACAACATATAACTAGCTAAGTTAATGTTAACGTTAGGCAGCTAGGTTAGCTAGTTATATGGCTTCCAGCGTCTAATGTTAGTGCAGAACGGTTTGCGCAAGCACAAAGTAGCTAGGATTTAAACAGCTGAATTAACTATTGTGGTTATGTCTCATTTATATAGTTTATATTGTTCTGAATAGAGTTTGTCCTGTTTCTTTTCAGCACAGATGACCTTAGTGTGGCGGGTATTCCCGGTAAATATGACTGCTAACGTTAGCTAATGTAAGCTAATCTAGCTAGCTATTTTCCCCGTAGCATTGTTAGCATAACCTAATCATAGAATACAGCCAGGCCTACAAGTTCAGTTAGCTAACGTTACTTGAGGTAACAAGATACCACGTCGGTTATTGCCGAATGTAACCCTAGATAGGTTAACTAGTGAGTTTGTTAAATTAACTAGCTGAGTTTCATTAGCTTAGATGTGTAAATAGCTCAACTTAATTTTACAGTTGCTTATTTGTGTATTTAGTTTTCAAGCTTCTATCTTTATACTCAAATTGTGAATCTGTATCAAGAGTTCTCCAGTTCGACAGTTCTCCATCGCCATTCTCTCACTACAGTACCCAGCATGCATAACGCCAATACATCACAAAACCGGTGCGAATCCCTACGATACTCAAATCCTAACTGCTAGCTCCTGATCTAGAGGCTAAATGTCTCTGTCGAGCAAACCAGCATTAGTTACGTCGCATTTGGTTCGGTTTTGTTAAGGGGATAATTCATATAAAGAATTAGCGATCTAGAAAAAAGAGTTAGGTAGGCGTGTTCTGAACAGATGTAGCAATGGTTAAATAAATATTTTCATTTTGTCCAGACTGTCCCTTTAACTGAACTGTTGAACTATAACTGATTACGGAATCCAGGATCAGATACTGGAATCGTGAAAAAAATACCCCTTAATTCTGCCTTTTCTGTTCTCAAACTCTTGGCAGGACAGGTGAATTATAGAACTCTGAATGATTGGTTCTGGCCACTTTACATCCAAGTAGATGTATCATTCACCAGCGGAAGTTTATCACGGCTCTCCTGTCCGACAGTCTGCAAGGACGGGCCACGATCATGTTGTGGCCCCAACATCAGAAATCACTGTTCTAACAGACAGAAGAATTGGACCTCGGACTACCTTGGTACTGAACTCGACAGTGCAGCATGCAGTGGAGTCTGGGCCACACATTACATGCGAGCTGAGCAGCATCAACGCTACAGTGGCAGAGCACCAACTTTCTAAGCACCAAGCAGCATCTGTTCCTGCACCCAGACTGCTCACTGACACACCAGCCAAAGTGTTTGCCAGGCTAAAGGCAAAGGTTCAACGGCAGAACCTCAAGGAGTGCAAGGAAGATGCGCTAAACGCGCAGATGGACAAAAACGGCTTATTCCACCTGAAGATGCAGCAGTCACAGGCTGAAGATACTGTCCAGGAAGGCCAAGAAACTTATGTGCTCACACTTTCACCTCCTAAGTCCCAGAAGATGACTTGGCAAGTAGGAGAAACGCCACCAACTGCCGATCTTACCACAAATGTGGATGGAGATCGAGAAGGGAAAAGTGATGCTTATTCATTTTTTGGTTAGTTAAGTGTCATTCCCTTTGTCTAATATGTCCATTAGAGAAGGCTTCAAGCCTGATGATTGTTCTTTTTTTAATAACCACACAGGTTGTGATTAATTTGTCATTTCTATGTGTTTTTTTATGTTTATTTATTTTAAATGTGTGTGTGTGTGTGTGTGTGTGTGTGTGTGTGTGTGTGTGTGTCTATTTATTTATTTTGGGTTTTCATCAGAGCCAGTTGTTCTGCTGGAGAGGATGCCTGCTGAGGAGGTATTCACACAAATGAAAGCACGGCAAAAGATGGAGATGAATAACGTTAAGAGTTCCAAGGATCTAAACAGAGGTATATGTATGATCATTATGACTGTTCTCATGTAATAAGCATTGGAAGGACAGTGAGGTAAGGGAATGTGTGCATGTTGTAAGTGTTTTTTAGTTTCAGCTCTGCATGCTGTATCATTTAGCATGATACTCTATTAGCTCATGAATACTGGTTAACTGCTGGATTTAAGCTTATATAAGTTTTACATAATAATCAGACATGGTTAAATACATCTATGTGCAAAGCCATGTATGTATTAAGATGCTTTTTAGAGCTCACTTATTTCAAAGCTTCTGCTTAGATATGCATAGCACTGTTGCATTGCTTAGCATTGTGTAGTACAGTAAGAGTCTGAGAAATCCAAAGATGTTCAACGTAAAACTCCCGATTCTAGAATTAAAGAAACAAATTTCTTGCATTTATTCTTCTTTTGGTTTAGCCAGTTGAATAGTGGACTGATCAAAATAATTTCAGTAAATAATTGCTCAGTGTGTTCCATAAAGCATAATTTGCTGTTTCTTCCTCCATCGCTTGTTGGTATGTATGTTGGATGCACATCTGGAACAATAAGCAGGATGGAGACATTTCAGAATTGGTATAGTCACTGTGCAGCAAGTGCAATTCTTATAGCTGTTATAGCAATTCCTAATTATGTCCTTCCAAACTTGAAACTAAGAAATGCTGGCCGTATTTTGTTGACAAATTGTGGATAATTCATCTGTGTTCTCTAAGCATTTTTTACATATTATTGAATGCATTTTAACTTGGGAAATGATGAAGAGGATATTTAGTTATGAGCCAGTCAGCTTACAGGACGGAGGCACTCACTGTACATTTCAGAATGGTTTGTGTGTTGTCTTTTCAGGTAACAGTGGGCAATTATGTCATTCGCTTTTCTGAGCATATCGTGGATATCGTCAGTACTTAAAGAACACTAGCCACGTTTACATGCAGCCTAATCTGTTAATAATCCAACTAATAGCTCATTCGGCATAGCATACATCCATGTATACGCTTCAGTCGGAATCGTCTGGTCTGATTGAGGCCATTCGGAATACAGGTTCTATCCAATTGAGCGAAGTGGATAATCTTGTAAATAATCCGTTAAGTAGAACAAATAATAGCCATGTAAACGCCTGTATCCCTTTACATTTCCAATCGGAACTTGTAAGTATGTTCTGCACATGTGCGTCATGTCATATCGATACTCACAGTTTTAACTAGAAAATATCATGCTAGTTATTTATTGTCCAGGCTTAATGTAGTGTGTCATGAAAATGTCTTGAAGTATTGTCATATATTTTGCAATATCACCCACTCCTACTTCCAGAATCAACATTTATTCTTAAGTCAAGCCAACATTTGGCTCACTGTTTTGTCTGTATTGTATTGTGTTGTTTTACTGTACTTGCATTTGTGACAGTTTCATACAATTTAAAATGTGTAGAAATCATCAGTAAGTAATGCTTACTGCATTTTCTAGAGCCTTATGTTTTGCTGGAGTGCATGTCTTCCAAAGAGTTATCCGCTCCGATGGGACAGTTGAAGCAGCTGCAAATTATGAATCGTGTTTGCAAATCACAGCGTGTCAGAAACAAGGGTAATTTATTTGAAAGAAATGCATTATTGTTTGGATAAAGCATGAAAACTAAATTAGTCCATCAACATCATCAGTTATGCTTCTCAATCTTGCTGAATTGTAGGCTGTCGAGGCGTATTTGGTGATATGAGTTTTAAAGATGATCTAGAAGATGAAACTGAGGAGGACGAAAGTGATACAGTGGATGATGGGTGTGCCCAAGTTCTGTGCCACACCAGCCAGACAGAGCCACAAAGACCCGAACATGCAGCTGGTATCCAAGGAGGACCACCCCCTCAGGCCCTTCCGAGCGTAATGGAAGATTCTCTCCTACAACTTTCTCCTCGCATCCTGATACCTCGAAAGCAAGCTACGGTCTTTAAGTCCAAACAACAGAACGAAACAGAAGGAATGGATAAAGGTCAAGAAGCAAGGAACAGTGTAGTGAGTAATGAATGTTGACCTCTTCTTTGATTGGCATATGGATGACATCTAATCCAGTTTAAAGCAGGCTTGATAGTCAAAGATGGCTCTGGTTGCGATGTAATGCTCAAAATATGAAAGCATTTTATGAAATGCAGTAATGATAATAAGTACCTATTTCCTACTTATTTCATCACAGTGCACAATTCTTTCTCTCTTTCTGAATTTTTAGGTAGAGGGGATTCATTTAAGAGAATGGACCTTGAAGCTGCAACAAAACAAAGATCTTGTTGTTGATGGTGTTCGTTTGTAAGTTAATTAATCTTGTACAAGATATATTTTCACGTATCTCATCCTTAGCAAATAAGGTCCTGCACAGAATGATTATGAAAATGAAACTGCATGCTTATACGTTTGTGTATGAACTTTATAGACTTTAAACAGTTGTTTCTGCTTAACTGCAAATGAATCTGTGAAGGTAAAATTGTGCTTTCCAGCTTTATTTTCCTTAGACTTTGTTTCCATATCTTCTACATAGAGACAACAAGGTACCGTGGCACAGTAGCTGCATCACTGAACGAGTTTCGAGTAATGTGGTTAAAACTGCGTCTGGCAGTACCTATGTTCTTATTGGAAAGATGTCACACTACCACAACTCGCGTAAGTGCAACTGCTATATTAAGTTCTCAGCCTGATTTTATTCTATATCTCGGTGCTTTCTTAATCAAATTTCTTTTTGCAGCTTTTCCTTTGTGGTTTTTGAAGAAGTTTCTTTTTGGGTTTCCGGAAATGTGGAAGGAATACTTGAACACGTTTCTGGCTGACTGGGAAGGGTATGTTCTTTATGAATTTTGTGTTGTCTCTATGTTGTCTTGGTATTTTCTCATGACTGCTTCAGTAATACATAACGTATAATGCATTTCAGGTCTGAAAAAAGTCGAAAGAGGATCAACTCGGCACCTTGTGAACAACCAAAGAAATGGCCCTCAAAAAAACGAATTTCCAAACCTCCAAAGGCTAAGGACCCTGTAACCTGTGAGTATTTTGACTGAAAGAAGGCCAGCTTGGAATGATTATTTTATCCTGTTTATAAGCATTTTTTTTAGTGCAAACTCCATAAAAAAGATAATTGCATTTACATTCTTATCTTGAATACGGAAGAGGATAAATTAAATTAACTGTAAAAATGGACTGATGGATTGTGAATTTATAATTTTTCATGAATTTAATCAAAGATGCTAAAATGATTTCTTTGTTGCAGCTTTTGTTAGTCCTACTGGCAGTGTCCGACCTCATAGTGCAACAGTTTCCCGCAGTGGCCGACTTATCAAGCCTCCTCTGGACTACTGGAGAGGAGGGAGGATAATTGTAGACTCTGATATGAATGTTACTATCCATGAGGATTATGCAGCAACCTCCATTTTGTTAACGGTAGTGAACGATTGTCATTCTAAAATGGTGTTGTTTTGGTTTTTGGGTTGTTTGTTTTAAATTACACTTCACTGATATATTTGAAATTCATACTATTTTTCTAGTATTATAATTTGTATGTTTTTTTTCAGCCTAAAAGAAAACCGGTGGTAATTGCAAAGTCACAGACAAATTCAAAAGACAAGCTAGGTGTGTCCAAAGCTTCAGCTGAAGGTAAGCTTTATGCTCTAAAGTGTCACATCATTTTATAATGTTTTGATATTGAGTCACATAGCATTTTCCTCTTCCCTACAGATTTGCGTGCCAGTGATGAAGATATGTTGGCACCAAAGAGACGTGTCAAACATCGTTCTAAGTGTCAAAAGAGCCTTCAGGGAAACAAAACCTTGAATGGTTCAAAGAAGAGATCCTTGGATGCTGTCTCCAGTTCTGACTCTGGTTCTGACCGTGCAGCAACACAGCCCGCTACTCAGCAGCCACAGCCTGACAAGATATATTTGAGGAGAGGACGGTCCTATTCTAGAGGAAGAAACTCTACTGGCTCAGAATGTGAAGTCGCTGAGGTTAACTCAGGAACATCTGCTGTGGGTTCTGTGCTTGGTCTGCATGCTCGGTCATCACCCGACGATGGTAATTTTGCACTCCAAGGCTCTGAAAACGGACAGCAAACCAGGCTTATAAGGAAGCCTCTCAAGAGAGTAATTAAGAGTGAGCTGCTCTCAGCTCCATTCTCTGACTCTGATGCCAAATCTTGTCGCACACGTTCCAGAGTCCGGAATATTGCGGATTCAAATGACTCATTCAATCCTCCTAATGTTCAAAAAGCACCAAAAGCAGGCCATAAAGGCAAACAGGTTCTGCATAAACCTCCTACTTCGGAGGCAGAGAGTTGTGACTTGCAAATGGAACAAGAAAAAATGAGAAATTTTGAAAAAAGTACTCATAAACGAAGAGTTCCACAGAAATATAAGACTTACATTTTGAATGCAGATGATGTTGACGCTGTCCTTTCAGAACTGGGAAGACAAGACAAAAAAAAGACACCATCTATGACAAGACAGAGAAAAGTTTCAGGAGCTTCTGAAAGGGACACAAATAGACTGACTTCACCAGACAGCACATGTTCAGAGCAGTCAAAGGAGGTGGATGATACTCAATCAATTGTGCCAAATAACTCTGGTAAGAAACAGAAGGCATCAGTGAGGGGCAAAGCAGGAAACGAAAACAATAGGCAAACCGTAAAACAGAGTGAGAGTGAGGAAGATGCGCCAGATGGAAAATGGTCAGAGAAAGAACTTCAAAAACTTAATGAGTAAGTCATTCTGTTGTCTATATTTATAATAATAGATCAGTGCGTGCCTTAAATATAGTACTGTATTGAAAAAGTAAGGCTGTCAGTTTTGTTTATTCAAAGATGCACATAATGCATAAAATTGAGTGCGTGCATGCATGCAACACAGAGCCACTTCCCACTTTTTAATCCACTCTCCAGTGAAACTGAAATAAGCATTTATGATTTAGTGGCTGAGGTGGTCAGACCCTAATGTTGTAACCAAACACCTAAAATGAAGGACTGTATCGGAACATTGAGAAGATCTAATATTTCTTGGAACGTACTTTATAACCCATCATGTGGTTGGAGTTTTTGCTACATGTCAACAACATTATGCTACAAACATGCCTTTATTGTTAAAGATGCTAACAATCTATTATAGCGTAGTGTGTAGATCTGATCATAAACTGATACTGCATGATCTGCTTGTCCTCTACAGCAGTAGTTCTTGCTCCTGGCAACACACAGCACTGCAGTTTCAAGTATTCCTTGACTCACACACACCTGATACAGCTCATCAGCTGATTATCCAGCCATTCATGAGCTGTATCAGGTGTGTTGGGTCAGGAAGTTGTTGAAACAGTGCAGTGCTGGACCAGGATTAAGAAACGCTGGTCTACAGGATTTAGACATCAAAGATTTTATAAATAAACTCATCGGTTAGGTATATAGTGAGTTCAGTGCTGTGAAAAAGTATTTGCCCCTCACCCCATTTCCTCTCTTTTTGCCAGTTTGTCGCATTTGAATGTTTCACATCATTCAATTAATTTTTAAATGATCATTGCATTTACTGAACATTCCTGCATTCACTAGCCACTCCTGGGAAGGTTCCACTGTTCCAGGTTGTCTGCATTTGTTAATAATGGCTCTTGCTGTGGTTCACTGGAGTCCCAGAGCAATGGCTTTGTAAACCTTTCCAGACTTGTAGATTTCAATTACTTTGTTTCGCATCAGTATTTGAATCTCTTTAGAATGTGGCATCATGTGCTGCTTTTTGAGACCTTCTAGCCTGCTTCACATTGCCAGATAAGTTCTATTTAAGTGATGTTTAGATACAACAGGTCTGGCAGTAATCATGTCTTGGTGTGGCTAGTTAAATTGAACCCTGTAGTCAATTACATTTCGTTAACTGGTTGATATAGTAGCTAAGGGGGCAATTAGTTTTTTCCCTATAGAGCCTGGTAAGGCTAAACAGCATTTTTCCTTCAATAAATGAAACTACTTAAAAACATTTTGTTTACTTGGGTGATCTAATATTAAAAGTAAGTCGATGATCTGATACATTAAAAGTGTGACAAATATGCAGAAGTAGAAAAAATAGGGAAGGGGGCAAATACTTTTCCATAGCACTGTACCTCTAAGAAGCCATGGTCACCACAATGACATGTGATGTATAAAGTATTTGTATTGTATCTGAGATGTAATAAGTCACCAAACTTGAAAGTAAATGTGTTTATCTTTCTGTCCAGGGCTGTAAATTCCTTACCCAAGCACAAGCGTGGCTACTGGGTAAATGTTGCATTAGTAGTTGGCACCCGCTCAGCTGAGGAGTGTCAGGAACAGTACACTGCACATTACCAAACTCGTGCAAGACCAAGAAGAAAACAGAAGGAAAAGGCTCCGAAACCACATGAACCAGGTCATTTTTTTGACTAATAATATCATTTGTTGTTGTTTGTTGTTGTTGTTGAATTATTAGTTTTTATTAGTATAAGTACTTGTTAAACAAGAGACTTTTTAATACCCTGTGTGTAACATTGTATATGCTGTTATAAATGTATCTAACTTTGTTTACAGGAAAGGAAACGGCTCAAATCACTGCCAAGGTTGGAACACTAAAGAGAAAGAAACAGATGTGGGAGTTCTTGGATAAGATGCCCAAAGATGATCATGATGATGTCTTTACTGGCTCACCAGTGTGCAGTAAACAAATCAAGGTGAATAGACCATGTTCTCCTGATTTTATTGCCAAGTTCATGTGAAGTTTCAGGGGGGCTAAAAGCATTCATAATGCATTTTTGCCATTTCTTCCTGTGTTATTTAAAAATAAAAAAAGAATAGTTTGCTTTTGTGGTCACTAAATGTGAACGCAGTGTATGACTTTCTAGACATCATTCAATAAATGTCAACAGTTGCTAAATGTTAAACAGTGCTGCAAACTAAGAGAGAGGGCCTGGTTAGCATTAGCTTACCTAGCATAAAAACATGTCTGTCAGAGAACATGTTTGATTCTGGCTAACTAAAGAACAGACAAGTTTAGATAATTAAAATCAGAGCATGAGATCAGCCAACTGTTGTTGAAGGAATTAATTCAGTAGAGCTTCTGCAGCTCTGTGCAAGTTAAAATTCAGGATATACACCTGGAGACAGACACATTAATTTGCCCAATTTGTGCTATTATACACACTATATGCTATTGTTGCTTCATGTTGGTACCATCATCTAGTGGTAACAAATTTCAACTGTTGGCAGGATCTGAATGCCAGGAAGTGTGCTGTTTTGAATTTTTCAGTCTTCCTCAGAAGAGAAACAAATGAGAATAATGGTAACCAGAAATTGAAGTAGCAGGTGTGTTGCTGTGTTACTGCAAGGTGTTAATAAGTAGCAATAAGTAGCAGAGCATACTCTGGCCAGACAGTTTTATATTCAGCCTCCCTTTTGTCAGTCACCTTTGTTACGCTGCTAACACTGATTGTTGATTAATTTTATCTTTATGCTCTTCTGCATGGACTGCATCTAAAGTCTAATAGCAGCATCTAAAGCAGTAAAAAGATGTTTGCTCCTTATGGCTGACCTGCTCTTCTGGCTCTAAACACATCTGATTTTCAGTGCTGGGAGAGTTGTATTTTTATTATTCATGTTTGTTTTTTTGCCCCACTACGGTGATACACCTCACCAGTTAGCATTATGCAAACAGCATGCTGAAATTGCACATACTTGCCTCAAACCACATCAAGTTGTTAAGCAAGTTTGTTTACTTATGTGGTTACTGGAATTTATGTTGTTACCTACAAACATATACAAAAGTACAGCTAGTACAGGCTTCCACATGGCTGCTGCTGCCTCTGCTGTAGTCTGTAATGCTTGACCCTTACTTGGGACTAGCTGAGTTATGTGGTTTATGTGTGGGGGAAGTGGAAAATATGTAAATGGCATGCTGGAAGAAAAACTAACAAGCTTAAGATCAGTTGTAGTGATGTGGCTGTTTTTTGTTTTGATATACATGAATGCAGTTGCCTGTATGGTCTACAAATGGAGATGAGCCAGACTTCAGCCAGCTACAGAATCCGCAGACCCCCAGCTCAAGCGTCTTCTCAACAGTGAAAACTCCTAAATGTCTGCACATTACTCCAGGAATGCTGGGGTCTGTTAATAGGTAGGCTGTCCTACATCATTGCCAAAATCAGTGTTTACCAATAGGCTATAGGGAAGATCACCTAGAGTCTTACGTTTGGTTTAAAAAAAGAGAAAAAAATATGCAGTTTCTGAGTAGAAGGACTTGAATAAAAGTGAAACGCAAGAGGTACAGTTTTGTTTTCTTTACAAATTTAACACAAGTTTAGGATGAAAGGAACATGAATTCACATGACTGTGGTGGGTGAGGAAGGGAAGGGGTGAGTTGTTATTTACTTAATGTTCTTGATGTCTATATGGGATTTATGTCCTTCCTTCGGTAAGAATGTAATATTCTTTACGTGACACGTCAGATACTGAGACTAAACAGGACTAAGTTTAAGGTTAGCTGGCTAAGCAAAAAATCCTGCTTTGTAAGGCAAGACCCTGTATTCTGAGAGTTTTTGGATATATCTCCAATGAAAGTACACAGTTTATGAAAATAATCTTTGAAGTGCTCAGATGTGTTTGTGTGGTGTGTTATTACACAGAGATATGTAACTGACCGCCACGTATTCAATGTTTGGTTTTATTTTGTATGAAGGGTTTGTTTGATCTAGAACACATTCAGCATGCTTAGAGGGGTATGTCTTGGGTTGAAAAAGCTTCTCTTGTTTTTGTTTTAAGGAACAACAATGATAAGTACATGTACCACCTACAGAAGGTGAAAAAACAAGGCAACCATGGCAGAATGGCCAACCCAAAGGTGTGTATGAGAACAAACTGTGTCAAATGTTCTTGGCCTGGCTAAGTTGTCCTGTGACTTTAAAACACAATGTCAAGTATTTCTTGCTGTTTGTTTTGGTTGCGTAGGTTTAATAGTGATATTTTTTTTGTTCTTGAGCAGGACACACCTACTCAATCAGTGAAGAAAACCAAGAAGAGATGTGTTGGTATGTGCACTCTTGCATTACAGAACTGTTATAGGTCAATTCATTCTGTGTCTGTCGCCTCTCAAGCATTGTTATGTGAAGATTAGCCCCAACCTTCAGATTGTCATTTTTTTATCCTTCTTACAGCTGAAGATGATAACTTTGTTGTGTGGAACATGCTGTCTGACAAGGATGTTCCGTCAGCAGGAGGTGATGAGGATGACGAAGAGGATGATTACTTCATGGAAGATTACTAAGTAAATATTGCAGAATTGTTTTAGAGTTATGATGGAACTGATGATTTAAATCTGATTTTGCTTATTTGGAAAAGTGAAAGTTAATTTTTGGAGTCATCATGGTGGCACCTGATATTTGGATTTGTTCTTTAAGTTTAGGCTACTTTTTAAACTTGTGTACAAAAAGAATTTGAACTTAATGTTAATAAATGTTAATAAAAATCGATTAATGTTAATAAAAATAAACAAATTGTCATTGTTTTTTTGTTTGTTTGTTTGTCTCTCTCCCTCAGTGTTTTATCAGTTGTAAACAAATACAAAGAATTGTTTAGGTAAAATGCCCATATAGGTTACAGGTTTTGACTAAGTTTATTCTTTGACTTTCACGCTGTAAAAGTAACAAAATAACCAACAACAAATGACCTTAAGGAGAAAAGTACCAAAAAACATGACAGGCCAAATGTAAACAAACTAAATTATAGAGACGAACAGTGGTTGCTAGTCAAAGTTAGAGCCTAGAGACATTGCCCTAAGGCTTAGGCCCCAGGGCCCAGCACTCCAACATAAGCACAGATTCCCAGTATCTAGGCATCAGGGCTAAGGATCTAGGTCCTATTGCATCAGGTCTAGTCCCTGTTCTCTAGCCTGAGGACATGAGCTTTTGGACAGGCTCTGCCAAAGCTTGGAAATGATATTATAACAAGGGTTTATTCTAAGCTATTTCTCTGGTGTACTTAGTGTCGTTGCTTCTTTTAACATGGAGATGAAAAGGTATTTGTGTTCAAATAACAACCATCACTTCATAACATAACCTGTTCAGGAAGTACTAAAACTAACCAGGCCATTTTTGGTACTGCATTGAGACAAATTACATTCAACTTTCATTCAAATGTTCTGGAATGGAAACTGTAAATGACTAATCAAAAAGTGCCTTACTCTTCAGTGTCCTCTAGACTGACAGGTTTACATTTCATTAAGGTTTCTGAACACTTACAGTGACTCAGTAATACAAAAGAATGGTGATTAGGTGGACTACCATTGAACTTCAGAGCACAAACAGAATACACTTGCAATCACATAGATTTCATGTTGTTAAATGTTTAATTTGTAAGCTGTAGTCATGCTGCAGTTTAATCACTGATTACTACTGTGCCGTATCTTTGTCCCTTTTGAGAAATCAAAGAAGCTTTCCTCCTGACCATGAGTGTACACATCCATTAATTCTCTCTGCCTACTCTTTGTAAAGCCAGTATCTGAGCAAGAGTTTCCTTCTATTTCAAGCAGTGCACCCTAAAAACTATTTAATAATTTTCTTCTAGCAAGTCAACCACTGACACCTCTGCTGTGACTGATGTGTATAGTTGACTTTTTACTGTTTCCTGATGACATTGTTAAACCTATGAGGGGTGGAATTAAGAATATGTCTTGGTTGTTAATGGTATGACGGTGCATTGAATAAAAGTAGAATATACACATTAGAATATATGACAGAATTGCAACTGAAATAAAATGGGGAAAATCCCACTACAGTTTTAGTTCAGTTTGCTTTAGGAAATAAGAGCATTAGCTTGTGTTGCTACTATTGAAGTCCGTATACACCTGTATTTTGCTGCCCCATGATGAGAAAACTGACTTCAACAGATTAAAGTTCTTGTATAGCACAAGCTTAGACTTCAGTATCACCTGTTCCCCATCTTTGCCCAGAACCTTATTAGATTTGACCTCACTTTCCTAGGATGCTCTGCATGGAAAACGTTTTAGGTGAGTGGTGAAGATCCATCAGTTGAAAGGCCTTTGAATAGGTCTGTCATAATTTAAGATAGTAGCTGATCATGGTTACAACAGGCTGTCAACCATGTTGATTTTTTTTCTTTTGTGTGCTCAATATGCAATATTCTGCCATCTGCATTCTTACTGCCTATTATAAAACTATAAAAGCATATAATACATTAGGAGAAATGCTGCATATGAATGAAGCAAGTGACAAATCTCTAGCAAGTTATAAAAAGTGCAAGATACATTTATGAAAATACTGCACATGGATGAATCTGCAATAAGTCACCTCTATCAAGTTATAAATTGCTTAAGCGATGAGAATGTTTAGCAGAGTGCTCATTTATGAAGGAAAATACTCATTCATATGAACAATTGGCCATATCCTAATTTATAGTGTTAAGCAATGTCTCACATAGCCAGTTTTCCAATATGTGGGATTCCTTACCTAGTAGTTCCATGTCTTATGATCCAGCCACATCTCACCCATCATTTGATTACTCATCATTTAAGAAAAAGAAGCCTCATTACATCCAATCCCTTCCACACACAGCAGTTTTTGCCATCTGCCAACTGCCAAGCAGAACTGGAGTCCCTGTCCCACCAGACTCTGGAACAGTCAAGTCTGCCTCCCACAGATTCTCACTTACTGACTGGACAGTGAACCATTTAATTTCCAGACTCACTGTCTGCCTCGCTGTTTCCTCATAACTGTTACCTGTTTACTCATTTTGAACCACACACTTGTGGTATGTCTGTTCTGTGTGATTCTCTTGTTCTTCTTTTGTAGTAGCTCTGTTACTGTTACAAAATAAAAGTCGCACGAGACATTTCTAGACCAAATCACACAATTAAATCTTGATCTGACATTGTAATCTGATGGTGCATTGCTGAGGCCTGAACCACGGGTCCTGATTAGATTCGTCTTTGTTTTTGAAAACAGGTTGGAAAAAGTACAATTTGTGAAGAACTTAAACGATGCATCACTTTCTGGCCGTCAACCAGTTCAACAGGTCTACATATCAGCACTGGGTGATGCTAACAGTGTGATTCAAAATTTGTATAAACTACAAAAGAATCAGCCAGCTTTTTGGTTTTGTAGAGGACGATGAACTTTGGGGGATTCCAGAGGATTCCCCTCACGCACAACTCGAGGAATGAATCTTCTCTGGCAGATTTCCCCCTGGCGGTCATGCTGGAACTGAGAGGCTTTCTTTGCTTGCTGTCTCTCGCCTCTCTCAGTTTGAAACACTTTCACCCTGGACATATGCTGTCTTCATCTGTCGTGTTTGGTGGGATTACGAATGCAAAGAGAATCGCCTTGAATGCAGAAGTTCTGTAGATATCTCGTCCCCCAACAGAAGTGGTAAAATATCTGGCAGGTAACAGACCTTCTCCTTCTGTTGGTGTTTAATTCCCAATAAACAAAACCTCTGACGCTAGCAAGCTAACGCTTAGCATTCCCCATCAGTTCTATGGAACTCGGCTGAGTAACGACAGCTAGCTCTCTCGACACAACATAGCGGGTGTTGAATGTATGGTCAGTGGTAATCGCAAGTGACTTAATATCTAAACATAAACTTATTTAGCTGGCTTATTTAGTGTAATGCTCCACTAGCAGGTATATCTTTTCGTTGAATAAAAGACAGCAACTTTTTTTTTCTTAGCGTGCTAGCTCGCTGCTATGTGGGCGTCTGAGGACATACATAGTGTTATAGTTACACTTGCAAGAAAACACGAACTGTTCTTACTAAATTTGCCATTTTTCCTTCGTTTGCTGGTTCATAAGTAGCGTAAATAGGTTATGCTTTAACTTTTAACTTACTAGCGTAGCTTGTTAATGTCATGCGTTCAATTCTCCAGACAGACGAATTCTTGGTTAAACTGTTTGGTGAAGGAGTGTAGCTAGTAACTTAAGTTGGCTACCAAGTCCAGTGTCTTTACAGTCCCGGGTTCGCATACAAAACTGCTGTAACTATCTGAGCAGCTAACTAGAGTGCTTTCATTTCTCTTGACTGCCTATCATGATGCTGTAATCCTGGTGTTTGTGGAGGGTTGTGTTCTTTCATTCATTCATTCCTAGTGAGTTCTGTGTGCTAGCTAATACAGTAGTGCTGAAGCTGTGGTAGGTTAGTGAGCTTGGCAGACTGCATTATTCATAGCTGCATCAGATAAGTTTACATTTTGATTGCTCAGAAGGCCAATGTTCTAGGTCCCCTTACAAATTGTACTTCATACCTTCATAGGTGGGTCAGGGTTTTGCTTTGTATGCAAAACCAGAGATCAAGAGGATTTTTGAACCCTGAGTATCACTGCAGCTTTATGCCATAGGCAACGTCTTTGACAGCTCAACTTTCTGATGTTTACAGAGAAAACCATTTATGGTAGAAACACAGGTTTGTTTTGCCCATGGTTTCATCTAAGTCAAGATCTACGTATCTCTGCATCACATTCTGCTGGTCTCTTTCAGGGATGATGCACTGAGGACCGGTGCCAGGAGCTTTGACTCGGCAGGTCTGAGGTCAGTTGGCGAGCTGTACAGGGAAGGAGGATGGAGCAGGCCCACAGTCTGCTGCTGAATGAGGATGCCTGTAGCCGTCTGGGAGAACACCAGAGGGCTGAGTTTGTCTTTGAGTGGCTGCGTTTTCTGAAGAAGCTGCTCCCTGTTGCAGACAGGGTGAGTAGGGGACAATCAGGCTTGCCTGGACAATGAGCTTGCTGTTAGACAGAGTTGCAGAGTCTCTCTTTCTCCCTGAAACACCCAGAGACAAGAGAGTACAGCCTGTTTTGTTGTCTGTTTTTCTCTTTCTTCTAGCTTCAGGATCTTCTGCTCTTCACTAAGCCAGTTGTCTCTCAATCTGGCTCTGTCTGTCTGTGTGTGTATGTGTTTGTTTGAGATAGAGAATGGGTTTACTTGGACAGCATCTTTTGTAATGCATATTCATTTCCCTTTCCATTGCGACATCATTTCTAGCCTTGTGCCACTTTTTATGTCTGATGCAATTAGGGCCAGGACCTGCAGGATGTGAGGTGATGGTGAAAGAGGCATTCTGGCCTAAAACTGGCATAATGTTATTATAAAACTCACCAAGTGTAAGTCAATATTCTGTAGTGCAGCACTGCATTATTTTATGTTTGTCCTATGACCATTAGGAATACCTGCCTGTGAGCCTAGCCACTGATCTATGCCCTAATGAAGACAACCAAAATAGCCTTATTTCAAACAGCCTAACCACAAAAATCCACACCAAAACAGTTGTAGTTTATTCTAGCTTCAGGATACATCAGCAGAAGAGGTTTTTTTTTTATTCTTTAAATCAGAAAATTTTACTCTAGAGACTACTGCATACAACTGTAAGGCATGTTTACGACAGAAGCAGCAGTATTTGAATTTTTAAATTTGGCAGGAGTGTGTCTTTAATGTTTTAGTTCTTGGGATTTGAACAGAAACTAAACAGATGATAATAAACAGAAAATACATATCATTTATATTTGCAAGTTGATGCTACATTACTTAGACTGTTTTCCAGTTGAGCAGACATTTGTTACTGTTCATATAAAAAAATAGAAGAAATCTTGCAGTGATATTTTTTGCTATCATTGAGATGTATCTACTCTGCGTCTTCAGATGTAAAGGAGCTTTCTTGCTTAGTCATACAGAATTCAGTTCAGTTTGCTCCTGACTGTGGTTGCTGTTGTTCCAATTTTCTTTGCTTAGCTTGCTTGTCCTCTCACTAGTTTCAGTTACTGGTCCAGTTTTGTTATTTTCCAGTGTTGGATACTGATTTTAATGGTCAAATGCATTGACCCCATCCAGAGTTAAGAAAGCAACTGACACCTGCTGTTGGCAAAGCACATTAAATGTATGCTCTAGCATTTTTCAGTCTAAATTTTATCTGTAGCATCTGTTATCTATGGTTAGTTACCATGGACAATAATTTCAACACAGTTCCCTTTACTTAGAAAAGGACAGAAAACCTGTAGACCTGAAATACATTTATTATAGGCATAGACATTGCCTCTGTCTCATCTTAAAACCTGCAGTGTCAGAGTGTAACGGTTGTAGGTTCAAATTCTGTTGTGTAGTTGCATATGTTTATACACTGACCTCAGCAACTACCCAGTGACATCAATTACAAGTAAATTCCAACACAACAAGTTTTCTGTTCTTTTCTATATACAAGGAAATGAATTTAAATTGCTGTTTGTTGTAATCAACTGAAGTATCTACTTTAAAACAGCCACAACACAATAGTAGACATTTATGTTGCAGTCTCCTCAGTAGAGCCTGACTGAATTTTTAAGACTGATACTGATTTTGACATTTGAGAATTTAAAAAAAAACTGATATGTATATTTAATATAAAAGTTAACATATATTTCCATTTATGCAGAATAAGTTAAACTCTATAGTTTAACCACTCATTAACGTTAGTTGTTTTCCTCTGATAAAATAGCAATAGCTAGCCTTGTGGATAATCTTAATTTAGCCGTAAGGAGCATTATAAGCTACTATAAGGTAGAGGTCCGCACTTCCCTATGATTCGTGCTGGACCCGCAGAACTAATTTTCAGTTTCATGTGCAGGAGCAGGCGGGTAACCAGCCAACCAGCCCACTGCAGGCAGGAGCGGGATGAAGCATGCATGAAGAGCAAAATAACCATTCTGTGGTTTTATTCTTGCTTTGTGTTTACTGGGAATAAATGGTGTATGACCATGTTATTTCAGCAGAGAATAGTGTATTTGTGATTAGACTCTCAAATATTGGATGTCAGTTCGCATTGATGGATACGTGCGGGTGGGAGTGGGCCAAAACTGTTTGTTTGGGGGCAGATGATATCAGGGCGCCGATGTATCAGTTGGGCTCTACTCCTCAGTAACAGCATTGTGTTTGTTATGTGTGTGGGTGTAAGGCGGATGTGAAGCAGAATCAGAAGCGGCTGGTGGAGCAGCTGACGACCATTCTGACAGGCTCTCCAGGCTCCTCCACACGCTGGTTGTTGGCCCACTGTCTGGCTCTGCTTTACCGGGTGGGTGACTCCTTCACCTCCAGCCTCACTGTGGACCGCTGCAATGACATCATCCGCTGCAAGGACGACTCACCCAGCTTCCTGCCCACTCGACTGTAAGTGCAGTCTGTCGCATGTCAACCTCCTCCCACCCAGTCCTCATTATCCCATATGCACATGCACACAAACTCTCTCAGGCATTCTCCCACACATCTGGCCTGCACTGAAAATGGGTTTCTGTGACACTTTCACTGCCTTGCCCTGATTTGTTGTCATCTGTGTGTCTTATTCTGGAGCTGTAATTGGTCACCATAGAGCCACACATGAATTTCAGAGTAGTAGAGCAGACGAAACTATATTTAAAGCAGTTAAGATGAATCTTTAAACATAGCTCAGGATTAAAATCTGCTTACTATAGCTATATTACCATTCAACCACAAGCTTCACAGGCTTCCTGAATGTAGTCTTTATCTTAATGACACCTATTTAATTCAGTAGCATTAACAAATGAAACCTATTTATGCTTGCAGGGCGGCCGTGGCCTGTCTGGGTGCTATGTACGAGCAGTTGGGCCGCCTGCTCATCAGCTCCTTTAAAGAGACAGTGGCAAACCTTCTGAAAGCCTTGAAGGGAGCAGAGGTAAGAATACAAAAGGTTCCGGGTTTAGTCCCTGGGCCAGTTCGCAGATTTGTTCAAGCCTTAAAGTGAATGGGGTTAAATACTTATACTGTAAAAGTTCTGCATAAATGAACAGTTAAGTTGTAAACAAAGTCATTCAGAATGTGTTTTGATGCGAAGTGGATTGTAGAGAAACTCACAGACTCTGATTTCCTTCAATGAAACTTTAATTAGGCTACTTTGGTATCTGTCTTTTTGATTTGATTTATATCATTGCCAGATGTAACTTAAAATTAATACTCATGGCTTTGTTCAATTACTATTAAGTTCTATCACCTGTCTATTAAGGACTTGCCACAGGTATGCCTTTTCTGAGATTTTATTTGTAATGTTAATAATAGTAAAACAGTAGTTTTACCACTGTAAGTTTGCTCTAGGTACCTTTTGCCTTGCAACACGCTGCATGTGTCTCTTCGCTATGAATTGAGTTTAAAAATCACAGGCCGAAACTATTGTAAAGCAATGTCACAGGCAGTGTATTCATAGCTTTCTGTGAGAGAAGCATTAAATACTTTGAACATCTGTTTTCTATCAGATTTCCTATTTTACATCAAACTCTGTTTATATCTTAACCATTTGGTGATGCTGGAAAAAAGGTGAAAATTAAATTATTTAAAATTTAAAACGATTAAATGTTATGCAAAGCACAAGAACAAGAGGGAGTGGAATATAACCTTTAACTTTTAAGGGTCCCATAACTTTTTATTCTTCTTGACTGAGCTTTAGAACGTAATCTCTCCAAGTATATAGATAAAACAATTTTGGAAAGTCACATTTTTTTTTCTGTGTTTCTAGTCTCAAGGGCGCTATGAGATCATGCTGTGCATAGAGAAGATTCTGAAAGGTTTAGGGGTGAGCGCAGTGCCCTGTCACAGAGACATCTACAAAGCCACGCGTGCCTGCCTCACTGACCGTTCTATGGCTGTTCGCTGTGCTGCCGCCAAGGTATTTTTCCAGCTCATCATCTCCAGTGTCCTTAAATATGTACACACGTTCACATTGATATTGTCATTGAGTGACGTTTGTATTTGATGTACTGTATGAATGATGATTTAAGTATTCCTCGCGAGTGCAGTTTCTTTGTCATTTTTCATGTAAACTTGATTAGCGCAATATATACTGTCTCTGTGTTGTCAGTGCCTATTGGAGCTCCAGAGAGAAGCCGTATTCCTGTGGTCCACTGAGCTGGAGAATGTGGCCTCGCTCTGTTACAGGGCCTTTGAGGGCTCCAATTATGATGTTCGTGTTGCTGTTTCCAGACTGCTGGGCACCTTGTTAGCCTCTTCACTTGAGCCTAAACAAGCCATAGGTAGGTTGAGTTTATTTAGTAATGCCTTACCTAGTTGTCATTTGATTTCCAAGCAAAGTTTGGGCAAACAGAGCCTTTTTGTTAAGTGCTCTCTCATTATGTTTTAAATGCAAGCCAAATGCAAATATTCTAGCAAATCAAATAACCATGTAAAGCTGTCACAGGGCAGGGCTTATCCACCATTTTCAAATCTACTGTATTGGTATCACAGTATCGGTGATGGGGATACTGATATCTGTGACTGACACCACAAAGCAATTTCTGACGCATGCATGCATGCCAGTAGATAGAACAACACATCGGCAGTGTGGGACAACAAGCAGCAGTAAAAATGCTAATGGCAGAATCTGTAACAGCAGTTTTAGGCATGAAGAGCACGCTAACAGAGCCGCTTACCTGAACGGTGGAGCTGCTTCTTTCAGTACTCACTCGTCTGCCTCTGTGTTGTCGCTTGCAGTCTGAGGTCTGAGTTAATGTTATTGAGAGAGCAGAAGGAACGGCGTAGTGATTTAGACCTTTAGTCTCGATTTAGCCTTTAGTATAGGCCCTGTGTGTCCACTAGCTCTGCCTGCGTTGCGCCTCTATTGGTCATCACTCAGCAGCAGGGTCTCCCAGCCCGTCGCTCTTACCAAGCCAGAAAAAACACTTAAAGTCGCTGATACTGACAGGATGAACGATGGTGATGTTTACACATTTTCCACATCACAGTTTGTGTTTTTGTGACATTGCAATGGCTAAAGTACTTCAAATTCAAATTGACAAACGAATCAGGTTGCTGAAACCTGGCCACAAATATGTTCCACAGTCCATGTGCCTAAATAAAACTCATGTCTTTGCTATTACTTTATTGCTTGTCTAACAACAGCTTGTGCTGCAAAAAAGACATGAATGTCTGTCAAGAGCTGTGTTGCGCTGCCAGAAAAAGAGGAACACATGCTCTAATGCTGATTTGGTTCAGTGTGTTCTCACCATCAGCAAACTGAACCAAGGTTCACTTGGAAGTGGACCCAGACACAGATTTTTGACAGACCACCGTCTACAAGGTAGGTTTGAAAGCAACCTAAAAGTAAACATGCTACTACCTCAGAAATACACTGATAGCATTACATGATGCAGAGTAAGCGTATGCTCTTTAAGGCTAGATTTGTAACAAGGACTGGGTCAGATTTTTTTTTTTCCCCCTTCAAAATCTGATCCAGCGATATCTGCTGACATCGGCCCCATACTGATAATGTGGGGACTACTACTTCCTGAATAAAAGAATTCTAATCAAACCTTGTTTCTCTGTTATTCATTTGTCCTTCTTCTTCTGTTGTTTCACTTATTTTTCCCTGATGCCTTTCCTTTGTTCATTGCTCATCCTTATTCTTTCTGCACTTCTGTTTCTTGTCTCCGCCTCCAGCTCCCAGGCCGGGCTCCAGGCGTAGCTGTCTGGAAGAGGTGATGGAGCTGGTGTCCAGCGGCTTCTTACGAGGGTGTGCAGGCTTCCTGCGAGCCAGTGGGGATCTGCTGAAGGGCACGAACTCCGTGAGCCGAGATGTGCGCGTGGGCATCACTCAGGTTGCTTTCTATTTCTGAAGTATCCTTGAACCTCATATTCAGTCAGAAGAAAATATGACAGCAAGAAACTGTTGGTATCATGATACTAATGTGTGTAAAGAGTGCCATGTCATGTCTTGTTAATTGTAACTTATTTGTAATATACAGTGTTCTCATACACTGACTGAAAGCGACCGCAAGCTTTAAAGAAAAGTAGTATTTGGAAGCAGGATAACATCACGTATGCATACGTCAAAATTTCTAACTTTTTAATATTCTAGCAGCTGTAACCTGATTCCTGCTCTTTTGATGTGTTCTGCATTATATACCTTTGCTGCACTCTGCACTCAACATCCATTAGGGCACATTAACTTACATACATACATTTTACTTTTTCTGCTTCTTTCTTTAGGCGTGTGTGGTATTCATATCCACTCTGGGTGGAGCGTGGCTGGAGGCACATTTCTCCTGCCTTCTGTCGCTTCTCATGGAGCTGGTCTCTCACACACGGGCTACCCAAAGCCCAGTTGATGCTGTCTGCTGCCGACGCTGTGTCTCCTTCATCCTGCGAGCATCTGTGGGCAGCCTTCTGGGAGAGAAGGCCCAGATAGCAGCTGCCAAGGAGATATGCCAGGCCATCAGCAAACAGAAGAGGGCTATAGGTGAGTGTACGCGAAAGAAATATGCTGGAGGGATTTTAGTTGGATACTGGCTCCTGTGGTTAATAGCAGATGAGCTTGGGGTGTGGTATTTAGTTTGGTTAATTTTGTTTGGTATTTAGTTTGGTTATAGATAAAAGACAAAAGGACAAGGCAGTAATCTCTCTTTGTGTATGTTTCTATCAGACATAGCATTGTGTGAAGGGAATGTAGAGACTCGAGTGAGCAACACAGATGTGGCGGCCAGTCAGCATGTGCTGGTGTGTGCCCTCCTGGAGCTGGGCAGTGTACTACAAGACCTGGGTTCCAGCGCCGCCCCTCTGCTACATGACGCCAGCACAGGTCTGTCTCACACCCTGCATGACCACACATTGTTTTTCCCAAGAAGAATTAGAAGAAAATCTGCAGTTTTATTTCCGGCTCGAACATTGGTGGGGGGGCTTTTGCTGTACCTTTTATGTGACAAAGATTAAGCCACATGCTTTGCTGTTCCATCACTTTGCTCCCCCAACCACTTAAGAATTTGAGAGAGCAAAGCATGCAATGACATGACATGTCCAGAAGCATCAGCAGGTGTGCTTACAGAGATACTGCTGCTTGTGGTGATGGTGATGGTGATAATGATGATGATGATGATGATGGTAAAAAAGTGACACTTTTTCTTCTGGCAGTTTTGAGACTGTGCCTAACTCAGAGCAAACAAAGTGGTGCCTAATCTCTTAGTTCAGTAAACATTGAGTTTTTATTTTTTATGTGTAATTTGGCCACAAAACTGTAATTAATCTAGTAATAAAGAACAGAACTGCAAATGTCACACAAACTTTACCATACCATGCTGTGGTGTCTGTAGCCACTTAGCTTGATTGTATGAAGCATAAGTGTTCTTCCCGAGACCTAAAGATGTCTCGTCTGATGTCTGAAACCTGACAATGTAGTGTGAGGATGTCCTAAGATGTACACTGTACCATAGGTGACTGTTTGTACAGGCATGACATCTGCCAGCAGCGCTGGGTGCGTTCGGCCATGTTTACCGAGCAGTGACAGAAACACCAGTGTTGCTGGAGGTTTTAAATGTTGTGTTCACTCCCTGTCCACTCTCTTAGACAGTCCCTCCTTGTTGGTCCAACTTGTAGATGTAAAGTCAGAGATAGCAGCTCATCTGTTGCTAACACAGTTGTGTCATCCTGTAGTCCTTCATCAGTCTTCACAGGACGCTGTTGGCTGGATATTTTTGGTTGGTGGACTATTCTCAGTCCAGCAGTAGCACTGAAGTGTTTAAAAATTCCAGCAACACTGCTGTGTCTGACCCACTCATGCCAGCACAACACACACTAACATGCCACCACCACATCAGTGTCACTGCAGTGCTGAGAATGATGCACCACCCAAATAATACCTGCTCTGTGGTGGTACAGTGGGGGTCCTAATGAGGAACAGGGTAAAAGGGAGATATCAAAGTATGCAGAGAAACAAATAGGCTACAGTCTGTAATTGTAGAACTACACAGTGCTCCTATATGGTAAGTGGAGCTGATAAAATGGGCAGTGAGTGTAGATACAAGGAGTTGTTTTATACATAAACGATACTGACTATTGTGCTAACGTCTGTGTAGTTGCTTTGTTTTATTTATGGATTTTTTTTATTATACTTTGAGCAAAGTTGGTGTTTTTCCAGATACTCTGGTTGCACATCTTTATTCATCCGGACACATTTGTTTCTAACATACTAGACCTGCCAAATGCACGTTTGCCTATGTAACGCTTATCTTCTTTAAATGTTCATTGTGAGGTAGATAATGATAGATAAAATATCTGTGATATTTTAGGACATTTGTACAGTGAAAATATTTATGTCTCTGCTTCTGATGCTGCCTCTCAGTGACCTCTCACTTTTTGTGAAGTTTTTTATTATAACATGGGCAATAGGATCTATAAAACTATAAGGAGCTATAAACCTGAAATTTTGTTGGATTTTCAGAATGAAACAGCTTAAAGCAGGTGTGTCCAACCTTACCCACAAACGGCCGGTGTGGCTGCAGGTTTTCATAGCAATAAAGCAGGAGCACACGTTCAGTTGTTTAAAGACTGAGACTGACTGATTAAACGAGTGGAATCAGGTGTGCCGTTCTTGTTTGGAATGAAAATCTGCACCCACACCAGTCCTTTGCGGATAAAATTGGAGTCATTCTTGGAAAATCTTCATCCAAAAATTTTAATTATGTATATCTTAAAAATTATATAATAATGAGATTCTCGGCAACAGAAGAGACTGCCTATTTCCTGACAGAATTCCTAAAAAGGAGACCAAATATTCTCTGATGCTTTGTTTGTCTCTGCGTGATTCCTGTATTTTGTGAATATGAAGAAAGTGACTGTGTTTGGGCGTGAAGACCTGCAGCTAGAGCACTTCTGACTACTGACGTAATTCTTTGCCTAAAAGCGTCTGTCTGCTTTTTAATGGAGGTGTCTAAGTGTGGTCAAGGTGATGTATTAGGAAAAGAAAGGGAGCCTAGAGCACTGATTCACACCATCAGCTATGCTCCCATTACCAGCTTGCTAAATGGAGAGAGAGTTGCAGCTAATTTGTTAAGTCTTTAATGGAACATTAATCTAACCCTTCAGCCACGCTAAGGTGAGCCAGAGGTTTCTTTTCCATTTTGTGACTCCCTAGATTAATATCAGGAAAATAATCTGTCCACATCTGCTCACAGCAGTAGCTTGTTTTTAAACCTTTGAAGGTTAATGTTTTTGATTTCACTGGGATATTTCTTGCTCCCACTTTTGAGTTTTTCTTGGTCTTCGAAGTTGTTCTTCTCATGAACAAAAACATGTTAATTAATTGTATCATTCAATATCCGTTCTATCTCTTTTCTCACTCCTCGAGGTATGCTGGACACTGTGATTTCTGTGCTTCTTCACCCTAACGTATCTGCCCGACTGGCAGCAGCTTGGTGCTTGCGCTGTGTGGCTATAGCGATACCCGCTCAGGTGGCTGTATTACTGGACCGCTGTTCAGAAAGGCTCAATGCCCTAAAGTCCTGCCCCGAGGCTGTGGCTGGGTACAGTGCTGCTATTGCTGCCCTGCTGGGTGCTGTACAACACTGCCCACTGGGAATACCACACATCAAAGGCAAGGTACGAAATCTTCCTGAACTGTATGTATGAGATTAAATATAATGAAAATTAATAGTACTTTTCCTTTAAGACCTCTTTAATGCATTGTCATGGAAACCTAGCAATACCACCTGAAAGTCTCTGAAGTTCATAGTTCTTTGTTCTCTTCATTGAATTTGTGTTACTGTCATAGTTTTAGAGTTTAGCTCATTCAGCCTACTTAAGCAAAGGAGTGACTCTTGTGTACCTTGGAACAGGTGGTGATGGGCTTGGCTGAAGATCTGCTGCGTTCTGCTTCCCAGAACAGTCGGATTTCCATCCAGCGAACTCAGGGAGGCTGGCTACTACTTAGCGCTCTGATGACCTTGGGTAAACAGGCACTAACTGCACACCCATGATTAGGGCATATGTTAAGTTTATGAAAGGAATGGGCCCCGTTCACCAACCATTCTTAAAGAAGAAATTTCTTCTTTAAACCCATTTATGCAGTTTTCATGAAGATTCTGGCATTCATCAATGTTTTCTTATTGGGGTTTGCTCTTAGGTAAGAACAGAATCTTCACACACTCAAGAGCACAAAGGTGTGAATATGCGCTTTAAGAACACGTCATGAATCTGACAGACTTTTTTCTTAGGACCTTTCTCATGAACACATTTAAAAAAAGAAACTTAGGAGGATACTGGTGAATGAGGCCCAATTAGCTTTATTCAACTTTTCACATTTTGCACTGCACTAAAACCAAAACCAGTCCCTCTTGTGGTTGTCCGCATACACATTCCTGTATTTTAATGTATGACTTCAGTACTTGTGTTTTTTGTTTTTTGATATCCTCATCTCGGGAGTTAAAACTAAAGTAGAACCATATATCTGTGGTATTAGCTAGATCTGGGGTAAGAATCATAGTGCAGTGTGATTAGAGCTGGGCTGTTTGACAAACGTGATGGTTAATGTGATTACTTCACAATATGCTTTCCTGATGATATCATGGATATCATAAGTACTAAAAAACACTTCCAAATTGAGTGTTTGATTAAAAGAGAGTAATTAGTCCTTTTTAATTGGATTTAGAGTAGCATAATATGTGAATTAGCATAGTAAGTCGAATACAAAGTCCTTAAAGGAAAATCTATTCACTTCACAGCCATCTTGTCAGTTGCTTACAGTCATACAAGATTAGACATCTATCACTTTGAATGGGGAGAGACATAAAAACTTAAAACTAAGTACCAAATTACCATTTCAAAAACATACTTGAAATCACTGGTAAAATCTGACAAAATCTCATACAGTTTGTTACGTTTGGCTCAAATAACAAACAAACAGCATTTTTTCAGGTTGTTCTGGCTACTGTACTTGTGCAGGTCTCCACAACTGAGGGGTTCCCCCACCCCCCCACCCCTTTACCAACAAGTCGACTGGCTCTTTTTAGTGAAGGGCTGGACTTCCCTCGTAAACAGAGGACATGCTGAGCGTTGCAAACTTTTCCATTTGCTTTCCAGTCAGTGACCTGTCTCCGCCTTTATAATGTCTCTGATGCAAATCATTGGATTCATAGTTTTCGATTATATTTTTAAAATGGGGGCACTTCTTTGTCTGTTTCAGCTTATCAGATGTCAGAAAAAGTAAATATTGTTTTTCAGTACTTAACTTTTTTGAAGTACTGTGATATTACATTTTTGCCAAATCCACAGTGAAGTGTGTGATACCTATAGGTTGGCTTCCATAGAGACTTTTGTGCCTTTTTTTTCAGCACACTTCACTCACTTATTTGCTGGCACCACTTCTAGGCTCTTTTGTGAAGAGTACTATTCAGTGCCCTCTAAAGACCTTGCCTCCGTTTTACAGGAAAGATAGAATACACCATATTAGCTGAATATAAATGATAGAATACATTGGCATTGATTTGTGATTAATTAACATTGAATTATATTTAATTGTAATTTTGTATTATATTTTAATTATGGATAACTGCTCAATGTTGCAACTGACTAAAACATTTCCTTAGGACCCACTGTAGTGGAGCATCATCTGCCCAGAATGCTGTTGCTATGGAAATGTGCCTTCCCCCAGTCTGTTAAGGAGCTGGACAGTGAACTGAGGCGTGGGGACTCTTTCACCTGGCAGGTGACCCTGGAGGGCCGCTCAGGAGCACTGTGTGGTGAGTGCGTCATGTCTGTATGGCATACCTGGGACTGTTTTTGTGCCTTCACGCATAATACCCTGACACTTTTTCTAAGTAGTCTCCACATAAACCAGAATCAGTAATGGAGTGTATTATTATCCAGGCTTCATAAGTTCAACTTTTTTCCAAACGAGATTGTCATGTTTTTTTGACTGTTACTGGCTGAGGGTATTTTTTTTTTATTTGTGTGTCACAGTAATGCTGTACTTCACTTCACCACTACAATGTATGTGTTTCTAAAGAACAGGCATCAGACTTCCCAGACTATGCTATAGCAAGACCATTTTTTGTAAGGAAGGTGATATTGGAAAATTTTCAAAAAAAATTACACACATGTCTTTTTTGGGTGATATTTGAATATTCTTTTTAAAAATGACACACTTTTTTTATTTGTGCATTTGTTTGTGCATCACCTTCTAAAAATAGGTACATTCACTCAAGCTGTAGAAGGTTCAAGTCGTAAGGGAAGGCACTGAAGTGATTTGTTTGTCAAGGCAAGGTTAGAGTGGGTGGTGGAACAGATTTAATGAACTGCAGCAAAAGCGAACCCAGAAGGAACAGCTGGAGGTGGCCTGGAATGTCTGCCAAATGATTTGCTCAGCCCACTTCTTGGGATCCAAGGCTAATACCAGAGGCATCAGAACATGTGAAGAAAGGCTACTGCAGCTTTAGGTTCCTTAGTAGAACACCATGCCCACAGTTAGCAAGTGTAGTGACTAAGGCAGGATGTTCAGTGGCCAAGCTGCTGGGCACTTGGAGCTTAGGTATGCAAGAGCATGCAGTGTTTCCCCTGGAATATTTTTAGGCGGGGTGGTAGACACTTCGCAGCTACCAGTGTTGTCGAGCGCACATGGTGTCATGAATCACACAGAGGTTGGTGTAGTGTCATTGCGCATTTGTGGTCAGTTAACTTATATGGAAAGGGTCCAAAGTCATAGTTGAAAGCACGAACCTGACTTTTTACTGATTTAGTCTTAAAACTAAAATCCTTTTGAGTGACCCTATACCTTAATTATGTTTATTTTATTAAAACAAATGATTGAACTTTCAATTTTGTCACTACCAAAACAATCATAACACTACCAAAATTTTAACAGATGTTTCAGTAGTGACAGTTTAAGCTAATTTTGAGCATAATGCAAAACCGGTAGCTAGTACATGACTAGCAAACACAGCTTTGAACGTTTGTATGCACGGAACATCATAATATTTTGTATAAATGCAGTATTGCAGAAATGTGTGTTTCGGTAGTGACAATTCTTAAGGTTACTCTCTGATTTAGTCCTATAATCTAAAACACTGTTTTTCAGGGATGGCATGAAAACTGTGGGACCTCAAAAACATCTTTTAAACATTTGAGAAAAATACAAAAAATGATTTTCACAAGGTGAAATTTAGTGATTACTGTTTGGGACAGCCACTTCCCAAAGAAAGTACCCTATAAATGATGATTTTGGATATATTTACCTTTTTACTGTCTCTATTAATGTCTTGGGTTTAAACAGATCATAAGATAATCCTTGTAAAATATCTGAGCTCTGATTAATTAATTGCTTTTTAAATAGTTTTTTTGTACTGTGTGAGCACAGTTTGAATTAATTTGGTGGAATTGTCCATATACCATGAGTTCATGTATGACTAAATTCTTTAGGGTTCATAATGGCTCAAAGAATAATTTGCATATGTTTCTGTAGAAATGTATAAGAATAGTGGTAATAATTCCATAAAGTCAAACAAGTTTTTAAGTTATGTAACCTTTTTTTATATCAACACTAAATACTGTTTGGACTGAAAGGTCTATAAGAAAGCCCAAATATATCTGCATTTGATGATAAGGCCTTTTGAAGAATGCAGTAGGAACTTGCTGGTTGTACTCGTTGATAAAACGGCAAAGGTGACACACCACACTTTATTTTTATTATATTTTTACTTCTTTTATTATTCCCTTTTTCAGGAGTATAACACAGATTTCAATAAAGCTCAAACCACCCCAAACTAATATTAGAGATGAAACGGTTACCGGTTTCACGGTAAACCGCGGTAAAATTAATGACGGTTAGTAGTACCATTTGAACTTTAAAGTATCGTTAAAACTGTTTAAAAAACTCGCTGTACAGAGTCAAACAAAGGCAGAATCATTCCCTCATATGCAGCTCTGTGTGTGTGTAGAGGGGGAGGGGGAGGGGGAGAGAGGGAGAGGGAGAGGGAGAGGGAGAGAAGGGAGAACATGGCAGAATTTAGTGACAGAGAAGACCAAGTCTGACGTTTGGTCATATTTTGGGTTTTATAAGAATGCAAAAGGAAAGTTAATTGAAGATGACCACCCTGTCTGCAGAACAGGCCGAAAGAAAATAGCGGCGAAAGGGGGCAACACATCAAACCTTACGAGTCATCTTCGCGACCACCACCCGCTACTTTTTAGAGAATGCAAGGTTAACTTTAACGTAGAAGTCTGTGGGGACTTCGAAATAGAAGAAATGTCATGGTCTGTGTGGTTCAACGTATGCTTATGGTTCGTTAATAATATAAAATGAAGCTTTTAGCGTCAAAAAAAAATTAGTGAATCAACTGTGAATGGAAACTAAAGCTTTTAACACATATTTCTGTGGAGCAGTGTCTCCAAAATGAGCTCTGAGTTAACAGTCACACAAGCTCTGGAACGAGACGCTGCAAAAGTTCAATCTGCACAGCTCCCCTTTCTCGTCTCGCTTGCAGTGTTTACTTTCTGAGAAGAGAATAACTGTCTCAAATCACTCAATGTCCCCTACATAGTGCGCTACTGTTCAAACAAACACGATCATCATTAACAAGCAATTGAGCTATGAATAGGGAATTTGTAACCTGTTGTTAATATATTATTATTGTGAACATTTCATGCACTCCACGATGATCCATGATCCACGAAGTACACTACATAGGGAAGATAGTGTGCTTTGGGACGGGACCTCGCGCGAGTAAACGCTGTGTGCTGCTTTTAGGAAAAGCAGAGTTTCAGAGATTAAACTTTAGGAGTGTTTCTGCCGCAGCTCAGATGCATGTTAATTTGAAGTTATGTTTTATTTTTAAAATGCTTTTAGAGAAGCAGCTCCACAGGTGAAGACACACTGTGTGAGTTCTACACTGTCTGCAGCTCACAGCGCGGTCACACAATTCCTCTGTGATTTTGGCTGTTTTTCCTGGTGCACTGTGTTGATTAGGGGTACAGCGCCACAACGGCACAATAATGCTGCAATTGCAGTTAGGACAGAGATCCCCCGAGTGCAACACTTCTTAGAAGTAGTAATTTTCCATTAAGACCCACCTCAGAGTTGGTCGAGATTTAATTATCTATGCAGGGAAATCCCTAGTTATTGTAGTTATTAATAATAATAATAATAATAATAATAAATAATTACAACAGTAATAATAATAGTAATAACAGTAGTAGTAATAATAATAATAACAGTAATAATAATACATTTGCTATTCTTTTGTTTACAGAGTATTGTAAGTAATACAGAAGTAATACTACAAATGTATTGACTATATTTTTTAAGGTTTATGCAAACAAAAAGTGCATATTGCTGCAATTCTATTTGTGTTAATATAAAATTTGGTGAAACGAGTTTCTGTTTGTGTATCAGTATTTATTTATTTATTTATTTATTTTACTTTTCAACACGTTTGAACAATATCGCGATAATACCGATAATCGTGATAATTTTGGTCATGATAATCGTGATATGAAATTGTAGCGTTTCATCTCAAACTAATATCTTGAACTGAAATGGAAAAAAAATTAAATTTTGTGATTAACGAGTCATTATAGGAAGGTCTGTCCACTTAATTGCCATCTTGGCACCGCTCCTCATTTCCAGGTATACAAGGCCGTATTACAGAAAATTCTTTTTTTTGTCTTAACTTAAGATCTGGCAGTTCAAAATAAGATTTTTTTTACAAATTTGTATTACAGAAGCAAATCTTATCTTAATTTAAGAATCTTATCTTACAGCATCTTTTCTTATCTCAAGTTAGGAAATCTTAACTTACTCGATTGAAGTCGACAATCAACTGTGGTTTCTGTTACCTAGCAACTGACCATACACGTACAGCGGAAACGTAAACACGCGATTAAGTTAGTTAGTCAGACCAGAGCCGGTCTCTACAAGTTCTCTGGTCAGACCGCTAACGTTAGCTACCATTACTGGGGTTAAAAAAAGGTCAAATAAAACTAAAGCGCGGTAAACCGGAAGTTAAGAATATTGTGGCAGCGCTTCGTGCTGTTTATCAGAGCGTCGCCGCTCTCCTCTTTCAGTTTCATTTCCCAAACGCTTTAGCCGAGCGCGCGTTCAGCTGTGTCTCCTCATTATTCACCACTATCAGTGTAATATTTTGTCATCAACATTAACACACGAAGGAAGTAAGAGGGCACGGTGGAGATCGTGTCTGCAACGTCTGGGGCTTTTAAATGCTGTTAGAAAAGACTCGCAAGTCAAAGCACCGTTTTCAGTGTAGAAAAATGTAACGTCGTTATGCTACTTCTAGTGAACTATGCTGCCTATCACTGCATAAAACAATAGAAACAGACGATTAAAACCGAAGTTAAGACAGCTCTTAAAGTTAAGAAAATATTTAGGATATTTTGGCAACTTAGAATGTTTCTGTAATACCGTTTTCTTATCTGGACATAAGATTATAGACTTAAGAACTTTTGTTCTGTCCTAACTTCAGTCTTAACTGAAGTTTCCATGACAACAAAGCAGATCTCAGACTTAAGAATTTTCTGTAATACGGCCCCAGACTCCTCCGAGCTGAACGGATACCAAAAGGTGAATTGGAAAAACTACAGACTACTGATTGGTCGGGGAGAAACGTCACTATCACCCTAAAAGCATAAGCTAACATTAGCTACCAGGTTCGCTTACGCTCTTGCGTCACCTTTGAGCAACCAGAATTGTCTCCTCATCTGAACTCTGATGTAGTATTTCCCAAACTCTCCTATTTTTTCGACAGCATTTTGTCACAATTTGTCACCTTCATGTCACAGTAGTTTTATGTGGCATCGCCATTGAGGGGGCTATATATCTGCAGTGGAAGTTGAGCTGGTACAATGCAGTGGAACAGCAGCTTATGCTGATTCTTTTGCACAAACCAGCTCGCCTCTGCTGCCCACTGAATCATAGGTTTGTTTTATCCATCTGCACATATGGACACCTTACTGTACATATTGCACTTTCTGCACACCTTATCGCACATCTTGCACTTCTGGACACTCCACACCTAGACATTTTAGACACTTTTATTTCAGTACCAATATATGCACATATTTATTCAGTATTGTCATTATATGCTGTTACCTGCGCCTCCTTGTACATTCATTATTTCACTGGCTTTTTTATCTCAGGTTATAGATCTTATTGCATATTTTTGTATCTTTCTATTTGTATACACGCCTGTAGATTTTTTGCGCATATTCTTCTTTTTATATTGTATCACCCTTATTAATATAACTGTTCTATGTTGTGTGACTGCTACTGGCTGCTAAATTTCCTTCAGGATCAATAAAGTATCTATCTCTCTATCCATCCATCCATCCATCCGTCTATCTATCGCTGAATGGATCTGCAAGCAATGAATAATTATCTTAAGAGTTCTGGTATAATATTAAACACGCTGTGTCATCTTCATAGTAGCATAGCGAGTGGCTGCTATAAAACATAAAGTGGAAACGTTGTAAAATGACCAATTTTTAAACAAGCAAAATAGGCAATCATGACAACCAAAACTGAGAGACCCATTGTATCTGACTCTCAAGGCCAGACACACATCAAATATGTGTCAAAAAGTCTTGTGGGAAAAAAAAAGTGTCGGAGTTTTTTCACTTTCATTTTCTTTTTTTTTGTCATCCACATTGATCATTGGTGTGGATTTGTGTGTGTATGTGTGTTTCATTTCCTTTCTAGCAATGAAGAATTTGGTGGTGCACTGCAGGGAGCTCCTCACCGATGATGTCATTTGTCGAGTGCTTCCTCTCCTTTCCTGTGCTGTGGCCCTGTTGACTCAGTGAGTGACATTTAAGTCGCCAGATTCAGATGAAAAAAAAAATTAGGCATTTACCTACATGTATAGATACCTACGTAGTTAAGTAGTTTGGCTCTGCCAAATTAATGTGGTATTATGTGAAGCTCAACCATCGGTAAGAAGTAACCAGTTAAGTCTAAAAGGGCAGTTTTTTTTATTTAAATTACTAAATCAGATTTTATTCTATCTCTATTTTTTTTGTTTTTTGTAAACATTGAAGGTTGCCTTCTCTGGTCAAATCCTATGGGAACCAGCTCAAAAATGCTGTCACTATTTTCCGACTGAGAGTGTATGAGATCCTTGCACTATTGCCCCCGAAGACGTATGAAGGTAAGAGCTGTGTGAAAACTAGCTTTTTGTTATTTACTTCTTGGTGATGCTAAGCGTTATGCAATTCTAAGTAAGTTTCCCCACAGATTTGTAATATACTTAATGAAAGAACAAAATTCATAATGAAAGAATGAAAATTCATAATTGTTTTTAAACATTAATTTTACTCAAATATTACAAAAGCACAGTTTTTCATTAACAGTTATTTATTTATGTATTATTTATGTCAGTTACATACAAACATTAATATAACCAAAGTGTTTTTAACTTACAGGCTTTGTTTATGTCTTCTGTAAGAACAAGTGATGTATTTTTTGCCCAGTGAAATTATATACTCTCATGTAAATGTTTATAAAAAAAAGATTGGTCTGACCTGCTGCCTGGCTCAGTTTTAACATGGCATCTTTCTTTGTACTGCAAAAGATGATGATTTAGATACATTTCTGAGCTTTTTTTGCTCTGGTAAGGTCGTGCTGCAGCTTACCAGGTTTTTAAAATAATCTGGAGGAGAATAGCAATGATCACTGACAGAACAGGCTTAAATACACGATGAAAATGAAGATGCGAGCTAGACTAAATTGTCTTTTACTCAAATATTGACCACAGAAATGACCAAAATGCACTTTTCCAAGTTATGTCTAGTAATTGGCTAACTCAGGGATGCACAACTCCGGTCCTGGAGGGCCGGTGTCCAGCACTTTTTGGAGGTTGTCCTGCTTAAACACACCCACTTAACCTGGCAGTTAACTGATAAGTGTAATCAGGCGTGTTGGAGCGGGTAAATCACCAAACTGTGCTGGACACCGGCCCTCCAGGACTGGAGTTGTGCACCCCTGGGCTAACTTAATGCAAGTGCTGCTCCTGGTGCTTACACTCACTCTCCCCCTCCCCAGACTTGAGCTGCGTTGATGTAGTGTTCAAATTCTAGACATTTTTTTAAATGGATTATTAAAAATACTAAACTTTTTTTTAGAAATACACTTCGATAGGTTTCCATATACCAGGGCACTATATACTATATACATCTGAAACTTGCAAGGACTTTTTTACCTCCTGGTGTACAACAGCCTACTATTTTGTAGAACGCACTCAACAGGGTGGTGGCAACATTTTGGGTACTTGCTCTGTGAACAGCATTTTGCAATCCCTGCAGGGTTTTTCAGGCATACATATATACTGCAAGCCACTTATTTGGCTTCATCCCAAAGATGTTCTTCTATTGGATTAAGACCCAGGGGCTCTGCAGGAAACTTGAGACACTTAAATGCCAATTGACAACTTGAGATTATATATTTTTGGGGGGTAAATAAAGGCACAAGAGAGACTGGGCAACTTAATCTACAGGGACAATATGTCTATGTCTATATATTAGACCTAGAGTCCTTATTTGGACATGTTGCAAACTGTATAAAGACACATGGCTTTGGTGATCTGTATGCCTGTTTTATTCATTTAGTTTTAGTCAGACGATTCACTGTTAATGAGCATGTGCACCTAAGAAAGTGACCACTGAGTGTAGCTCTGTGTATCTATGTGAAATACTGACATTTGGTAAAATGTTTGTGAACATCAAAATTTAAATGTTTATGCTAGCCTTTACACTATTTTGGTCCTATTTGTACAGAATGTTTTGACACATTACTGAAACAGCTGCTGAATGACCTGACCGGTCCAGAGAACATGGCATGTGCTGAGCTCAGTCTGCTGCCTACCCTGTGCCACAACCAGGACCTGGCTCTGCTGGGTCCTGCCCTTCAGGACATGGACCAGCAGTACATCGAGGAGCAGGTCAGCCTCAGACTAGGCACTGGGCTCTCTGCACTTGTTATCAAGCAGTTCTTTTATTATTACTTATTTCATATTAGCAGATTGTCATTATTTGTGAACAGTATTTCACAGTTCTGGTTCTGAAATACCCATGTCCCTTATATTTTAGTGATCTACACACTGATTGTAAACTGTTTGCATGCTAGTTAAACAGCTGATGGGTCACATGTTAGAGCAGGGAGAAAAAAGTAAATGGGAAACAAACACTATTTTAAAGTGTATTTGGATTTGAAGCAGCCTAACAGATTTTTATAATTGATAATGAACTTGTTAGGATTTCTCAAATCTTACCACTGATAGGCTTTAAATCATGTTGCAGTTTTATTGTGTTTGCCCATCCACAGCTACATGGAGGCAGTATAGGAGGAACTTTAGAGTACGACCCTTTTACCATCTTTGAAAAAGCTCAGGAGGTACCTGCACCTCTTCCACCACCAGCTGCCCTAACTGCTGCTGCAGTCCAGTTGTTTGGGGTCATTTTCCCCCACCTGACTATCCAGCAGAGGTATAATATTTTCACCATTCCGCATTTCACAGGATTTCTTTTGAAGGCTGGCTGAAATCCCTGGTCCTCCTGTTATCCTGATCATCACTGGGCACTGCATCAGGCTTAACACCTTTCCTCCCATGACATATAAATGGTGTATGACACACTTGTCTGATGGTCTGCTAATTATTTAGAAAATTAATTTTCTCCAAATATTTTTAGTAGAGTTATTTGCTTCTGTGTAAATGTGCTTTGTGCAGTTGTATATTTAACTGTGATGAGGTTTCAGATCAAATAACTACCACTGTCTTTTGCATCTCAAAAGGTCGGATCCAGGAATAGTTCTGGAATCTCTGTTGCAGTAACATTTCTCTGTCTGTTATCTCAGGGCCCAAGTGCTGGAGCAGTTTTGCGAGTGTGTGAGGCTGTTGAAGGGCGCTCGACAACAGACAGTCCAAGTCCATGCCACAGCTGCTTTTTGCTGTACTCTGAAGGTGAACACATCCAGTGACTGGATACAGTTGCGGACTCACTTAACATGCAACTTCCTTTTCTGACATTTCATTTTGGTTAATTTTTAGAGATACTGCACACTGGGTTGTTGCATTAATATGGGGCCTAGTTTTACCTTACTGCCATATGGGGATGTCCTAGTTGGCATGTTGGAATCTTCACTATTTATTCATTTAAATCCTTTTCCTATAACCCATTTTTAATTACAAAAAACAGATTAATAAGTCTTCATTTTTTTTCTTCATTTGCATGCTTTGACAAGTTTTCTCTCTCTCTGTCTCTCTCTCTCTGTTACTAGGGTTTGGCTTTGGGTCATGAAACGTTGGGTCCAGAGGAAGTGCAGAAGCCAGGTCTCTCTCTCCTGTTAGGGGCACTAGAGAGTTCGAATGCCCTCCTGCGCTGTGTGGCTGCTGAGGGTCTTGCCCGACTTGCACAAGTCCTCAACGAACCCAATTTTACAGTCTCTCTGAGCCTGATGAGCTTCGACAAGTAAGTGTCTGCTGCCGGAAACTTGCACAAAAGACTTGCACAAAAAGCATGAATACATGTATCGAGAGTGTAGTAACCTATATACACAATTTAGGAGACCCTCTAACCTTTGCACCTTTAACAGAATCAGTTAACTTACTATATAATTTAACTATTTAACTTCAGTAAACTGACAACATAGACTGTTGATTAGATTTCGTAAAGAGTGTAGAAATCTGTAAGGGTGAAACCAGTACTTCTTTCTGCTTCCCAGGTTAAAGACAGCAAGGGACGCTGTCACACGCACAGGCCATTCCTTGGCTCTGGGTTGTCTGTACCGCTACATGGGGGGTATCAGCTCCCCACAGCACCTCAGTGCCTGTGTTGGGGTCCTGTTTACACTCTCCCAGGACAATACATCACCAGAAGTCCAGGTGAAATACAAGACCCTGATATGTTTGGGATAGCAGGGTCTTTTTTGTCTTTTTGAATCCTAATGGGAACTGATAGAAAGAGAGTGTCTTCACTACTGTGTAATATGCAGTCCTAGGTTTGCATAGTGAAGAATTGGTGATTTTGGCATGAAATGCATGTGCTGTCTTCAAAGGATGTTGTTTTTGATGCGTATGTGTATTGCAGATGTGGTCTCTTCATTCTTTATCCATGGTGGTGGACCTGGCAGGGCCTCTATACCGCAGTCACATAGATGCCAGCTTGACTCTAGTGCTAAGGCTGCTTCTCTTAACACCACACACACACGTGGAGGTGCAGCAGAGCCTGGGCCGCTGCCTCAACGCTCTCATCACATCGCTGGGACCTGACCTGCAAGGTTCTCGTATAAACATGCATGCTTAAACTCTGAACGCCCACAACCCTTTTCTCTCTCTCCTGCAATACAGCGCCAAGCTTTTCTGAGTTTGCCCATATCTTATTCAGCATCTAAATACTACAGTGACATATTCAGTTAAAGTTGGCAGTAGTCTCTGTTGAAAAGGAAGAAATAGGCTTTGGGATGCCAGGAGCACATTGTTTTAGTGTCTTGCACTGTTTCGTCCACTCATACAGTCCTTGAAGCCTCTGCCCGAAGCCAGTCATGGTCGATGTGCAGGCACAAGCTCTCCTAGTCGATCAGAAATCACTTCCACGCAGAAATAACTTTGGACAAGATTATCCTCGCCCTGGTTGCTGAGTTTAAAATGTCACTAGCAGCGGTTGCTAATGCACCTGTACAGCCAAAGTTTAGAGTTTCCCATTGCTTCCTCTTAAAACGTGCCCCCAACATCCCATCCGCAGTGTTTGATTGACAGTAAGCCTCACTGACAGTGAAAATGCAATTGCAAGGAGGGATGCAAATACATTTTATTTTTAGCAGAGCTGAAGTGTGACAATGAGGAAATGCAACAACAAATGGGAGATCAGACCCAGCAGTGTTGCTGGAGTTTTTAAACACTAGTAAACATTTCTTGTCCACTCTATCAGACTTACTTATCTTGTTAGTCTAACTTGTAGATGTAAAATCAGAGACAATATACCTGTTTAAGTACTGTGTTAAGTGGACATGCTTAGTACATGGGTAGCTTGGGTAAATTAATTATTACAGTTGTTTCTCTGTGATTTTAGTCCCGTCCAGATCCTCTATCCTGAGCTGGATTAGATTTACCTGGGGAGGTGCTGTAATTTGAATGATTGCTGACGAGATCTTTGAGTTTAATCCAGTATGAATCTGCATCTCCTACAAATCTCCTTATATAATTTGAGGAACGCTGAGCTCACTCGGTATTAGTAGTCATGCTCGAATTGGCATCACAGTGATGTAATTAAAAATAATAATTAAAATAATTAAAAATGGCACCTTTGTTTTTTTTTCTTTTTTTTTGCGACCTGAAGACAAGGCTAACAGCTAAAATGAAGCTTGATTTGATCCAATTCCATAACTCTCAAGTTCAAGACTAAAATCAACAATTTTGTGTATATTTCCTCCTGTCCGCTGTGATTATGCACCGTCATTTCGAATTGCTGTTGATAACAGGCGGCAGCCCACACTGAAATGAGATGCAAAGTCTCCTCCCTTGTCCAGTGCACTTTTTTTTGTTGTTGGTTTTGTTTTTGTTTTTCGTTTTTTTTGGGGGGTATAATATTTGCCATTTAGCTGCAGAACGTGCTGTTATCTGTCCCATAATGCCGAGGTAAACATCTGTGTGATGATGTTTCAGTCTGGGCTGTTTGCAGAATTTAGGGAAATTAAGTAGATGGTTAGTGTTGCACTGCTAGATGTTAGCACTAGAAGCTGCCGTAATCTTAGCGATAAGGTCTAAACAGCTATACACACAACCATGCAGGTTTATTCCAGCTCATTGAAGCCTCACTGTTGCAAGTTTAGAGAATAAAGACTCAAATCTGAGCAAGTAAACCTGTGTTTTTGTGTTGGAGCTGTTAGCTTAAGTTACTTTAAATTCACATCCTCGTCAGCACCAGAGACCGATGTTACCTTAGCGAGAATCTGAGTGAGTGAAATCGAGTGACTGGTGCTAGAGTAACATAAAGACAGTTTTTCTGATTATTAATGTTAAAGTGGATGCTCATTTTTGTTTCCTCTTTGTCTCACCTACTCAAATGTAGAGACAGTGTGCAGGGTAGTGGGAGGAAGGGGCATTGTTTAGAAATGGTGCAGCAGGGAGTCGTTTACACTTTGTATAATTGTGAATATTCAGATATCTTTGTTGTGGTTTAGAGACGCTCCTATATTTTTTGTAGTTTCTTGGGCATAACAATAATAAATCAATAACAATTGTGATTTATTTTACGACTTTAGTGGGCACTTTAAAAGTTTGGACATGTTTTAGTGAGCAGCTGAACATACAGCTGAAATCTTTTTGGTGTGGCGGCAGTGTGTAAAATGAGTGGCCTCATGTTATAACGAGATTGATCGTCATGTGCAAATCAGTCAGAAGCGTTACAGACTTCCTGTGGTAAAACATTAATCCTCCCCATGCAGGACTAATTCCATCTGAATAGTACTGTGGTCATCTTTTTTTGATCATCAGTGGTCAGTTTCTGGCCGCAAGACATCATTGGCTGAAAATTTTTGTTTGGCGGGCTATTCTCATTCAGCAGTGTATAACAAATGATTTTCATATTGTTGTCCATCACAATCTTCAACTTTATCTATAACCTAAATCAGTAATGTCAGTCCATTTTGTGTATTTGTTAGTGTGGTGTTCTGTGTAGAGGGGATTGCCAAGTGGAGTTGGCCAATATTGATTTTGGTATTAATCTCCTTATAGGTCAAATATTTTAGCAGAAAGTATTAAAATCTGCATTTAATTATGGTGGCATTAAATTGTTTTCTGCAGAGCCTACAGACAGTCACATGCGTGCTGTCATTTCATCTCAAACTCTCATATTTGTTCTTGGTGTTTAGTCCAATATAATGGTTGGTAATATCACTCTGACTAGTGTTTGTCTTCTTTCTCCATGTTAAACGTGCAATTTAGCTGCAAAGTTGCTGATCACCACCTTATGCAAAAAATATTGTTGATTCAGAGCCGTCAAATTGCCCATTCCCTAGTGCCAAGGATGTAAATGACACATACCTGCAAATAAAGTGATTGTAATTCAGATTTCCAGTTGATGTGACATATATGCTTATGTGTTTTGTCCAGGGGAGGGTGCAGGTGTTTGTGCAGTGAGGACTTCGTGTTTAGTGGGTTGTGCAGTGATGCAGGACAGTCCAGACTGTCTGGTGCAGGCCCAGGCCATCACCTGCCTGCAGCAGCTGCACATGTTCTCACCCCGCCACGTCAACCTGGCCAGCCTGGTGCCCAGCCTCTGCGTGAGTGTACACAACACACGCTCTACTTGCTCGATCTCTCTCTCGCTCTCAAGAACACACACTCTCTCACAGGGACACAGACATACATGCAGATAAGCCGCAAACACATATATTATCTCATATTTAAACACAGATCCCTGAATATTCACTCTATGTACAGTCTTCTGCAATTTGACCCTCAGTCAAATTGCTTTTGTTGAAAATAAGTTACAGACAACACACTTAAATATTTTCTGCACATTTAAGTGCACAATTGCTGTTTATTTGCTAAGCTTACCATATTGGGGAAAGAAAAACATTAAAATGAAATTTGCCATTACTTTTGCACAGGACATATTTCACATTTTTATTAAGTTTTAAGTTTAAATTCAGCAAATAAGCAGTAATTGTGGATTAAATGTGCAGAAGTATGTGTACTGTAGAGGATGTATATTTATTTTCACTACGAAATTCAACAAAACGTAATTTGTCTAAGGGTGCCCTTTTGCATGTGACTGTATGCACAAGTGCTTTTTTGGCTTTATGTTATTTTGTCTTTTTTTTGGTCCCTTAGATTGCAAATGTTTACCCCAAGTATTTGCTCATCAGATGTTTAGTAGAACAAATAGTAGTCATCATCAGTAGTCCTCAGATTCAGACTCGAGCAGAGCTGACGTGTTCCATGCTGCTTGAGTTTCCCTCTCTTGTCATGACCGTGATGTTCTCTATTCTCTCGTTCAGGAGATCTTGTTGGATTATTCTGTGTTGGTACGTCACCCCACCCCCCACCCCCCCACACACCACCAGGCTGCAGTTTTAAATGATGTTTTCTGTTTGCTCCTTTTTTTCCTTCCTCATGCGGTGTAATTTGTCTCTCACTAGCCTTGCTATCTTTATTCTGTCTCCCTCTCCCCCTCTCTCTTCATCTTCCTCTCCCTGTCACTCTCAGTTGTTTTGTTTACATTTTTCATAATGCAGACTAACCAAACAGGCATTCTGGTTTTGAGCATGAGCTGTCACAGTCTGTCACTGCAGGGCTAATGCCAGGGATTTATATTCACAAGGCTTATAATGCTAAAGTTTACACACACACACACACACTGGGAATTAGTAAGACAGCTTTCAGACTATTAGCATTGTTGTTGCCTAAATGTCACGCTTGTGTTGCAAGCTTTATCCCTCTAAAGCAGGGGTGTCAAACTCAACCACTAAAAGGGCCATATTAAAAAATCTCAACAAATCCATGGCCCAGAGAACACTTATGTTTTATATTGGTTGAACTGCAGCTGAAATGTAGCTAGTGTGTTTAGTGATATGATATTGTAGTGCAGGGCATTGTATAATGGGCTAATATTAAAAGAAATTTACAATAATTTCGCGGGCTGGATAGGATTGTGTTGCAGGCTTGATCTGGCCCACAGGCCTTGTGTTTGATATATGGGCTCTAAAGCCATATGATGTTAATGGTAGCACAAAAAAAAATTTATGATGACTCATTCCTTTCAAAAACTATAACCTTCTTAACGTAGTTAGATGGTTTTTGAGAGTTATATAAAGGTAGTTTACTATATGACCTACTGTATGTCTGGCATATGCTATGTGCTGAACTCCATGCTTTGTCAAGAGGGAGAAATAGACGAGAAACAGCCAAAGAGGAGACAATCTGAAGAACCAAGACTGAGAAAGAAGTTGTTAGATCAGGCAAGGGCGAGAAGCCATGTTAACGTCGAGGAGGCGTTTCAGTGGTTGAGAGACCTCTGAGAGTTGACGAGGCTGAAGTTGGCTTCATATTTGCAAGCTTCTGCTGCCCCATTTAAGGTGGAATGGAAAAATTCAGACAAGAAGCTGATTGTCTTGCTATTTATCTGTAGAGCGTTTTCGAAGGGTTTTATGGCCGCAAAGATCTAAAAAAACAAGTTTGCTAGCCCAGTGTCATTCGCCTTGGCAGCACGCATCCATGAATTTGGGGGGCAGAGCTTCTGAAGGAGCACTGAAGGGAGGGGTGTATTTGTTTTGCTGTTGAATTCAAATGTCAACTTTTCTCCAGAGTCGCTCACTCCACCTTTAAAATTGGTAGAGCACTCTGTTGTCATAAGTATGCTTGTTCTTTTGGCATGTCTACACAGTAGTTCTCTGTGAATAATATTACTTTACAATTTCTGTCAGTTGTATCATTTGATTGTAGAAACAAACCTTGGCAGTAGCCCTGCTTCCTTACTTACACTTTTACTCTCAGTACAGAAATTGGATTTGTTGCCGATTTGGTTAAGTGTTACAGGGTTAACTGCATCTTGGCTACCACAGACTGCTGTCCGTGGCAGGCCACTGACACTTCTGTTGCTGTTTTTTCTGTTTCTTTGTGTATTTGTCTGTCATGCACTTGAGGACTTGCTGTTCATACAGCTCCAGTTCCACAAATGGTGAATATTTTACAGTACTGTCCAAAGGTCAGAGGCCGCACTTCATTTATTTAATTTCCAGTTTCCAATTTCCATTCAAAATGGCCATTTAATACAATTTATTAATTTTTTAGCCTCAGAAAAACATATTTAACAGTGTCCACACTCCGCACTGCACTTAGTGTCCACACTTAAATGTTAAGTCTTAGAAGTCTGCATGTTCTGTTTCTCATGATCCAAGTAAACCAAAACATGTTCAGTGATGTTGAAGTCCGATTCGGGTGGTCAGTCCATTGTTCTGAGAACTGCAATTTCTTTATCTTATATCTTCTTAAAAGTATCTCCAGAAAAACAAATAACTTGTACTTAATGATGGGAAGTTAAATAAGTGAATGGTGATCTCTGGTTTTTGCACAGTAAAAAAAAAAATCAAGAATATAAGAAACAATAGAAACAATATTGTGTGTGATGTATGTCCAGGTAAACCTGTGCAGTCTGTACCTGTCCCTACGACGAGCAGTTGTAGCATGCTTGCGGCAGCTGGCCCAGCGTGAGACTGTGGAGGTGTCTGAGCACGCTGTGGCACTGGTGAAGGAGCTGCCTCGAAGAGATAACACACAGCTGGGTGAGTCAACACCACCAACACTTACTATCTCATTTTCTGTCTCACATGTGAAGGGAATGAAAGTCTTACTCAGTAATTTCTTTCCTAGAACTTACCTTAAAGGATCTTAACAAGAAATGATGTTACAGAGCCATCATGAGCACTGAGAATAAACAAGAATTTCCTCTTCCATATAAATCTTCAACATGTTTGGATCTAAGTTCTGTCTGGTTTTGTCTTGCAGATGTGACAATTAAAGAAGTAGGTCTGGAGGGAGCCCTGTTCAGCCTGCTGGATCGGGAGTCAGACCCCCGGCTCCGCCAAGACATCAAGGATACGCTGGTTCATATGATGAGCTCCGCTGCTGAGAGTGAACTGGCCCACTGGCTAAAGCTCTGCAAGGACGTGCTCTCCGCATCCTCTGGTGAATCCATGTCTCACCCCTAACATGTTAATGGAAGAAATGCTAAAGATGAAATATACAGGGGTGTCCAGTCTTGTCCTCAAAGGGCTGCGGGTTTTCATTCCAAACAAGCAGGAGCGCATTCACACTTGTTAAATCAAATCGTGGGCCATTTCACAAGCAATTGATCACTTGATCTCCTGCTTTGTTGGAATAAATACCTGTAACCTCACCAGCCCTTTGCACTCTTGAATTAATAGGTGCCATTTTAGCGAGGATGGAAACTTCAGGCAAGATCAATACTATTCAGAAAGATTAACACATCAGTGGGTTTCCTCCAGGTACTCTGGTTTCCTCCCACAGTCCAAAGACATGCAGTCAGGCCAACTGGACACGCTAAATTGCCCCTAGGTGTGAACGTATATGTCTGTCTGCCCTGCAATGGACTGGCGACCTGTCCTGGGTTTTTCCTGCCTTCTGCCCAATGACCACTGGGATAGGCTCAAGCACCCCCCCCTGCGACCCAGAAAGATAAGCGGTTTAGAAAATGTGTGTGTGTGTGTGTCTGTGTGTGTGTGTGGTTGTTTAGACCTTTTGCTTTAGACCCCTACGAGCAGATGAATCTGATGTTTTTGTGAACGTGTTGAAAAAGTATCAAAAGAGAGCTCAGGCAAAACTTGGTAAAGGACGTGTCTTCCGATGATGTAAGTGAATTATGTACAATTAAACATTGTGAGGAATTTTCTTTCTGAGTCTGTGTGAGTGACGTTAATAGTAAAGACATATGACATATTCAGAAAAACTCCTTTTTACCCCAGTAATGCTGCTACTTTTCCATTTTAACAAAATAATCTTACATAGTTAAGATTTATGTGTAGTGGTTTTATTGAAAATAGCTAATTTTAAAGTTCAATAGTTTAGAAAGAAGGACTGTCAGATTAGTGCCATTGTGACACGGCCACATGAAAGATGTTTTATAGGAAGTACACTGATGAGGCATAACATTATGACCTCCTCCTTGTTTCTACGCTAATTGTCCATTTTATCAGCTCCACTTACTATATAGGTGCACTTTGTAGTTCTACAATTACAGACTGTAGTCCATCTGTTTCTCTGCATGCTTTGTTCGCCCCCTTTTACCCTGTTCTTCAGTGGTCAGGACCCCCATGGACCCTCACAGAGGAGGTACGATTTGGGTGGTGGATCAGTCTCAGTACTGCAACACTGATGTGGTGGTGGTGTGTTAGTGTGTGTTGTGCTGGTACGAGGGGTAAGACACAGCAGTGCTGCTGGAGTTTTTAAATACTGTGTCCACTCACTGTCCACTCTATTAGATACTCCTACCTTGTCAGTCCACCTTGTAAATGTAAAGTCAGAGACGATAGCTCATCTGCTGCTGCACAGTTTGTGTTGGTCATCCTCTAGTCCTTCACCAGTGGTCACAGGACGCTGACCACAGGACGCTGTTGGCTGGATATTTTTAGTTGATGGACTATTCCTAGTCCAGCAGTGACACTGAGGTGTTTAAAAACTCTGCAGCACTGCTGTGTCTGATCCACTCAGACCAGCACAACACACACTAACACACCACCACCACGTCAGTGTTACTGCAGTGCTGAGAATGATCCACCACCCAAATAGCACCTGCTCTGTGAAGGTCCATGGAGATCCTGACCACTGAAGAACAGGGTAAAAGGGGGCTAACAAAGTATGCAGAGAAACAGATGGACTGAAGTCTTTGTAGAACTACAAAGTGCACCTATATAGTAAGTGGAGCTGATAAAATGGACAATGAGCGTAGAAACAAGGAGGAGGTCATAATGTTATGCCTGATCAGTGTACATATTAAGCACATGCTATTGGTTTCCTTTTACACTGACTTTCTTTGATGGCTAGCTATACGAGAAAGAAAGAATTCGTTGTTTGGTTGTTTTTCTTTGAAGGTCATCAACAAGCACCTTAACATAAGTGTTCCACTACCTTTTGTCATTGCATTTCGTTTTATTTTGTGTATATGTTGTCAGACTCGGCAGTAATCACACTGGTGGAGACCAACCAGGAAGAGGATACTGATGACTCTTCTGCCTTCCATGCCAAGCGTGAGCACAGCGGGCCCTTCAACAGCTTGCGATGGTCTACGCGAGTGTTTGCTGTTGAATGTGTTTGCCGCATTATAGTGCAGTGTGAGAGCGGAGATCCGGCTCACTTTGACATGGTGCTGGCTCAGGAGCAGCGCTTGCACGAGTCCACAGGTCAGGCTGCTCTGCTAGACGTAATCCTTTTTGTTCTTAAAGAGAACAAAGCCCTCCAATAACTGTCTTTAGGTGTTGCTCATCGCATCTTCATGGATCTCCTGCCTGTGTTTTTGCTCAGACCAATCTGACCAGCACTGTTAATATGTGGCTAAATTCTCAGATCTCTGTGTGAATTGTTGTTGTCCCAGACATTTCAACTTTCTGACACACACTGCATTTTTTCTCCTTTAGATTTCCTGGTTCTCCATTTGGCCGATCTGGTACGCATGGCCTTCATGGCAGCAACGGACCACAGTGAGCAGCTCCGGCTGGCCGGCTTGCAGATGCTACTTGTCATCATCCGCAAATTTGCCAGTGTTACAGAACCAGAGTTCCCCGGGCATGTCATTGTAGAGCAGTACCAGGCCATCGTAAGAGTCCCAGTAATACATACACAGAATTGAGCTCTTCTTCGAGTATGTTCCGCCTATGACGTTTCCTGTCTTTCGAAAAGATCGGCTGCACATCTGTGACATGAAGGTCTTTCCTTGACAGACTGTGTGGGTTGCTTAAATCCGTAGTTCTCATGCAACACAGACACGAGCAGTCTATTAAACAAATATAAAAATGTACTGTGCCCTCCACAAATGTTGGCACTCCTGGTAAACAAAAGCAAAACAAGCTGAAAAAATTATTTGTTGCTTATCCTTTTGATCTTTCATTAAAACATAAAAAAAACAACGTGAAGTACAATGATTGAAAGAAAAAACACTAAATCTCATCATAAAATAAATATTTTTCACAAATCTATGTGTGCCACAGTTGTTGGCACCCCTTCATTTAGTACTTTGTGCAGCCTCCTTTTGCAAAAAATGACATAACAGCTCTGGGTCTTCTCCTGTAATGCTTAATGAGACTGGAGAACATAAGGCAAGGGATCTGAGACTATTCCTCTACACACAATCTCTCCAGATCCTTCAGATTCTCAGGTTTACACTTGTGGACTGTCCTCTTCAGCTCATCCCACAGGTTTTCTTTTCTTTCGGATGACCATTTCAAAACCTTGATTGTGTAGTAATGAAACGGTTACCGGTTTCACGGTAGACCATGGTAAAATTGCAGGTGGTTAGTATTACCATTTCAGATTTTAATTATCATTAAAATTGTGGTCGTTTACTGCAGTCTGAAAAACTTTGAAATACTTTTCAGCATCAACCAAAGTTAGCAACAGTCTCCCAGATGCAAGGGCGCAAGCACGCATTGTGGGTTTGTTTTGTGTCCGTGTGAACATGGTGGAAGCCAGTGACAGCGCTCCGGAGATTTTTCAGGTTTCTAAGAGGTCTAAGTCAGAAGTATGGTCGTATTTTGGTTTACAGAGGGAATCTTGATTGAAGATGGTCACCCTGTCTGCAGAACATGCAAAAAGAAAATCGCTGCGAAAGGGGGCAACATTTCAAATCTTACGATTCATTTCCGTGACCTCCCTACTATATTGTGACATGTGTTCCAATGAATTGTGCTTCCTTGCCGAAATGTCATACCGGTGCACCATTTAAGGTGGAAAATTCGAACAAGAAGCTGGCGAATACTATGCTGACTTCACCATTGTATTAAAACTGCAGGTAGGATAGTTTGATTGTCTAGATGTCCTTATCAGAAAATGTTACCAGCATTAAAAGAATAATTAGGATATTTTGATAGCCTAATTCAGCTTATTAGGGGGGAAGTAGTCTGTACTGAATTGACATTAAGAACACAACGAGAAACGTTTGAACATTTATGTTTGAACCATTTGAACCTCTCATGGCCACATGGTGTCACCACATTTGATGTGGTTTTCATATGTTAACATAAGATATTGCCTGTATTATTATTTTAACATTTATGTGCACAAAGACTGCAAATTCTGCTCATTTTATTTGTAGTTTTCAATATGAAGATTGGTGAAATGATTTGTGTGTGAGTAGTTTTTGAAAATTTTAGCTCATTTTAATGATACCACAATAAGACTCATAACCGTGCTAATGTTGGGCACTGTAATCGCAATATTAAATTTTTCATAGCGATTCATCTCTATTGTGTAGTCAGTGAACCATTTTTTGCTATTTTTTAGGTGTGATTTTGATCATTGTCCTACTGGAAGATCCAGCCATGGCTCAGTTTAAGCTTTCTGGCTGAGGCAGTCAGGTTTTGATTTAATATGTGCTTGTACTCAAGAGTTCCTGATACCATGTATTCAAAAAAGTTGTCCAGGGCCTTTGAAAGAAACAGTCCCGCAGTATTACAGATCCACCACCATACATAATAGTGGGGAAGAGGTACTTTTCTGCATGGCTATCTTTGTGTCCATGCCAAACCCACCTTTGTTTGTGGGTTTGGCATTGGCACAAAGTGTCTGTTGTTGGCATAAGGTTTTTTTTTTTTGTTTGTGGTCTCATCTGACCATAGAAGACGGTCCCACTGAAAGTTCCGGTAAGGTCAGGCAAATTTAGGCACTTGAGTTTGTTGTTCCTTGACAGCAGAGGCTTCCTTCTGGCAACCCTCCCAAACAACTTGTGGCCATGTAGGTGGTGCTTGGTTGTGATTCTTGAACATTCTTTCGCCACTCTAACCATCTTTCTTACTGTGTGTGGGGTCAGTATTGACATACGTCCTTTTCATGGCAGATTCTTAACATGTCCAGTTGTTTCATACTTCTTAATTATTGCCCTCATAGTTAAAATAGGCATTTTCAACTGTTTAGCTATTGTCTTGTAGTCATTTCCTGATTTGTGCGGTTCAACAACCTTTTGCTGCAAATCACTGCTGCATTCTCTGGTCTTTCTCATAGTGATGGATGACTAAGATAGTTTTGCCTGTGTGTCAGCAAATATTTAACAAAGTCTTAACTGGTTGTTTAAGTACAATCACTACATTTTCGAATAAGGGTTAGATTTTTTGTTAATATATCTGAGATCAAAATAACTAAGATTAGCAATAATGTTTTTTTATAGCCTGTTTTGCTAACGTCTACCAGGGCTGCCAATATTTGGGGATGCACTGTATTTTTATAGGTTTAATGTTTTTGTATTTTATTTTTTTCACCATGGATGATACATCTTGTTGTAGTCCATTAGTTAATTGCTGTAGTGCATTAGTGCTCTTAGGTTATTATCTTCTGGAGTATCATTTTTTCTCTCTCTCTCTCTCTCTCTCTCTCTCTCTTTCTTTCTTTCTTTTCTTTCTTTCTTTCTCTCTCTCTCTCTCTCTCTCTCTCTCTCTCTCTCTCTCTCTCTTTCTCTTTCTCTTTCTGTCTCTCTGTCTCTCTGAGAATGAGAGAGAGAGAGAGAGAAACATAGAGGAGTCTCAGTTATACCAGATTAGGTTGTCTCTGTGTGCTTAGCTAAGACTTCTTTTTGGTAATATGACAAACTATTTACTATAAGTTTGTTATAAATTCTGTGAAAAGTTGCTGCTGGTTTGCAGTAAGTCAAATGAAGTTGAAAAAATGATTTGGTGCTCATCCTTTGAAACACTGACAGTACGTCATATACTAATAGACTTTTTTGTTTGAAGGTGGGAGCTGCTCTGAGACCTGCTTTTAGTGTGGATGCCCCACCTGACGTCACTGCTAAAGCCTGTCAGGTCTGGCCCTTCTATGCTTAAGAAAAACACATGGTGTTTATGCTCTGTTTTAAAATTGTGTCCCCTTAACTAATGACTACACTGGCTAGCTCACAGTTAGAGATTCAAACTGCAAAGCTTCTTGCTGTCAAGCTGTCATTTGAAATGCTGCAGTTTAGGTATGTTGACCTGGAGTCATTTAACAAATATGACACTGCGGTTTGTCTCCTTCAGTACGGTGTGATGATTGTTTTTCAAATAACTTGAATACACTTGGGGTCTGCTTGACCTACTTTTTCCCTCTGAGCATTAGCTGTTTACCACAGCCCTTAAAAGAGCTCTTTCAGAGGTTGCCTTGGGAGCACTGAGTTCTTTTCTTGTTCTTTTTGTTGCTGTGCAGGTTTGTAGTGCATGGATCACCAGCGGGGTCGTCAGCGATCTCCGGGACCTGAGGAGGGTGCACCAGCTTCTGGCGTCCTCGCTGGTCAAGGTTCAGGGAGGGCGAGATGTGCTCAATCCCTTCTATAATGAGAGCACTTTCACCATGGAGACACTGGCTGTGCTCAAAGCCTGGGCAGAGGTGAGAAGGACCGGCTTACTTCCATCAAGCTAAACATGGTGTTCCATTGGTGCACCATTAGTTGACCCACATTATAGCCTGGTACAAACAAGTCTGAATGTTGTGAGCTTTTACTGCAAACTCTGTGTATTCAATCAGTTGCCAAATGGGCATTGCATCAATGTAGGTCTAAAAAGCTTCAGCCTGTTTTGGATTCTTCTTTCTGGGCCTTGTATCTGTGCATTTAGTTCCCTGAACTGACCCCATAGATCCTTGGAGCAATTTAAAAATTCAGAAGATTTTTTTTTAAATCAACATTTATCAGCACTTGTTTGCATTTTGTCGGCATTTTATTCATTTTACTGTATTGTAACCCAATAAATAAATGTCACATTTCCCTGTAATGCTAATTCTAATGGGTACAATTATATATAATTTTATAAATAGATAGGTATCTGCACAAATAGATTCGTACACAAAAAACATTGGCATCATCCCAGAATTCACGTATTGGTGCAACCCTAATTAATACCTGTGTTATATCGTATAATATAAATATAAACTGGTAATGAGATCAGTCAGTCCAATTCAGCCATAAGCCTATAATGAACACACTATAAAATGGTAATTTTCAAAAAGTACACTGACAAACAAAACATGTCAGACCAGAATGGCAGTCTAAAATTAACTAAATTTACTGTAGTATCAGCAAAGTAGCATAAACTTACCCGAACTGTGCAGCTATAGTATCTATGAAAACACACATAGCGGATGAGGCTCTGTATCAGCTGTATAATATAAGGACTGTATAATATAAGGATGAGAATGGGGGACTAAAAAACGAATCAGGACATCCCTAATTAAACTATGTATAGTATAACAGAGTATACAGAGAAATAGATAGACTACAGTCTGTAATTGTAGAGCTACAAATTGCACCTATGGGGTAAGTGGACTGATAACATGGAAAATGAGTGTAGATACAAGGTAGAAGTACCTAATAAAGTGCTCAGTGAGTGAATATCTCAGAAAGTCATAATAGCAGTTTTTCCCACCTGCATCTGTCATTTTAGGTGTATATTGTGGCAGTGCAGACCACCAGGCAGAAGGAGAGTCCTGCTGTGTGGCACCAGGAACAGCAACAAGAACAGTGCGAGGATCATGGAACTGCAGAGACAGCAGGAGCTGGCCTGCTGAAGCTGGTGCAGGGTGACCTGGCTACGCTGAGCCGCCTGTGGCTGGCCGCACTGCAGGACCATGCGTTGCTCACTCTGCCTCCAACCTATGCCAGTCAGCTCCCAGCCACAGGTTACTGCTAACAAAGAGCATAGCAGTTAGGAAAAGAGGATAAAAAGTGACTCATTCTCAACCCGCGGAGGGTTATTGTAATAAAACTGGTGTTTGATCATTTTAATTTGACCAGTTGTTGACCATTTGGTTAAATCGTTTTGTAAGGGTATATGAGTAATTGGACTCTCCCTCTATGCCTCAGGCGGCTCATTCTATACTGCAGAGACCGTGGAACAGGTTCGTCAACATTACTGTTTTGCCTGGGCTCCTATCCTCCATGCCACCGCCCTCTGGCTCAACAGTACAGAGTTCATCATGGTTGACGAGGGTCCAGCCAACCTTTCCAGGCCTGTCACCCCCACCTCCATGGGCCAGTCCACCACTCTGGCCAGCATTAAGTCCCCGGAGGATGTCAGCACTGAGCGTCTCCACCTCATCCTGGGTGAGGAGCTTGTTCAGTTGATGTTGGCCTTTAGATTTAACTAAACTATCTAACTGCATAAGATTGACTCTTGGAGTCAATAAGATTGGAGTTCTAAAAACCTGCTACCTTGTAGTGTCCTTGTTGTGATGACCAAAGAGTAGTTGGTGCTCACGTCCTGTATGTAAAATGACTGATGTTGTCCGGATTCACATTTGTAGGGATCAGTGTTGAGTTCCTGTGCTCACCACACTCTCAGAACCAAATGGAGAACATCACCTCATGTCTTCGTGCCCTGCAGGCCTTACTCGATGTGCCTTGGCCCCGTTCAAAAGTGGGCAATGACCAGGTACTTCAACATACAGTGCTCTTATCATTGAGTCTCCACTAATAGAAGATATAGCCCTTTAGGTTACGGTTCTTGTGTTCATCCTTCTAAATGTGGCATTGCCTACTGATAATGATCTTAAATGTGCTTCTTTGGTCTGTCTGGTTTCTTATTACCTCTTCTTGTCACTTGTGTCTGTGCTTTTGGCCTACTAGTTATTTTTGGCCTTTCTGGCTCTGTGTGTATTTGTTGTGTCTGCAGGCACTGTCTGTGGAGCTTCTCAGCGTGCTGCACAGGCTGATCGTGACACGTGAGTCCCCGGGGGTCCAGCTGGCTGTGCTGGAGCTGGTGCGGCAGGTGGTATGTGCAGCTCAGGAGCATGTCAGAGAGAAACGCCACAGCGCAGAAGGTAAGTGAAAGTCCTACATAGACAATATGTTCTATCGCCTTTTTCTGTCAGTGTACAGATTAAAGGAGCAGTTGGGCCAAAAAATACTAACATTACCTTGCAGTAGGCCTCAATTACCATTATGCGCATGATATTGTACCAGCTGTTGGCTACTATCTGGCTACTGTCACGGATAGCTGCGTGTGTTTTGTTGCTGTTTGTTAAGACTGTCTTTAGTTTTTTTGTCTCTCTTTGCTCTGTTTGTTCTGTTCAGTGGATGATGGTGCAGCTGAGAAGGAGACAGTACCAGAGTTTGGAGAGGGCCGAGACACGGGTGGCCTGGTCCCTGGGAAGTCTCTTGTGTTTGGAGCTCTGGAGCTTTGTCTCTGTATACTGGTCCGGAAGCTACCGCAGCTCAGTCCACGGCTAGCCGGCAGTCCCACTGGGCAGGGAGGCCTGCCCTGGTCCCTCAGCGTCAGTGACTGCAGGCTGGTCACTTCGGCTTTGGGGATCCTTTCAGAGCTGCCTTCCATTTGCTCGCCTGAGGGTAAGAGAGATGGACAAGAGAGACTTTTGGGGGGAAAAAAAAACTTGTCATCCGCATCCTGACATTGTAGTCCTAACAGATGTTCTACTATTTTCTAGATGAATATCTTAAACAAAAAATATGTTGCCTATTTAAATAAAATTAATCAGTAAAAATACTACATTGGAAGTAAGAGTCAACTGCCTTTTAGCAGGAGCCATGCATATTTATTTTACAACACAAATGCTATACTGGTATAGGTGTAACAACAACAATCAAATACAGTGCGAGTGCACTTACCTGGCTTATATTATTGACATCATAATATTGCAGCGCAGATCAGCCAGAATTAAAATAATAATTTGCCTGATGTCTAATTCTTCATTATGTCTTTTAGAGCAAAAATCTGCCATTACCAATTTTGGCTATGCATCTCCACAGTTAAGTGCTGGTATCACTCATAAAACATGAATGATTTGTGAATCTCCAATGTCGCATTTACAAATTCCACACAAGTCCAAAGAGTCCAGTAACTCAGCTCCATCTAGCTGGAAAAAAGAGTAGGCCAACAGATTAATATATACAGACACACACGTGCGCACACAGACACAATGGATATATTATACTGCTCCCAAGAATGCATCACGTAGTATAAAGGTATTTATGCTTGAAATTGGACACACTCGTTGTATAGTTCTGTTCTAAATGCATATTACTGACTTGAAGTGCCTGTACTGGCTGGTGGGTATGAATGATATGATACTGAGAATCACTGGTGTTTTGTCAGGCAGCGTGTCCGTGTTGCCCACTGTGCTGTATCTACTGCTTGGGGTGCTGAAGGAGCTAGTGAGGGGGTTTGTTGCAGCAAACAGAGGAATACTGGTATCTGGAGCCCTGCAAGCACTGCGCAATGTCTTGTCCTGTCCCATGAGCAGAGCTGAGAAGAGTCGTGCTGCATGGGTCGAGCTTCTGCGCTCTGCTCTCAGTACACTGCTGGAGTGCTGGGATACAGGTAACACACACACAGTCATCTCTCCCACTCTTCTCGTCACATATGAAATACATTACATTAATATATCTCAAATTGATGTTTGTCTTTGTGAACCTCAACTCACTGCTTAGTTGAAAACAGAAACTTGCTTCACAGAGCATAAGAACATTCAGTCCATTAGATCTGTTGTCGTTTGGCTTGTATAGATAAGATGGAGCCTGTTGTGGATGAGGAAACCTTGTTGACAGCACTCACCATCTTCCTGCTGTCTGCCAGTGCTGAGGTCATCACAGTGGAACCACTGCTGTCACTCTGTGTCTGCAAATTCCAAGCCAGCCTGGAGTCCAAGGACCCCATGGTGAGCAGAGCAGCATAGCTGCGGAGCACAGTAGATCAGTAGAGAATACAGCATTTCCTTAGGGAAAGTAACAAGGCATAGTTGTCAAATGCATTTTAGAAATAGTTTTCCTCAAGCGTTGTTTCTAAATGTTTCATGGAGTTTCAATTTATTTTTCCTGAGCAGTCAGTATACTGAAAGAAATGTGTAACTGTGTAAAGTGTGACCTTTTGTGATAATGTAATTAAAATGCAGAAAATCTACATTAATTAGCCAAAACATTATGACCACTTGCCTAATGCTGTTGGTCTTTTAAGTTCTGTAAGTTGCGAGGTAGGGCCGCCGCTGATAGAGTTGTAGCACATCCCACAGATGCTCATTGGGATTGAGATGTGGAAAATTTGGAGGCCAAGGCAACACCTTGAACTCTCATGTTCCTCAAACAATTCTTGAAGAATATATGCAGTGTGGCAGAGCGCATTGTCCTGCTGAAAGATGCCACTGGTATTGAATACCATTGCCATGATGGAGTAACCTGGTCTGATGTTTACCATCACTTTCTCAGGTAAATGACCATCTATGTGATGTAAAAAAAAAACAAAACAAAACAGGACTCATTGGGTGAGATGGCCTTTTTCCTTTGCTCTGAGGTCCAGTTCCAGTGCTTGCATGCCCATTGTAGGTGCTTCCAGCATTGGACAGGGTATAGCATGGGCAGATGCGCAGCCCAATGCGGTGTGATGTGTTGGGATACATTCCTCTGGTAATCATTAAAAATTTCTGTGACTTATGCCACAGTAGCCTTTCTGTCAGTGTGAACCAGATAGGTTTGCCTTTGTTGCCCTTATGCATTAATGAGCTTTGGACACTCAATACCCTGTCACCTGTTCATGTTTTTTTCCCTCTTGGACCACTGTCGGTAGGTATTTGCCATAGCTGACCAGGAGCACCCCACAAGCCTTGCCATTTTGGAAATGCTCTGACCCAGTTGTCTGGCCATAAGAATTTGTCCCTTGTCAGAGTCACTCAGGTCTTCATGCCTGCCCATTTCTCCTGCATCCAACATGTCAACTGCTACAAGAACTGACTGTTGTTTACCATGTAATATATACCAGGCATGTGCCATGTTAAGATCAAATCAATTATTTTAATTATTAATTATTTAATGATTTATTATTTAATTATTAGTTATCAGTTATTTGCTTCATCTCTGAGTGGTCATAATGGTTGGGCTCATTGGTGTACAATTCATATATTCATATATAATTATTTCATCACTTCTAATGTAGAATATCCACAGACTGTGTGTAGTTTATAGGTTTGGGGCATTTGATATCTTTTCCCTTACACACAGCTTTGGTTATTCCTCTCTAGTTGCTGAGCAGGAGTTACCAGTTGTTGGCATCAGTGTTTCAGGGCCCAACAGCAGTAGCTGGGCCATTTATCCAGGCATTGGGCAGACAATTAGTGGGTTATTTGCAGCAAGTGGAGAAGAATCGGCCTCAGACTGCTGCTGAGCTCCAGGCAGTGCAGGATGGAGTCGGAGCCATGGAGGCACTCGTGCTCGCCGCAGAGGAAACACACCGTCAGTATTTCTTTCATACATGGTGCTTGAGTTTAGTTCAATTAACAAAATAGATTTACCTTGTGTAGATTTGTCTGTCATTTGCCTCTGGGGGAGGGTTACTTGGATTTATGCATTGTAATTTGTATTCTAATTCCCAACTTGTCATATAAGCTTTCCAAAGTAGACATTAAAGGGAGAGTATGTACTATATTCAGTATATATTATACTATATTGTACAGTATCTCTACTGCTAAGTACATATGCATGCCCCTTGGACATGAAAATCAGAGGTCAGCTAAATGAGGCCAAACTACATGGTTATTCTGTGCCAAAGTCAAAACAATGACTAAACCCCAGGTACCACTCAAAAACATTGCCTTCAGATTGCATCATCAAGAAGTCAAATGCTGAGTGCATTCTCATGAATCACAGACATCTCAACAATACTGTGCACATTTGTTTTCACATCAGTTTGAGGGCAGACATAATATGACTTGGCCTCAAGGCCATAAGTAGTTCAACCAGTTAATTCAGAGCTTGTTCTTGGTTCTAGTAATTCGTGTTTCTTAGTTAAACCCTGTGACATGCATTCAAGCAAACTAGGGATTGACTTGTGTCTTGAAGGTTATGGATCATGTTAGATTGCCTGTATACTTTTATGGCTTTATTTCCTATTGGTTGCATGTTTTTGTCCTGGATAAGAGCATTTTTCAAATGGCTAGATGTGAATGCTAGTCAGTAGAGGGCAGATAGTAGGTCATATAGACAACATGTTGACCTTGAGAGAGCCCACAACAAACATTGTAAAAAAAAATTTTTTAGGCACGAATGTATTCCACTTAGATTCGCCTCAGATAGAATCCAGTCTACAACTCACATATACTCAGCTGTAAGAAGTAATTAGTTAACATGGCATAGATTACAGCTGCGTAATTTTGAAAAGTTAACACCTCTTACCTTAAGCTCCTTCTTATACTGTAGCTCACAGAGCAGCACTGCTAAAGGGACACATCCAAGAGGACTGGGCACATCTTCAGACATGTGATCCAAACAGAGCACGACAACAAAAGTACTGTACTATATTGATGATGTTTTTTTTAACTTCTTTCCTAATGTAGAAAAACAATGTTTGCTGCCTCATTTATTTAAAACAAGACCAGTGTTAGGTTTTGACCAGTGTTCTCACCTGTCTGCTCAGCAAAGTAGTTTGACAGCAAGCTAAATGTGGCACTGTCAGACTCTTACAAGTGATTAGTAACTGCCCTGATGACACATTTTCATTGTAAATGTTCATACAAGGTAGGTGGGACAACGTTTCTTTGGTGACTGCTTTATTAATAATGACTGACTGCCTCACTTTGTTTAACTGGGGGTGCCAGAAGGGTGGCCATGCTTCATGCAAGGGTAGCACTGGCATTCCCTGACCACACTTTGGCTTTCCCCCTGCATTCTGTACTTTGTCAAGATCGTCAAAAAGTATGCATTTATACATCTTGTATTTTTTTTTAAAAGATATTGGTGTTGGTGCAGGTTCCCAGCTGGTGACTATACTTTTACCCATCCTGGTCTCCTTCCTGCTGGACGAGAACACTTTGGCCTCAGCACCTGCAGCTTCCCGCTCTCTGCACGAGTCTGCTCTGCGAGACCTGATGCGTATTGGGCCCCAGCATTCTGCTGTCTTCAAAACGCTCATGGCCTCCGCCCCCCACATGAAGGCCCGACTAGAAGCAGCCATTAAGGGCAACCAGGAGAGTGTGAGCGCCAAAGCTACACCACCTCAGGTTTCTGGCAAGCACATCCCCAGCATCCAGCTGAAAACCAACTTCCTGTAAATCTTAGAAGTTTTTAGGGCAGACATAAAGATGTTATTTTAATTTATCCTGGTTTTAAGACAGTAAGTTATTACAGTAGTCATACGTTAATATTCATTCTAAAACTATTAACCTCTATGAGGAACTTAATTAAAATGAAGCTAGTGAAGATTTTTTTTTTTTTTTTGGAAAGAGAATACAGACTGCATTGAGAATGAGGAACCTGTTGTGGTGAGTAAGGAATACACTGTGTTTAAAAATGTAGTTCTTACCTGCAAATGAACTTCATGTGGCTTTTATATTTATCATCAATTTAATTTGTAATACTAAATACCTCAGTAAATATTAAATCCACTTCTCTCACTCAGTCAGGCAGAAGATAACTGGTTGTGAGAAGTGTCTGTGTTTGTGTTAGCCTACGATTTCCCAGTTCTTTTTCTGGAGGCTGTCAGCATTGTACATTTTAGTGTTTCCCTGCCATTATACACCACTTTTGAAAAGTTTAAATGCCTCTTAATGAATTCATGGGTTGAGTCAGGTGTCTCAGAGCAAGGAAAAACACAAAATGCAGTACATGACTAGGATTAAGAAAAACTGTTTTAGCTCATGTAGGTTAGCTGAACCTCATTAACTCACAGCTTGCCACTATAACCTGATCCATAACTACACATTTTTAACTCACTACAGAACAAACAACTTCACTGAGAGCTCACTGAAAGCATTGTTTGACATTAAACTACTGCATGTAATTTACAGGTAATCCTGAAATGCACTTCATGTTTTTTTTTTCCCTAGAGACAGTGCTAGTACTAGTAGAATTCTTGAGCATTACAGATATGGTCCCTGTTGCAAATGCATGAAAAATTACAGCCTTATATTTGCATTTCTGCATTACATTGCTCTACAACTCCTTTTGTAAGTCACTGCACTGATACCTGCAGTGCAACTTCGTATATATAGTCAGACATGGTGTTATGCTATTCATTTAATACTTAATGATGCATGGAAAGCTGATCACATTTCACAGGTTTTAACATGTTCTGCACTGCTGATTATTGGCTAGAATGATATTTAAGGTAATGGATACTACCTAAAGGGGATACAATTATATAAGGTTGTATTCAATTTACAATTATAATATGTTTCTGATGATATCAGGATACAGTGAGAACAGATCTGTTATAACATAGATGGTACTGAAGAGACTTTATTGCACAAACTGGGGAACTGTAACATTTGAACTGATTGTTGTGGTTTAATTTTTTTTTTTCTTTTTCAGTATTTTTAGGCATCAGGTGCTGCTTCCAGCTGTTTCACTTTGTTGGCACTTTTTCTGCAGTAAAGATGTAAATTAATACTGTATTTGTAACCATACCACATATTTTGTATTCTGTAAAGTGCACAAAATCATAGGGCAAAATTAACAGTTATTTTGTGAATAAATGTTGCAGAATAAATATCTTCTGTCAAGAATAAAGCGGCTCTGTCATTTCCACTTCATTTTTGGGTTACTTGCTAACTGCTGCTGTTATTTGATGCTGTATGAGCCCACTATATTCCTAAGACTAAAGAGGACAAACAGCCCCACATAATATCACGGTTTTACAGAAATATGGGTCCAGATCCCATACAAGCTGGAGGGTAACAGTGGCAGGAAAACCTCTCCAAGAAAGAGCCTGAGGGGGAAAAACAGTCAGAGGAAGGCTCAAAAGTATGCATTTATACATCTTGTATTTTTTTAAAAAGATATTGGTGTTGGTGCAGGTTCCCAGCTGATAACTGTACTTTTACCCATCCTGGTCTCCTTCCTGCTGGACGAGAACACTTTGGCCTCAGCACCTGTGGCTTCCCGCTCTCTGCACGAGTCTGCTCTGCGAGATCTGATGCGTATTGGGCCCCAGCATTCTGCTGTCTTCAAAACGCTCATGGCCTCCGCCCCCCACATGAAGGCCCGACTAGAAGCAGCCATTAAGGGCAACCAGGAGCGCGTGAGCGCCAAAGCTACACCAACTCAGGTCTCTGGCAAGCACATCCCCAGCATCCAGCTTAAACTTCCTGTAAATCTTAGAAGTTTTTAGGGCAGACATAAAGATGTTATTTTAATTTATCCTGGTTTTAAGGCAGTCAGTTATTACAGTAGTCATACGTTAATATTCATTCTAAAACTATTAACCTCTATGAGGAACTTAATTAAAATGAAGCTAGTGAAGATTTTGGAAAGAGAATACAGACTTTGCATTGAGAATGAGGAACCTGTTGTGGTGAGTAAGTTTACACTGTGTTTAAAAATGTAGTTCTCACCTACAAATGAACTTCATGTGGCTTTTATATTTATCATCATTTTAGTTTGTAATAGTAAATACTTAAGTAAATATTCAATCCACATCCAAATACAAGCTGGAGGGTGACAGTGGCAGGAAAAACTCCCCAAGAAAGAGCCTGAGAGGAAAGAACAGTCAGAGGAACCAAGGCTTAAATGGGAAACCATCTTCCTCTGGTCAAGACCGGATAGTGGAGTCACAAAACAAGTAGTAGTTCACACGTGAGGCCCTCATATCAAACATAAGACCTGTGAGATAAGCCAGTGACTACTTGACTAAAAATCTGTCAGGGAAAAAAAAATTCTGGCAGACAACAGATTAAATATATTAAGGATATTAGATATGAGAACATGGTGGGTAATAAATTCAATATGATGCAGGACAACAAAATACAGATTAAGAGTTAATGCAGGATTCGTAGTCCTGAAGCTCATTATAAATCATGATTGATTTTCAAGAAGGATGTCATAAAACATTTGCTAAAATACTGAGGCATCCAGGTGAGGCTTTATATTGCAGCAAGAGGGTGAACAGTAAATGCAAGTGGCTCTAAACTCATCAAGCAACATTATATCAAATAGCAGAAGCACATGTACAGCAAGCTTAGCTGTAAGAGTTTAAAGAAAAAGAGAGCCAGAAAGTACCACAGGGATGTCAGTATATCCTGGACATCAGTAACCCTCCACCATCAACAAACCTATGTGAGTGTATGAGACTGGCAGGATGACAGCACCAACATCTCAGTTTGCCTGAATTGTCCATGAAATTCCAAATCTACTAATACTAAGACTGAACACTAACAACACTAATGTTTTATAATCAACGTGGAATTTGACAGGGAACAATCTAGTATTGCTAAAATACGGATAATATTGTCAACTTTGTGGTGCTTGTAAGCACTCTGGCTGCTGAATTGTGGTGTAAATGAAGCTTCTTTAGGAACCTACTTGGACATCCAAACAGCAAGGCATTACAGTATAGTATGCATGAATCATTTCTCCACTACACTTTCATATACATGATCTATTTTTTATAACTTACATAATAGTTTCTTAAGACGAATTTTACCTATAGTATGTGCATCAAATGACATTAGACTCAATCTAATAACCTTTGAACTAAGTAAAGAACCTGTTTTGTCTAAATTAAGTAGTAGTACATTACTCAACATCCAGTCTTTTATGGCCTTTACACAGTTCTTGGTGTGATTAAGTTGGTGTTTATCAATTTAATGTTCAGTTGTGTCATCAGCAAAGCAAGAGATTCTAGTGTTTCCAGTGTCAGTATATGTACCCAGTGTCAATATACATTATGGAAATAGCAGTGGTCCTATAACATATCTGTGTAGGACACCATACTTCACTTTTGTACATACAAAGAATTCATCATTTTCATTTATAAACTGATAGCAGTCTCTCATGTAGGATCTGAAAAAGGTTACTGTCATTTCTGTGGTCAACCACAATCCTTCACAGTTAAAAGTAGTTAATATTTTTAACTAATAATTAGTTGCATGACCTATGGTAACCCAATTCTAGTGTTTGTTACAAAAAGCTCAAAAAGAGCTTTTTTTTGTCTCTGACCAGATGCTGTTTCTCATCAAACAGTGGTGTAAGTGAACCCCAAGTGTTTGTGATTTGACTAGACCAGAGGCTTTCGCCTGGAAAGCCACTCAAGTGTTTTGCTGTCATGGATGTGCCATCTAATTGTAGTTTTAGAGACTCTGTGATGCTCCAGTTAGCGGAGATGAACGTGCATGGAAGCGAACACAAGTGTATTCTGTCCCCACAGACTGTGAAGAATATGATTTCAGAGGCAAACCTTTGTGCAAGCATCACTGGTCAACATTTGCAGCAAGTTGTCACATCCCAAGATATATCTGTCATATCTGTCTAAAAACCTTCCAATAGTGAAAATTGGTATTTTCAAATGTGAAGCTATTTTAACAGCCACTGACTGATTTACAAGGGTTAACAACCTTTTGTTTAATTTCATTTGTCCATTTTCTGATCTTCCCCAAGTTGCAGCATGACTAAGGGTCTACAAATGGCCTCATATTTTCACCCCCACTGAAATAAGAAATCCACTTTTTCACGGGGTGCCAGTAATTGCAACAAGTGAGGCAAACTTATATGGATGTGTCTTGTTTTCTGAATAATTTTACCTTGCTAAAAAAAATGTAAATTGAAAGTTAGGTTTTCAGTGTAAGATTAAGCTGATAAACATGTTTCCATTGCTTTCTCTCTCGTTTTACCTGCCAGTAATTCCGGATAGAAACAGCCAATCAGATATGATCTGAACCAGGAGACTGCCATTGCGGTCCACCCCTGTAATACACAATGGAAATTAGGCTGAAAGCGTAAGACAGACATCGTAAAACTTTTCATGTCACTATTTACATAATGTTATTCTTCCGGCGATTGAATATTAAATCAAGCTCTGTACTAAATAAATGGCAAACCAGTAATAATCCTGAATAAATTAGAAAAAAATAAACAACAGACTGGATTGTCAGTTTCACTGAATCGAATGTCCGATTCAACTAGTTGATTCATAGCCCAAATCAACCTAATTCACAAATCCTTCATATACAAAGAGATTCGATTCAATGAAAGAACTTGATGTCGCTTTTGCATCTTCTGAAAGTATAAAGCATATGATACAAACATATAACAGAAAGAGGAAGCCAGTTACAGTCTACAGAGAGAAATTGTGAGTGAATGTATAAGTTATTTTTAATAACTTACAATAATATGGCGTCGGAACATTAAGTTAAATTCTAAAACTTATATTAGTCTAAGTGTATTAGAAGTTGTGGGGGTAAATGACGTGTAGATGATCCAAATAAGTTTGATTCAGTTGGATTTGTGAATCGGTTCGAACGATTTAATAAAAAGAACCGGTTCAGAAGAACTAGTCGTCATGAGTCGGACAGCGATAGTTTTCAGCTCGACAGCGCTCCATTTCGGTCCGAATCGCCTCCCCATTCACTGTGACCTCTACGCGTGTATATAAAAGAAAGGGGATGAAGACTCATTAACTATTTTTAGTCCGCCAACTGCTGCGTTCGGGATTTAATTTAACAACACTTGTTATTCTTCTCCCTCAGCGTCTGCTGAAAGACGGTGAGTGTTTTTTTATTCTCTCGGTTCTTAGGCCGCAAGTTTCCTGCGAGCTCCGGCTGACAGAAGCGCCGAGGCCTCCGGCTTCGCGTAGAACTTCACGCTCCGGGATCTTTTGGTAAACACTAGGCCGTGTTTGTTCGGCTTAAGCATTTATACTGATATACTGATGTTGTCACCTTCGTCAAATGAGATAATTTAAACCATAGTCTCTTATTTATGTATATATTAGGGTTTGTTGAACCGGCGTCGCCGTAGTTATGGTAGCATGATGTTTTTAAGAGGCCGGTGGACGTTAACCCTACAAGGTAGCTAGCTAACGTTAGCTTGCGACGTACGGCTAGCTTCGTTAGCTAGCAACCTTGTGGGAGTTAATCTTAATTAAGACCGTTTATCGAAGGAAATAGTATACAGGTATTTTGCTGAACGTCTGCTAGTTTGGAAAAGAACAAATTGTGACCACTAAAACTAAAATCTAAACAACGAGGGTTAGCTAGTTTGCTTGCATTAGCAAAGGCCGGCGCGGCGTCGAGTAATATTCGCTAAGTTGGTTAACTCGATTGTTGGCTTGGAATATTTAACAGATTGAACAGTGTTTTTAGTTAGTGTTTTGTTTTCTTATTAGTTTTAGACACGTAATTCGCTGTTTAATCTTAGAATCTTAATTTTAACCAGGTTTAATGTACGCTGGGTTACCGTTAGCTAGCTAACATTTCTGTATCAAGTGTCAATCGTTTGCTAGTCTGAACTGGCAGCTATCAGTACTAACATTGTATTAATTCAGCTAAGCTGTGTTGCTACGCATGGCTGGCTTTTTCTAAAAGAGACGTTTGGGCTTTTTCACCCTTCCCTAACCTATCTTGCGGCCACAATAAAGTCAAACGTTCTAACTAAACAGCTCTGTGTCCAACTTACTCGCACTCGGTCTGATTGTAGGGTGAAGTAACTTATTGGATGAACCAAGTAAAGTTAGCCGGCAGTGCCAAGCTGTTCATAACTAACGTGAAGTTAGCTAGCTCGCTAATGTTGACGTTACCTGATTACACATTCAACAGCGTGACCTAATTTTAGGTCGTTACATATTTGTTGAACGACAGCTCTTCCCGTCTGTTAAACTCAGGCTGTTTAAAGACTACAGAAATATTATAGTACACAAGTTACAGTGGCCTGTTTACTTAAGGCTTCTCTGGGAGAAAGTCGTGGCATGTTAAGCTGATATGATGACAGCGGCTGCAATCAAGTCGCTAAGTGACTCAACGAGCTGGCTGATGGTGACATGGGCCAGAGGGCTGACGTAACTTGGATATTAATTTGAGGTAGTTAACATACTTTAGATCCGATTTGCAGAGCTTACTTTGAATCTGTCGTTCACCCATTAGACAGTTATGAGGTACTGAACATTTAGGTTACCTGTCTTGTAACAAGTTAGTGCTAGAATTCGTGCGTCCTGCCTATATGATAGTCGTTCTCACCCACAACAAGTGGGTGTCTTGGTTCTACTTTGCCACTGTGTTTAAAAATGCGTTCATTTTTGAGTTGACATTTCAGACTTGGTGTTCTTGTAATATTTTTTAGACTAGCAGTATACTGCTTATTAAATGATTTGTAAAAATGAAATTTCCTACAAACAGTACAATTATTCATTACTATGTCAAATGCCAAGATCTTTACATACCTTATTTTTAAAGTATGTAGATGTCAATATGTAGATTCTGAAATGTTGCTTTCTAAGGAAGAAAGGAATCTTTTTAGTCTTATGATGATGCTCTGAGTCCTATTTTAACCATGTTTTTTGTGTGTGTGAGTGTGTGTGCGCGTGCGTGTTTTGCTCAGTAAATATTAGCTTCTGGGAAATTCTCTGAAGAATTGTTGCTTTCATTGAGATCTAATGTATGACAGTGTCAGCTGGTGTAAAAACAATTTATGAATGAGCTGCCAGTATTTTAGTTTATTAAAGCAGCTGGTGAAGTTTTATCTAGTATCTGAAGTTCTGAAGAAAAATGAACCCCACAATTGTGTGATTGGATTTGCCGTTAGCATTTTGGCCGAACTGATTGCAGTTTGGTCGACCTATGAAGTGACACAGCCACAAAATGAGTCTGGTGAGACAGTAGGCCCCTCACACCCTAATATGGAGCTCAGAATTGGAATATATTAAGGGCTCAAGCAAACATAGGCCTGTCCTGACCAATTTCACTAGAAATTCTTTTACTAGAAAGATTCTTAATGTCAGTTGGTTCTTTTTCACAGTGTTTTTGCTGTTTGACACCATGTTCTGGTTGGTTTTGCCCCCCAAAAAAAACGATACTGTAGTTAATGATTTAAACATTACAGAAATGTGGGAGTTGAGGTTGTGTTAAAGGTAATTGACAGTGTTTTCAGGACTGGAAATGGCACACACATGTCAGCGACAGTATGAATTTCAGATTATGGCACAATATCCAAGTTCAGTTTTCTTCTCCTTTAGGGAAAGGTAAAAGGCTGATGAGCACTGCATTTTCTTTTTAAACTGACTGCTTTCATTACATTGCACATGGTGCACCTTTTTGTTTTACCAATTAAAGGTTCTGATTAACAATATATTTGAAGGCTCTTTTTTGAAAACTCAGTCAGCCCTAAGAACTTTGAGATGATCTGCCAATGCTCATGAACTGAGAAATCTTTTTTTTTAAATGAATAAATCTGATTTTGTCCATTCCCCTCAGGGTGAAGAATTCATGAGCCAACAGGAGGACCAGTGATTGCCCCCATTCTTTTCTCCTGTTACTGGCGGATGCTGTGACTGGGTGTTGGGTGGACAGGGTAGCAGCGCGTCATGGCGGACGTGGACCCAGACACACTGCTGGAGTGGCTGCAGATGGGGCAGGGCGACGAGCGCGACATGCAGCTCATCGCCCTGGAGCAGCTCTGCATGCTACTACTCATGTCAGATAATGTTGACCGCTGCTTTGAAACGTGAGTCTAAAGAAAATCTAATCATGAGCGTGTTGTATACTTTTGTATATTAGCTGTGAATTGTGTTGTGTGGGTTCCTTCCAGAGGAGAACAGGAAGTAGGATGATGTATTGTTAACGTGGGGTTCGTGAAAGACAGAACTACTCATGCAGCTGGCTAACGCTTGTCTCTAGCTACTCAGAGTGTCAAAGATGTACCTTGGACATCCATCTCTCTCTCTCTCTCTCTCTCTGTCTGTCTGTCTGTCTGTCTGTCAGTCATTGTCTCTCATTCTCATTGATACTGTGCCCCCAGGTGTCCTCCACGGACGTTTCTTCCAGCCCTGTGCAAGATCTTCTTGGATGAAAGCGCCCCTGACAATGTTCTGGAGGTGACTGCCAGAGCCATCACCTATTACCTGGATGTGTCGGCTGAGTGCACGCGCAGGATTGTTGGGGTGGATGGGGCCATCAAGGCCCTCTGCAACCGATTGGTGGTGGTGGAACTCAACAATAGGACCAGCAGAGATCTGGCTGAGCAGTGTGTAAAGGTACTGCTCTCTCGACCTATGCTGAACGGATGGTTTGTTTACTTGGTTCGCTTGCTGTTCTTTCATGTTGGGGTGGGGATTCCTAGTGACACCTGGATACGACCCCCTTGCATTGCAAGTGAGAAGTGACCATAACTTCGGCAGCATCATAACTCCTGACCCCTGATTAGCTGTGAGGCAGTGTTTTGAGGTTTTTGAACAGTGAGTGAGAGTTGAGGAATGCAGCTACCGAAATAACTGACAATAGAGGGGATTTAAAAGTCTTTACAGCTTGTAGTATTTTTGCACCTGTTAAGTGATTCAGGATGAAGTTTTACAAATTATTCTGTATTTTCTCTGCTCCTACCTACAAAATAACAACTGAAGTTGAACTATCCCTGTACGTATTAGTTAACATTAGTGACTTTCCCTCAGTTGGGGCGGGGGGGGGGTGTACAAATTAATTAATTTGCACTACTGTCTGTTAAAAAATTATTGGAAAGAAACATAGACTTATGCATTTGGATGGGTTTTTTTGGTTTGGTTTTTTTTGCCTTTTTTTCCCCACTGTACTGAACCATGATGCCCATACCGCAGTGTGAAATGAACCATGAATTCTGTGTATCATTACACTCCTAATTGTAATGTATGAGTTTATTGTAGTTTGCCTTCCGTTCTTCTAGAACACTAAACAACTAAGTGTATTAATCCAATTATAGAGAGCATGTAAACAGTCTGTTGTATGAACTGCTAGGGAGGCTCTAATCTCTCCTCCCCCCTTCCGATACTTGATTCCTGAGCTACCAATGTTTAGATTGCCAATGGTAGCTACATTTATCTAACTAGAACTAACTCTAACTTTAGTGTTATGTCCGTACCGCACTATATATCAGATTGTCAGTCACTGCTGGGGTCCAGTAAATATTACCGTTCTGCCTGCTAGTGTCCATGCTAGGGGTGGGAATCTCTAGGCACCTCACGATTCAATTTGATTATGATTCTGAGGGCTGCAATGCGATTATAAAATGATTATCGATGCATCTTGATACATCTTTTTTTCTAAACAGGTTTTCTGTTTTCTCACTGTGTGAGGACTTAGTACTTTCAAAGCAAAGTATTTGTAATGATCCATAACGAATTTACTTCTAATATCTTTTATTAATAAAACAAATGGAAGTGATGTGGCAAGTGAACTGGAAGGCTCTCAATTACTGCTCTTGTTTGGAGCACATGAGGTGCTGGCTGCCACTCATCTGCGATAAAATGCAGTTACGGTGACATAAGACTCTGTGGCAATGGATGTCAACGCAGCACATGTTCAGTTTTGGTCTTGTTGTAGAGAGCGGGGAGTCACTGTGTCAGTAAAATATCTTTGAGACGAGACACTGTATCTCGGCTCCAAAGTGTCCAAGGCAGCGCAGAAGCCCTGCTTCTCAACGACTGGGAACAGACGCAAATCCTTGGCATAAAATAAAAATTTTAATTGCCCCCGAGTTGGGTGGAAGCTTTGACGTTGCTTGCTCGTTGGTCCTCTGGTTGGCAGCAGGTACATCGGTAGGAAAACGGGTGGAAGCATGTAATATGGTTTCTCATGTTTGTCGTTTCCAAAATAGTTTAGTGTGACAACTTGCATATAGTGTGGCTCTTATTCAGGTCCCTTTTTCTCTGGCGTGCAGACTGCAGGTCACCTAGCAACGCAGTCTCGCCTAGCTAGTAGCTAACGAAAAGGCAAAGAGACATTTAAGACGAACATTTGGAGACAAATGGACTTATTCGCATTTATAAGCAACGCAGTTGGTTTCCTGGTACCTTAAATCTGCAACGAGAGACTGTCAAACACTAAAAAGTTGCGAAGATGAAGTCAGCTTCTCTTTCTGATTTTCCCTTTTCACCTTAAATGGTGCCACATTTACCTTCGGCGCCTCAGTTAGAATTTAAGGTGAAACGGGAAAGTTCAGGAAGAAGCTGGCGAATGAGAAGCGACTTCAGCCTTGTAAAACAGCCGAAAGCTGAAAGACAAGAAGAAACTATTCAACTTTTGAGGAAAAGTTTTCTGGCTGAGATTGAAGAAAATTGGCTATAGCTTAAAGCAGAGCAAAGTAAGTCTGTGTTTTCGTTTATATTTTTTAACCTATACTAGGACATTAGCACATACTGGACATTAAATGTTGTATACTGATACTTTGTTGTTGTTGTTGTTGTTGTTGTTGTTTAAAACGCATTGGCACCGATGCTATATCCATGCAGCATTAGTAACTGCATGTTTTTAAGTGTCATTGTTGTGTTTTTTGCTATTTCGCCTGTACAAACAGAGAAAAGGTGAATATTGGGATTAGGAATCAGTGAATGACAAAGTGACAAACAGTCATATGTAGACCAAAAATTTGAAATGTAGAAGATTGAGTATTGTGTTAATCCATGACATTGGTTGACAGTAAATGAACAGACCTGTTGTTATGGGACTCCTGGCCCTATATGTAAGGTGTGAAGTTGAAACATTTTAAATAATAGTTTAAATAATCAAACTTGACTTATTGTTTTCTCAGGTGCTGGAGCTGATCTGCACACGGGAGTCTGGTGCTGTGTTTGAGGCTGGGGGACTGAACTGTGTTCTGAGCTTCATTAGGGACAGCGGTCACTTGGTGCATAAGGACACGCTACACTCTGCCATGGCAGTGGTCTCTCGTCTGTGCAGTAAGATGGAGCCACAGGACTCCTCCCTAGAGACCTGTGTGGAGTCTCTGTCCAGCCTCCTTAAGCACGAGGACCACCAGGTAACACCTGCCACTGGTGACAGGAATGTTCTTCAGGACTTTGCTTAATTCATGACCAGATTTAAATATACAAAAGGCCCCCCTCCGAAATCTTTCTTGTTTAAATCAGTTATTGTTATGGATTGTTATGGGTTACAGGTTATGTGAACCAAAAAGCATGTTTTTAGTTGTTGTTGGTTGTGTGGTGTGTTTTTTGAAAACTTTTCATTTTATACTTTAAGCTTTGCCCTCACTAAAGACACAGTGAAAATTCCTGTGTTATGCTTTGTCTGTTGTACCAATTAAGATAAGATAGAAACTGGAGCCTTGTGTCTTTGTTGGTGGTAATCTGCATTTATAAACCTGTATGTTGCTGTGATGTTACAGGTTTCTGATGGAGCCCTGCGGTGCTTTGCCTCTTTGGCTGACCGGTTTACCCGACGTGGGGTGGATCCAGCCCCATTGGCCAAGCATGGGCTCACTGAGGAGCTGTTGTCTCGCATGGCTGCAGCAGGAGGCACAGCTGCTGGACCCTCCTCCACTTGTAAGCCTGGTCGTACCTCCACCGGAGCTGCTCCCTCAGCTGCGGACTCCAAACTCAGCAACCAGGTGTCCACGATTGTCAGCCTGCTCTCCACACTGTGCAGAGGCTCACCGCTGGTCACACATGTAAGCAACACTGCACATAATAACCCTTTCTCATGCAAGTAGAGCCAAGAGGTGCTTGAGTAGAGTGAGGAGAGCTTCCCTGCTTTTGTTAATTGATTGTAGGTGGCTTCATTTTCCTGTATGGATAAAAAGAAGCTAGACAATTGTCACCAGATATACTTGAGTGGCCTTCCTAAGTAAAACCTTTGTGTGACCTGACTAAGTTCTTAGTTACTCTATGAAACTGGGCGGAACAAAGACGTCTACAAGAGCTGCCTAAAAGACTACTCCATTTATAGTCCTGGGGCTGTATTATTTCCTGTCTTTTTATCTTAAGATCTGACAGGTCAAGATCAGATTTTTCACAAATTCGTGTTACAGAAGCAAATCTTATGTTGATTTAGGAATCTTGTCTTACAGCATCTTCTCTCTGGTTAGGAAATCTTAAACTACTCGATCGAAGTCGACAGTCAGCTGTTATGTCTGTTACGTAGCAACCAACCAATGTAAACTGACTGAAATGTAAGCATGTTATCAAAATAATGTAGTTAGCCAGACGGATAGCTACCGTTACTGATGTGGAAAAAAAAAAAAGGTTGAACAAAACTAAAGCGTGATAAACTTGAAGATAAGAATTGAGTGTGCTTCATGCTGTTTTGCAGAGCGTTGCCGCTCCCAGTTTTTCTTTTCCAAGCTTTTTAGCTGCATAAAACGATAAACAGACTGTTAAAACAGAAGTTAAGGGACCTCTGGGGTTGTCTTAAAGTTGACAGTATTTAGGAAATTTTCTCTAGTTAGGATACTTCTGTAATACACTTTTTCTTATGTGGAGTTAGGATAAGATTATAAACTTCAGAACAGTTCTTCTGTAGTAGCTTCTGTCCTAAATTCAGTCCCAACAGAAGTTGTCATGGTGACTAAACAGCCTGTTAATTCTAAGGGCTAAAAAGAGGTTGGAAAATGGTCATATAAAAACTAATTATGAAAGCCAGTTAACTTTAGAATTTAACTAATGACTTCCAAAGATGACCATATTGGCTGATGAGTGAACTGTATTCTTTGAACTCAACATTGTTGGGTAGTTAGTTCATTTTTGGTAAAAAATAATTTACCTAGTTGGGAAAGCAGACTAACTTTTACTTAACATTACTAATCACTAGCTAAGTAACTGCTTTGATCTTCAAGTTTTTAAAAAACTGTAAATTTTTTGGTCATTCAGCAGTGCTACTATTGTTTTAGCTTACCTTTTACTACTATGATTTCTTATTAAATAATTTAGAAAAGGCTCATTTAACATGACTTCATAGCTAAGCTGTTAAGCCTTCCAAACAGCCAATTACTGAGTTTGTGGCAAAACTATATTTTCCCACTTTCATCAGTCATACTTGTTTGGCTGATGCAGACTGAACCTTATAATACCAATGTATTATGGAATTTTCATGAAGGAGCTTTTTAGCAATAGTTAGCACTTATTGATTAACTTGGTACATAACTCTTCTACCAAAATGTCAGATAGAACCTTCTAATTCTAACATAGTAGTACTATGACTGTTGAACTGTGCTCTTTGCATGATCATAGCTTACATACAACAATCAAATCATTGGTGTTCATGTAAACATAGTTTGTTCATGTCCATAGTATCATAGCTACTAAAATAGTTGTTGGGAAAATGCTGCTCAGGGTCTCAAGTGCTGGAATAAAACTTGTCTGTGCGCCTTTCCTCAGGACCTGCTGCGCTCAGAGCTGCCTGACTCCATGGAGAGTGCCCTGCAGGGCGATGAGCGTTGTGTGCTGGACACTATGCGGCTGGTTGACCTACTGTTGGTGCTGCTGTTTGAGGGCCGCAAGGCGCTGCCCAAGTCCACCGCTGGCTCCACTGGCCGCATTCCGGGCCTACGGCGTCTTGACAGCTCTGGCGAGCGCTCTCACCGACAGCTCATTGACTGTATCCGCAGCAAAGACACAGATGCACTCATCGATGCTATTGACACCGGAGGTGAGTTTGTACTTTGATGTTGGAGGGTTTGACTGAAACTAGGGTGACCTTTCCACATATTGTTTTGGTCAGATATGTCAGGTTGAGTTGAGTGAAATGCTTATTCATATTATTTCTCTCTCTTTCTCTTGGTCTGTCTGTTTATCTTTTCTCTTAGCATTTGAAGTGAATTTCATGGATGATGTAGGGCAGACACTTCTGAATTGGGCTTCTGCATTTGGCACGCAAGAAATGGTTAGTTGTCCTGTCCCCCCGTCACCACCCCCATTATTATTTTCTAAATGTATCTGTTGATTTATTACACCTTTTATTCTTGAACACTACCATATTTAATATATTTCGATGATGTTGTTTTCAGGTAGGCATTTCAGTATGAATTCATTTTGAATGCATTTAAGCAGTCAGTATTAAGGACAGACAGACTCTTATTGCATAACGCGGTTAGTAAAGTGAAACAAAAAAATAATTGGCCACAGTTGCAAACTGGGTAATCTTGGCAAGTGTTATGAATACCATATATAATCAGGCCTAATGCAACCTGGTTTCTTGACCCACTTTATCTAATGATGGCTTATGCAGGTCACTGGGACAGAACCAAGGCAGGGGGTTAATATCGTTATTGGCTAAATGTTAGTTCTCTGACTGCTTTAGGTGGAGTTCCTGTGTGAGAGAGGTGCTGATGTCAATCGAGGTCAGAGGTCATCCTCACTGCATTATGCTGCTTGTTTTGGACGGCCACAAGTAGCCAAGGTAACAGGAGCTGTAATGATGTCAAAGTACTTGCTGTACCAATTTTTAAGGCTTTTATCTCATACCATTGGGAGTGATTTTCATAATGTTTTCTTTCCTGTAGACTTTACTGCGTCATGGAGCCAACCCTGACCTGAGAGATGAAGATGGCAAAACTCCACTGGACAAAGCCAGGGAAAGGGGGCACAGTGAAGTTGTTGCAATCCTGCAGTCTCCTGGTGAGGGTGTATCTCCCCCCCCCACACACACCCCCCCCTTGCTCATTTTGTACATGAATATATAAGATTACATTTTTTTTGTTACCTGTGGCCCATTTTAAATACTTTTTGCCATATCTTTTGTTATAGGAGATTGGATGTGTCCTGTGAACAAGGGGGATGACAAGAAAAAGAAGGATGTGAATAAGGAAGAGGAGGAGGGCAGTGAGCCGAAAGGAGATCCTGAGATGGCTCCTGTCTATCTGAAAAGGCTGCTTCCTGTATTTGCACAAACCTTTCAGCAAACCATGCTGCCTTCAATAAGGTTAATTTCAGAAATGATTGCTTATATTGCAGTGTTCTAGTTCTTGTGTTCCAAAGCAGAAGTTATACATGCATTAGCCATGTAATTTTAATACTAGTTACTGAACTTGTTTTGTGCAATAATGGTTTATGCTTTCATTTATTAAGAAAAAAACCCTACTGCCAATTGTCGTTTACATTTATGTGCTTAAGTGTCTACAGTTTGGTTTAAATATAGCCAGGATGGCAAAACATTGTGTCCCTCTACTGCAGGAAAGCTAGTTTAGCTCTGATTAGGAAGATGGTGCACTACAGTTCTGAAGTGCTCCTCAAGGAAGTGTGTGACTCGGATGCTGGACACAGCCTGCCCACTGTCTTAGTGGAGATCACTGCAACGGTGCTGGATCAGGAGGTCAGTGCTCATTGTGGCTTCTGATTTTGTCTGTCTGTTTTGCTTGTGACAGTGATTTTAAAACTACAACTGTTCGTTTACCCTGATGTCCAAACTTTATCATACTTTCTATGAATTTTCATGATTCAGGTGTTCTTGGATGTTAAAATGCCAACAGGGTGTGAACTATGGTTTTTCTTTGTTCCTCACAGGATGATGATGATGGTCACTTGCTGGCCCTGCAGATCATCAGGGATCTAGTCGATAAGGGCGGAGATGTGTTCTTGGACCAGCTGGCCAGACTGGGTGTAATCAATAAAGTGTCAACTCTGGCAGGACCCACCTCAGATGATGAGAACGAAGAAGAAGCCAAGCCTGAGAAGGTTAAAATCCACTTTGTTTATTTTTTAATTTATCTTCATTTATCTGCATCATCAGAAATCGCATAACTGCAGTTCTTTTGGTCAAAGTTGGTTTGATTTGTGCTTTAAGTTATTGGGAGTATGCATGTTATGTTTGGTAGCATTTATATACTAAACATTTAGTGACAATCTTTTACAGGAGGATGAACCTCAGGAGGATGCTAAAGAGATCCAGCAAGGCAAGCCCTACCACTGGCGGGACTGGTCCATCATTAGGGGCAGGGACTGCTTGTATATTTGGAGTGATGCTGCAGCGCTGGAACTCTCTAATGGCAGCAACGGCTGGTTTCGCTTCATCCTGGATGGCAAACTGGCCACTATGTACTCCAGTGGTAGCCCAGAGGGAGGGTCAGACAGTTCAGGTGCGTTTCACACTTGTAAAATGGGATATTTTATGAAGAGGTTAAAATTGTAGTCGGTGAGCTTTTGAGTCATTATGTGTGGACAAGAATGGGGCACAAAGTGCATAATGCAACTTACCTGTAATTTAAAAACAGAAGTTGGTATGGCAAGTAAGCTACTGAAGGTTCTGTGCACGTGCCTAAATTACATAGCTTTTTGGATTGTATAAAAACAGTGTAAAGCTGTAATGTGGGGTGGGGGGTGTGGGTTGTTTGTTTACGGCTGCTGATTATGCGTCTGCTTCCATCAGAGAGTCGGAGTGAGTTTCTGGAGAAGCTACAGCGTGCCAGGAGTCAGGTGAAGCCAGTCACAGCCAGCCAGCCCATCTTGTCAACACTAGGGCCCACTAAACTCACTGTGGGAAACTGGTCCCTTACCTGCCTGAAGGAAGGAGAGATTGCCATCCACAACTCAGATGGGCAGCAGGCCACCATCCTGAAAGAGGATTTGCCAGGTTTTGTGTTTGAATCCAACCGAGGTACCAAGCACTCCTTCACTGCTGAAACGTCCCTGGGTGAGTGTGTTTGGGGGGGGTGGGGGGGGAGGGTGTGTGAGTGTATATTAATATATATTATTATACATATTGAAAGTTGTTTATGACTGGCTTGTGTATCCCCTTACTTGTTTCAGGCTCAGAGTTTGTGACTGGCTGGACTGGAAAACGAGGAAGGAAACTAAAATCCAAATTGGAAAAAACAAAACAAAAAGTGGGTGATAACCCTTTCGTGCTTGCTTGTATGATAAAATTCCTGATTTGAGAAGGTAGTTTTCAGGTTGGATAGTTTACATATTTGTGCTTCTTTTATGATTCCAAGCATGTTTGTTTTAAACTTGATTCAGCTTTAGTTCATATCCCAGAATATAGGACTGGGATGGAGGTAATAATTCTATAATGCCTTCGAGCATATGTGCTTTTGCAGTCAAATTTCTTTGTCTGTGGTGATATATCCAGGATGAGAATTTGCGGACTAATTTGCTAACTAGAACTTGGCTAATTTTCTCTCTTGCTCTCTGTAGGTGAAAACTATGGCCAGAGACTTGTATGATGACCATTTTAAAGCTGTGGAAAGTATGCCCAGGGGTGTAGTTGTCACCTTGAGAAACATTGCCACTCAGCTGGAGTCTGCCTGGGAGCTGCATACAAACAGACAGGTATGAAGATGTGAACCACAAATCATTTTTGTCTTTAGATACAAGAAAATTACATTCAAACACTTTACCAAAATACAGTAAACAAATGTCAAAGCTTGTTTCTGAAAGAAATCTGAAAGATAAAGTTGTCAAGTGATTCCGCTCTGACATTATGCTACATTTTAAAATGTTAGGCTACAGTATTAAAGGTTCTAAAAGAAAATTAAGCTTTCAGATTATTATTGACCATTATTGGAGGTTAGCGCTCATAGGAGTAAGAGTCAGTAGTGTCCATCAGTGTTGTATTCTATTCTATAAAAAATTCTATTGCATGTATTTGAGTGTTGTGGTTATTACATTTTCTCTCTCTCTCTCTCCCCTCTTTCATAGTGTATAGAGGGAGAGAACACATGGCGAGACCTCATGAAAACAGCTTTAGAAAATTTGATTGTGGTTCTCAAGGATGAGAATACAATTTCGCCATATGAAATGTGCAGTAGCGGCCTAGTGCAAGCACTTTTTACTGTTCTAAATAATGTGAGTCATAAAAATTACCTAAGTAAAATGTTAAAATGTAAAATGTCTGTTTTCTGTTCATGTTTGTAACCACCACTCTTTTGCTTAACAGAGTGTGGAACTTGACATGAAGCATGATTGTAAGCCATTGATGGAAAGAATAAATGTGTTTAAGACTGCATTCAGTGAAAATGAGGATGATGAAAGGTAGGAGACCCAACAGCTTTTTTTTTGTTTGTTTTTTTCCTTCTCATTTTTCATTACGAATTGTTTTTATAGTCGACCCGCAGTTGCCTTAATCCGAAAACTGATAGCAGTCCTGGAGTCTATAGAACGGCTACCTCTTCACTTGTATGACACGCCTGGCTCAACATACAATTTGCAGGTGTGCCTCCTTGCCAGGTTCTTGCATTGTCATTGAAACAGTTGAACAGGTTAAAGTAGTCTTTTGCTGACTTGGTTTGTTGCACGCAAAGATTTATTTTAAGTTCAATTTTTATTTTTTTCGCTTGTCAGATTCTGACCAGGAGACTGCGTTTCCGGTTGGAACGTGCTCCAGGTGAGACAGCTCTCATTGATAGGACTGGCAGGATGCTCAAGATGGAACCTCTTGCTACTGTTGAGTCACTGGAGCAGTACCTACTAAAAATGGTGAGAGGGGTGTATTTTATTTATTTATTTTGTTTTGGTCTGTTTTTAGGTTGTGCAGTGTTCATAACTCATCTATAATTTGTTGTTCAGTATTGTTCATAACTTTGTTCCTCATTCCCCAGGTGGCGAAGCAGTGGTATGACTTCGACAGGGCCTCCTTTATTTTTGTCAGGAAGCTGCGAGAAGGCCAGAGCTTCACCTTCCGACACCAGCATGACTTTGATGAGAATGGTATTGTGTACTGGATTGGAACAAATGCAAAGTGAGCCTCTCTTCCCTTAGAATCCTCTCAGCAAACTGTACTTTTTATGGCTTTCCATTTTTTTTTTCTTCAGGTCCTTTTATCATGAGGATTAATGCTGTGTGTAAATTGTGTAGAGTAACTATTACTAAAAAATGGCTCATTTGTTGTCTGTACTTAGAACTGCATATGAGTGGGTAAACCCTGCTGCTTATGGTCTGGTGGTGGTAACCTCATCGGAGGGCAGAAACTTGCCCTACGGCCGGCTGGAAGATATCCTGAGCAGAGACAGCTCGGCCCTCAACTGCCACACCAACGATGACAAAAATGCCTGGTTTGCTGTCGACCTGGGCCTATGGGTCATCCCCTCAGCTTACACGCTACGCCATGCCCGCGGCTATGGCCGTTCCGCCCTCCGCAACTGGGTATTTCAAGTGTCCAAAGATGGCCAAAACTGGATGACCCTTTACACCCATGTGGATGATGGCAGCCTTAACGAGCCCGGGTAGGCCTCCTATCCTTTAGTTTCTGCCTCAGGCAGTTCAGAGTTACATGGACAGTCTCATGTGTTAATGGCCTGAGCCATCAAAATCTTGCTTGTTTAACACTGATGGGCTTTTTGCTGTTTTGTGTGTACACAGGAACGTCTATGCATTATTTTTGGTGGGGGAATCTGATGAAAACAAACCTCCTTTATATCAGTGGGCAATTGCGTTTCTAATTTCACTTGGAATCCAATAAAAAAAAAGCCTTCACTAATAAAAAAACAAAAAATAGTTTGAGAATTTTAATAGAGAGCTATACATCTATGACTGGCTAATTCTAATCAAGCCTGATCTAATTGGGCATTTCACTCATGTTTCTATCTAAAAAAGATCTTTAAAAAATGTTCATTCAAAGCCGATACATCCACGGCTGCATTGTCTATACGATAAGCTAAGAGACACTAAGTAGACCTTTGTTGAATTAAATCCAGGTTGAATTTTGTGTGGTGTACACACCTACAAAAGAATAGTTTGGCCAGCTTTTACTTGGCACAGTGAGATTCCTCTTGACTGCTTTAGTTTCACTCTGAAATGCCTCTAGTACAATTGTGTATATGCCTCCTTTGAGTTATGTGGCGATGTGTTTACTTCTGTGCTGAGAATGGTCCACTTCCAAAAAAATATCTGGTCAGTGGTGCGTTTTGGTGATAATTTCCATCAATGGATGAGGTAGAGGGTGGCTGACACATTGTGCAGCAACAGCTGGACTGCTGTGGCCGATGAGCGTAGGTAGCTTAATAAACTGGTGTCTCAGTGTACATTGTCACTGAGAGGGAGACAGGAAAATGACTGCGCTGTCAACAAATGAATGTCTTTTTTTTTTATTATTATTATTATTATTATTTTATTTTTATATTTTTGTAACTGTTTTTGCTGACAAGCATGCAAATGTGGTATATTCCTTAGGTCTACAGCTACTTGGCCTCTGGACCCACCCAAAGATGAGAAGCAGGGCTGGAGACACGTTCGGATAAAGCAAATGGGGAAGAATGCCAGCGGGCAAACACACTACCTCTCACTGTCTGGACTTGAAATATATGGCACTGTTAGTGGTGTGTGTGAAGACCAGCTAGGTAAGAGAGAGCCAGAGCTCTTGTATCATTAACAGGTTGTTAAGGGAAACGGTACACACACACACACACACACACACACACACACACACACACACACACACACACACACACACACACTCTTCCCCAGCTGGCAGGGGGAAGACTCTTAGTTGGCCCGGAAAGAATCATTAGCCATGGAGGAAGGTCCCTCTCACCCCAGGAAGCCTTGTGGCCTCAATGTAGAGTTGTTCGGGCAGCCGACTTTGGGAGCCTTTTAGCCTCAGTATAGTCTCGCAGGCATCCCAGTGCGCACCATCCCAACTCTTAAAATAAACTCCTGAACTACCTAGTCAGATCTTAAAGATGTGGTCAGAAATTGTTTTCCTAACGTAAACATGATCAAGCTAAGTATATTTGGCTTGTGTTATTTGTGTGTGTGTGTGTGTGTGTGTGTGTGTGTGTGTGTGTGTGTGTGTGTGTGTGTGTGTGTGTTATTTATTTTATTTTATTTATTTATTTATTAACTGAAGTTGGTATGGTAAATGACTCATCCATATGTTCAGGTAAAGCGGTAAAAGAGGCAGAAGCCAATCTACGCAGGCAGCGGCGACTCTTCCGCTCTCAGGTGATGAAATACATAGTTCCCGGGGCCCGGGTTGTGCGTGGTATTGACTGGAAGTGGAGGGACCAGGATGGCAACCCTGCTGGAGAGGGCACCGTGACCGGAGAGGCCCACAATGGTAAGCATCGTAGTCAGTTGTGAGGTTGTCTTGTCAGTGCATGGGTATCCCACTGTTTGTAGCTTTCATAGGAACCTCTTGTTAGTAATCCCTATGCAGAAGCAAGTTCTTGTGTTCTGTTTTGTAAGGCACATTTGTAGAAACAAACGCATGTCAAAATGCTTGCACTTGGCTTAATTTCAGATTAGTATTTCAGAGAGAACATTTGGCGCTTAAGTGTCTGCAGCATAAATGCATTTGACCATCAATCTGTTAAGCAGTAATCTAAGAAGTATTTTGAAACATATCTCTTGTGGAGTCTATGGTATGATTTTGTTTTAAGACAACAAATTGTGAACATCAAGTGCATTTGCATGTGTTGTGGAGCTTTGAGTAAAATTATCTTGATAAACACGAGGGGGGGGATAGACTGTCACCCAATCTTTAGCTGTGTGTTTAGGGACTTTTTTTTATTTACTTGTTTTATTTTTAGAGGGTAACTGCTGATAATTCACTTAGGTAGCTGAATTAGCTTAAGAATCTGAAGTTTTCCAGCCTGGCCAAGAGGAGGCCTGCCTTTATGCCAGTCCTACTTTCTTAAATTGTCTTAAAATGACTAATGTTCACTACCACATGTGATATGCTAGATTCTGGGACAGATTTTAAAGGACTCCTCGAAATCAAAATTTCTTCCTGTGTGACTGCCTTCTGTGGTGCTTTCTTTCTTGCTTCTGTCCCGTATTAACAGCTCATTAAAAGTGATCTGCATTCTTCAGATCTCTAAGAAATTAGATTGCCATTCACTTCTATCTTAAGACTGTCCTTCCATACTTTTTATGTTTTATTAGTTTGCTATTTTGAAGTGCAACCCTCCCCCCTCCCCCCCAACTTAACAGGTAACGTTTCTTTATCCTACTTGTATAAGCATATACTTTGTCGCTGTTGAATTCTTTGGGCAGCCATGTTTCAGTGTGTAAAATACCCTTTTAACCCGACTGTCTCCATCAATCAAGCCAAGCGCATGTTGATGTCACAATTTGCAAGCTCTCAATGGACTCCGTTGCTTTAATAAGTGTATTTTACATTTGACAGAAATATATTCTTTAGTTTCTTTCCTGAAGTGGCTTATTAGCTTTGCATTTGCACAAATCTATTGCTTTTGTTTTTTGTCTGTCTTTTTATTTATTTATTTTTTTGGTCACTTTCTGTGCCTCATATTCCTACTCCACTGCTTCACCTGGACCAGAATGTGTTTTGTTGTGGTTTTTTTTTTTTTTGTTTGTTTTGGAATGAGACATTAGGCACTAACTACATTTCACCATGTAGCATTACTTTATTTTCTGCTGCTTTGTTAAGGGGAAAGAAGTAAAACAGTGTTTTTTTTTGTTTTTTTTTTTTTTTTTTTCCCCCCCCTTCCTTTCTCTGGTCCAGTGTCGAGCAATGCTGCCGTCTTTGACTTGCTACTGTCTTTCTCCGCTCTCTTGCTGGGTCTCACTCGTTCATATCCCCTCCCCCTCCTTCCCCTCCTCTTCCAGGCTGGATTGATGTTACCTGGGATGCCGGTGGTTCAAACTCGTACCGTATGGGTGCAGAGGGGAAGTTTGACCTCAAGCTTGCGCCAGGGTACGACCCTGAGTCAGCGCCGTCACCCAAACCTATCTCATCCACTGTTACAGGCACACCGCAGTCCTGGAGCAGCCTGGTGAAAAATAACTGTCCGGACAAGGGCGGCTCGTCCTCGGCGGCGGGGGCCAGCTCCTCCAGCCGGAAAGGCAGTAGCAGTTCGGTGTGTAGCGTGGCCAGCAGCAGTGATATCAGCTTAAGCTCTGCACGTGTGGAGCGCAGGGTGGAAGGCCTTTTGGAGCAGGCGGTAGTTGTCGGCGGAGGAGCGCCAGGGGCGGAGGGTCAAGAGCCAGTTGTAGTGCTTTCCTCGGCAGAGGCTGGCTCTGGCTCCAGCACCAGTACACTCACGGCTGATGCTGGAAGCGAAAGCGCAGAGCGCAAAACACCAGCACCCGACGGAACCCTGCGACAGTCAGCGGAGTCAGCCGCCATGTCTATGGGACTGGTCAGCGTCAGCTCTCCTGACGTCAGCTCCGTGTCCGAGTCATCCAGCAAAGACGCAGCGTCCCAGAGGCCTCTGTGTTCAGCCACAAGTGCCCGCCTCTCGGTCAGCTCTCTTCTGGCTGCTGGTGCGCCCATGAGTTCCAGCGCTAGTGTGCCCAACCTGTCATCACGTGAAGCCAGCCTGATGGAGTCATTTGTGCGCAGGGCACCCAACATGTCCCGCACCAATGCCACCAACAACATGAACCTGAGCCGTAGCAGTAGCGACAATAATACAAACACACTGGGCCGCAACGTCATGGGGACTGCCAGTGAGTAACTGTAGCTCACTAGTGTACCATTTATAGTGTGTAATGATGGATAAGGAAAAGCTCTTGCATAGATATCCCAAAGGTTTTATGAAAGGGAACAATGAAAAGCAAACTTGCTTTATTTTGGATAGTAAAATATGTCTAACGTGAACATGGCTTTGTCCCTGCAGCTTGGGTTGTTGGCTAGGCTAACTAAATACTTTGCAAACTACTAACTCTTGTTACAAAACGCTTGAACGCATAAATCAAGCCAAAATGCAAGTTGTTTACTATAAAAGTTCCTAATATAAAGATTGTCCATGTTGCTAACATCATTTTGTTAAGTAAATCTGGTGTTAAGCTGCATTCTTCTAACAAATACCTGCAGACCCTTGGACTGAAGCCCTTAATGGAATTACCTGAGCACCTATGACTTCAGTAGTAGTTTTAATGTTTTGTAATTTGGCAGGAAATAGAGAGGCCTTCATCTTAGAATGTATTTTGGCATAATATCTAATTACATCAGAGCTGCATTTTAAGCATGCCTGTTTAGAGTGTGCTTTTTTTTTAAACTGTCAGCTACGTGCCTTTTTTATAAATACATAAACTAATAGCATTTTTTGTTTGTTTGCAGCCTCTCCTCTCATGGGTGCGCAGAGCTTTCCTAACCTTACAACTACTGGTACCACCTCAACTGTTACAATGTCCACCTCCATAGTAACCAGCAGCAATAACGTAGCCACTGCAACTACAGGTTTGTCTGTCGGCCAGTTGCTCAGTAACACTCTGACGACCAGCCTGACCTCAACGTCTAGCGAGAGCGACACAGGTCAGGAGGCTGAATTTTCCCTCTATGGTAGGCCATGTTAGTTTTATTCACCTACCAAAACCTCTCTTTCCTTCTCCCTACCTGTGTCTCCCTAATCTACACTAAATTTGTTTTTGTCCCCTGCCTATTAATCTCCATTTCGTTTGTTTCATTTCCTACTAATTTTAGTCTGGGATCTTGTTCTCCAAATTCTTTTAAATTTTAGGGTGAAGTTGTCAAATACCTTCTCATCTTGTATTTTCTTTTTCTTGTTTTTCTTCCTCACAGATTTCTTGGATAGCTGTCGGGCAAACACGTTGCTAGCTGAGTTGGATGATGAGGAAGACTTGCCTGAACCAGACGATGATGACGACGAGAACGAGGATGACAATCAGGAGGACCAAGAGTATGAGGAAGTTCTGGTACGGTCCAGGGTCAACCTTGGTTACCACGTTCATATTCATAGGGTAAAACCTGTTGTAGTTTCAATAATAGTACAGTGCAACTCCTTAGTTGTTGAGTTAGATTTTTATTTTCTTTTTGTGGTAATCAAAGTTTTACCTTTTTTTTATGTTAATTTTAAATGTTTTACATTGTTTTGTACTGAATGTTGATTTCTGTCAGCATGGTTTCTATGAAAAGCATGCTTGTGGTGATGCAAAAGCCTATATTGCACATATATTCACTTAAGCATAATGCAGTACATAAATGCTGTGATGTTCACTGGTGGCCTGGCAGGAGGAAGAGGAATATGAAACTAAAGGCGGCCGGCGCAGGACCTGGGACGATGATTTTGTGCTGAAGCGGCAGTTCTCTGCTCTAGTGCCTGCATTTGACCCTAGACCTGGGCGGACTAATGTCCAGCAAACCACTGACCTGGAGATCCCCACGCCAGGTTCTCCGCCTTCTGTCTGCTATAAAGTTTTTATCATTTTGTGTTGGGCATTTTCTTTCCGAAAATAGCATTAACATTTAACTTTTTGACCATGCCCATGCTAAGCTTGACCTTGTTGTCACAAGCAACCTCGTATCTCCTTTTTTGACGTTTTTCAGTTACCATTTACCATTTTGGAGATACAAGGTTTTGTTCCGACAGCAGCAATATGTTGATTCCAAAGAAAAATACACCTGAACCGGACTGAAAAGAAAAGCCTAATATTGCAGTCAAAAAATAAACATGCAGTGTGTTGTCATTATGGGTTGTATGGTGCTTGCAGGTACCCCTCGCTCTGAGGTGCAGGAGGAGGTGGAGTGCGCACCCTCGCCTCATTTGGCTCTCATCCTAAAGGTGGCAGGGCTGGGAACCACACGGGAAGTAGAACTACCTCTTTCCAACTACAAGTCCACCATCTTCTATTATGTCCAAAAGCTGCTTCAGCTCTCTTGTAACGGCAGCATCAAATCGGACAAACTTCGGCGCATCTGGGAGCCCACGTACACGTGAGTCACTTATTTTATAATCCTGCAGTTTTTTGGTTCAGTTTTATTTTTACTATGTTGTCATTGCAGACTTGTTGTACTTAACCATGTGTTTGTTTTCTAGGATAATGTACAGAGAGTTGAAAGACTCTGACAAAGAGAAAGAAAGCGGAAAGATGGTAATAAGATTTTACCTACCCTCTTCCTCCTCATCCACTCTTTATCTATCTCTTCTATCTCAGTCACTCTCTCAACTCATTAGAATCCTGCCTGTGATTTTTCTGTGGCTGTTCCCAATGTGTAAATGCTCCTTCTCAGTAGACTATCCCAGTCGTCACTAACCTTAAAGCTAGGAGCCTGTTGGTTGGGGTGGGGGGTTGACATCACCCTACTGGTTAATCTTGGTAATTGCACGGGCCTTTTAGTGGTTAATCCTACTGTAATGCATGTGTATTGCGTGAGAACTTACAATCAGGAAAGACCAACATTTGGTTCTTCCTGTTGTAGGGTTGCTGGTCTGTAGAGCATGTGGAACAGTACCTTGGCACAGATGAATTACCAAAGAATGACTTGATAACCTACATGCAGAAGAATGCAGACTCAACTTTCCTGCGCCACTGGAAATTAACCGGCACTAATAAAAGTATTAGGAAAAACAGAAATTGTTCGCAGCTCATAGCTGCATACAAGGTATAGAATGGCATCGGATGTGCATATATATCTATACATACATCTTTATTTTTCCCTTCACTGTTTCAATTATTTTCTTCTCCTTGGTTGACTGTCACTTGTGTAGCCACCTGTTAGATGTTTGTATTTGTCTTGTATAATTTTAATGCCTTATAAGTGATGTTCTAGACATCAAAAATTTCTAGATGTCATTGAGTTGCATTCTCCTTTTTTTATTATTTGTCATAAAACATGTTTTCTTTCGTTTTGTGAAAATGCAGTAACTGCTTTGTACAGTAGCCTGACATCCCTGGTGTAGTGTATGGTATTAGAGCATAACAGGCTGGGGAGGGTGGGTGCTGGCAGGTGCACCTTAACTCTGCGCATGTTTGGCTTTTGCAGGATTTCTGTGAGCGGGGCTGCAGGTCATCAGGACTTGGCACAGGCTCTCTGTCAGCCACACAGAGCTGTGACATCCTGAGTGGTGTGCGGGAGCAGGCGCAGGCCAAAGCTGGCTCAGGCCAGAGCGCCTGTGGTGTGGAGGATGTGCTGCAACTCTTGCGCATCCTCTTCATCATCGGTGGAGAGCCTTCAGCCAGTCGCACGCTACAGGAAGGTGAGTTGTTCACCAGCTCTTCCTCCAGACACACAGCAGTACTTGGTGTTGATTTTGTAGTTAGTTTTTTTTTTTTGGTCAAGTTGTTTTGTTTTTTGTTAATGACCAAAGCTGCTTGTATGGACTGTCATTATATGGTTTCACTTTTTTAACATTTAAAAAAGCTGAAAAGTCTAGATTAATTAAACTAATACTCGTGTAAGCATGTTCTGGTAATGTTTTTAGTATTTGATACTTTCAATAATGCCATCTTTTTATTGTCCTGTAGGCTTTTATATCTAAACATTTGCATGTAATGAAACGCTAATGTAAGTTTTGCTTTGGGGGAAAACTTTTTTTTGTTTTGTTTCTTGAATAGATCAAAATGTTTTGTCAATCTTTTGCATAGATGTGGATGATCTACAGTTCAATGCATCGCCTGAAGAGTTCACAAGCAAAAAAATTACAACCAAAATTCTGCAACAGATTGAGGTAATATTCAGGTCATTGTAAAATATAATGAATAAGAGATTTTGAAAAATGCCACAATTATTTTAAAATTTTAAATTCCAAGAGGCCAATCCTTAACACTATTTTTTGTGAAATGTTATCTACATTTTAATTAGTACTGCTTAGAACAAATGTCAAACATTGTGTTCTGTGTCATAAACTGTGTAGCTTTTAATTCTTGTTTGCTTTGTGCCATTGACTATAATATGGTGTTCTGTATGTTCCTTTTAGGAGCCCCTGGCTTTGGCTAGTGGAGCTCTCCCAGACTGGTGTGAGCAGTTAACCAGCAAGTGTCCTTTCCTCATCCCCTTTGAAACCCGGCAGCTCTTCTTTACCTGCACTGCATTTGGAGCCTCCAGGTCAGTGCTTTATTGGTTTGTTGTTCTACTCAAACTCACAGGACAGTAGTACATAAGATGTTATATCACGAGGCCCTGGCTAATTTTAAGACCAGCACTCTGTAGGTTTTCGTAACAGTGCCTCTGATCGCCTGGTCAACTGAATTGAAGAGATCAATGTAGAGAAGTTGTAGCAATATCTTTGTTTTAATTCCTTTCTGTATAAATGTTTGCTAATGGAAAAGGTTAAAACATTCAAGCAGTATGGTGATGTGTGTGTGTGTGTGTGTGTGTGTGTGTGTGTGTGTGTGTGTGTGTGTGTGTGTGTGTGTGTGTGTGTGTGTGCGCTTCCAGAGCAATAGTCTGGCTCCAGAATCGGAGAGAGGCCACTATGGAGCGCTCTCGGCCCTCCACCACGGTGCGGCGGGACGACCCTGGCGAGTTCCGAGTGGGCCGGCTCAAACATGAGCGTGTCAAGGTGCCACGTGGAGAGAGCATGATGGAGTGGGCAGAGAGTGTCATGCAGATCCATGCTGACAGGAAGTCTGTACTGGAGGTAAAGAGAAATACAAACGCGAGTTGCTCTTAAAGTGACCACAGTAATCGTTCCGAACCTGTAAAATGAATGCTTTCATTTCATCCAAAAAAAGCGGCATATCCGTATTCATTTAGTTTACAGTACCTCTTCATGAGTCAGCACTCTATTCTTGGCAAATAAACTGCTTTGTCATTGCTAAATCAGTATCATGAATTTGCTGTGTTCTGGTGTTCCCTGTCTGCAGGTTGAGTTCCAGGGAGAGGAGGGCACTGGTCTGGGGCCCACGCTGGAGTTTTATGCCCTTGTGGCGGCTGAGTTCCAGAGGACTTCACTGGGTATCTGGCTCTGTGATGATGACTTCCCAGATGATGAGTCACGTCAGGTAAGTGCATTTGTGTATTAAATTTTACATTAATACATGCTAGATGTCTAATCTCAGAGCCCCAAGTCTCTCATTCTCACAATTTGGCTTGTTTAAGCCAAATCCTGATTGTAGCTTTTAGGATCAGGTTGTGACTTCATGCTTGGATTGTACTATGCATGCCTACAGAAGCTGATGGTAATCTTGTGGAAAGAGTACTTTAACATTTTAGTCAGGCTGAAGTTGGAACATTTATATTTATATGTTTTTATATGTTTGTCAGGTGGATTTGGGAGGCGGCCTGAAACCCCCAGGCTATTATGTACAACGCTCCTGCGGCCTTTTCCCTGCCCCCTTCCCTCAGGATAATGACGAGCTGGAGCGCATCACCAAGCTCTTTCTCTTTCTGGGCATCTTCTTGGCCAAGTGCATCCAGGACAACCGGCTTGTGGACTTGCCCCTCTCTCAGCCCTTCTTCAAACTTCTCTGTATGGGGGACATTAAGAGTAACATGAGCAAGCTCCTGTACCAGACCCGTGGGGACTCGGACCACCGCTTCTCTGAGATCCAGTCAGAGGCCTCCACTGAGGAGGGCCAAGACACGTACTCAGTGGGCAGTTTTGATGAAGACTCAAAATCTGAATTCATCCTGGACCCACCAAAGCCCAAACCCCCTGCCTGGTACCATGGTATTTTGACTTGGGAGGACTTTGAACTAGTAAATCCTCACAGAGCACGGTTCCTAAAAGAAATGAAGGATTTGTCAGTAAAGAGGAGGCAAATCCTAGGCAATAAGAGCCTTTCAGAAGATGAGAAGAATACTCGGCTACAGGATCTCATGCTGAAGAACCCTATGGGTTCCGGCCCGCCGCTCAGCGTAGAAGATCTGGGGTGAATGATTCGTTCCTACAATTATATTGAATCACATTTGAATATTCATTGTGTAGAATCATTTAATGGAAAACCCATATTTTTGTCTTTTGTTTGTAGATTAAATTTCCAGTTCTGTCCCTCATCTAAAGTACATGGCTTCTCAGCAGTGGACCTTAAGCCCAATGGAGAAGATGAGGTAGGTCATGAAATGCTAAGTGCCGATGACGAGGGGTGTGTCTATTTTATTTATTTATTTATTTTTGTTTAGATCAATTATTTAGATCATAGATCATTTAGACCATAGATTAATCACAAGCTGTCTAAGGAGTTTGTGGAGATTTGGTCCAGCTCGTGGTGTTGCTAATGACCAATTGTAGAATTGTAGACCAATTTGTCACGCTCCCTTCTTCTAAAAGGTCACAGAGGTCATTTACCTGGCTAAAGAATTTCTGTTGGACAGCACCATACACTGAAATGTACAGTGTACCCACTGAACAGTTTTCTTTTTTTCCCCTCTCCAAATGGAAACGTACAGAGCATGTCTAAGCATTTGCAGAATGTAAAATGTGTACCTCATTCTCATTAGATGGTTACCATGGACAATGCAGAGGAGTATGTGGAGCTGATGTTTGACTTCTGTATGCACACTGGGATTCAGAAGCAAATGGAAGCCTTCAGAGGTAAGACAGGGTGTAGTGTGCAGTTTTCAATTACATGAAGCTGTTAGATGTGGATGTTGGTGTTTCTGATATTATGGGTTTGAATAAGAATTCGGTAGTGGGAACTGTAGGGTACAGACCAAAGCAAAATTTTATCCAACTAACTTTGGCTCAGTGCAGATTTACGTACACCTAGTGTGCATTCAAAGCATTTCTGCATGTAGTGCACATAAATTAACATTTATAAAATTCTTTAGCATTTTGTTGTACTGTTTTGATGGTAAAATGTATGTATATCTTCCTGTCAAAGGAGTCAGTAGCCATGTTGATAAGGAAGCTTACAAGCTCTTTGGCTAATCCAAGTGTTACTTTGTATGCCTATTGCATATTATTGCATATCATCTTAAAGTAAAGCTAATGCTGAAAGCACGATTTTTGAGTGTAAATAAGAAATGCACTATCCGGTATATAAACAGGAACATGTGAATTATTTCCAGAACATGATTTCCTTCCACACAAAGGCCTTATTTCTTATGAAAGTCCTCATGCTTCTAAAAAATTGTTTCATATTGGGAGTCCTGGAAATGTATCTTAATCTTATGTTCTAAGGTAAATATTTGTACTTTTTTGATGTTGTGTGTGACAGGATTTTAATTTGCAGAGACGATCAAAAAATAGTATTTAACGGCTAATGCAAACACTGCACCGTAGGACCACCGTTAACCAAATATTTGGGAGCATTTTTAATTCATTAATGATGCATCTTAGTGGCATGTTGGTGAGTTTTGCTCTGGTACAAACATGCTGCTGGGTTGAGAATGGTACACCAACAAAAAATATCTATCCAGTAGTGGTCCTGTGGTAATAATCTGATCACAGATTGACTATAAAGTTGGACTAAAGTGCATCACTGTCGGTGCAGTCATTGTTTACAGAAAATGGTGGTCTTTGAGATTGCTGTCTATTTGCGGCAAAAGCTCCTAGTAGGAAAAATTTTCTAGGAACCAAAACAGAGCCGTTTCACAGTGGTGGGGATATAGCGCATACCTCAGTGCTTAATTCCTATTGGTAATCGTCATGTCGCTTTGCTCCTTATTTGCGTAAAGTTAAACTTACTCAGTTTTGTTGCCTCACTGACACTTTGCATGGCCAGTGCAGAGCTGGTTTATGAGGAGCCTGGCCTCTTCCTGTTTCCCCCGTTATATCAAAAACAAGACTTCAGAATGCAAGAATGTGCCCGTGGGCGAGTCCTCAGCATATGGGGATGAATGCTAAAAACGAAAAGTTAATAGGTTTTTATCACTTCCCCAGAACCTTTTTTTTTTTCTTTTTTTTCTTTTTCTCCCCCCTACACCAAACAGGTTTTGGGCAGCAGGATGCCAGCATTACTGCTACCGAGTGCTGATTGGTTGACGAGCAGAGCAGCTCATTGGCTGTTCATGCCCACTAACATCATGAATGTACATGAGCCTTTTTAAACTCCTATAAGTGGAGTTCAAAAGCACTCAAAATAGGGCTGGGCGATAAAACAATAACGATAATTATCGCGATATAACTTTTCCTTGATAGAGCGATACGACATGTTCGATAAATGTTCAATATAATACACCATTCGCACACTTCCACGTTCTAGCGAAAGCCTTGGTGGCATTTTCTACTGCAAGGAAAGCGACACTGCTGTCGCCAGGAGAGGGTGCACTTCTACATGATGAGAGAGGGAGGGGGCCACGAGTAAGATGAGTCTTTAGCAACAGCTGAAACGCGGAGTTACACATTCCCTGTTTAAGTGGAGCAACCGGCGATCTGTTCTCCTGTAACCGAGTGTGAGTGACGAGGTCAGTGGTGTAACTATACTGTCCGACAGCGAACTCACCTCTTTCCTAACATACTAACCAGCTTTAGCAGTGTTAAATCACAATCCTCACAACTACAGCGCTCGGACAATCATATTTAAGTATTAGTGCATTCTCGAGCAACGAAAGTGAAAGAAAGAAGTGGGTTCATGTAAATTACAGTCCTGATTTAAACGAAAGCAAACTGAGGAAGCTGTGAAGCATTGGAGAGCGGGAGAGCGCCATCTTTCCAGGCTAGCTGTTTTTAGCAGCTGGCTAACTTGAAGCAGCGCTCTGTCACCCCACAACACGGAGAATTGATGATACTGTAGATCAAACAAGACACAAAAGCACCGCTTTCAGTTTAAACATACCTAAAAGCAGGACTCTGTTTGTCTGGTGTTGATATTTTGCGGTTCACCACTTAAACTACTACGATAGTATAGAGAAATCCAGTCATCGCTAGCTGGTGTTTGAATACTGTGATGTCAATTGTAATGGGGTAGCCGATCGCTCGTCACCAGCTAAAAATAATCTGTTTTCTTTCTTAAATAATGACTATTACAAAACAGCCATGCTTTTCCAGCTGGTAAAAACAGCTCACCAGACACTTTCTCCCACTCTTCCATGACAGATCTGTGAAATGTTCCACTGTTTGGTGAGTGTTTGTCGTGTTCCGACCATAAAGGATAGTTTAAAACAGCAATTAACCCCCCAGAAGCAAAAATCAGCCTTCAAACTTGAAAGAAATAATGATTTGACATTTATCGTGGTATGTATCGATATCGAACGATATGAATTTTGTTTATCGTGATAACATTTTTGGCCATATCGCCCAGCTCTAACTCAAAAATATAACAGTGGTGTTAAAAGGTTTTATATTGAATATTATTTTATATTAAATGTTTAAGCATTTAAAAATTAATTTTTGATTCACTCAGAAGCTCCCTCTAGTGTTTGAGAAACACGTAAGACATTATAAATTGGTAATTTTCCTCTTTACAAGTTTTCTGGCCAACATTCGTGCTCCCTCCTGCCACTGGAAGTTGCCAGCTCTGTTGAAAATTAATGATCTCCAGCCACTTTGTCGCAATGCTGACGGTGTGAATGCAGGGTTAGATAAAGTATACATAAGACAGCTTTGTTCCCAGCTGTAGACGTAAGTGTACCAACAAGGTAACCATCTCAAGTATCAAGTGTAAGCATCTAGTGTTTAAAAACTATAGCTGGTGTTTCTGTGCAAGATTAACCTGCTTCAGACATGTTAAACCCGGGTTAATCTTCACTTTTCATTATGTATTCAATGGGAAAAATCACAGTTTCGTACATGCTTTTGTGTGTGTGTGTGTGTGTGTGTGTGTGTGCGCGCGCACGCGCAATTTGTACAGCACCTTTCCTGCCACTTTATGGGGTCTTGAAATGAAGTTTATTGATATATGGTTGCTCTGGTGTCTTGTCCTGGTGCAGAGGGCTTTAACAGGGTGTTCCCGATGGAGAAACTGAGCTCGTTCAGTCATAAAGAGGTCCAGATGATTCTGTGTGGAAACCAGTCTCCGTCCTGGACAGCCGAGGATATTGTCAACTACACTGAGCCCAAACTGGGCTACACTCGGGACAGGTATGCAATGATGTCTCCCTGAATAATTTGAATAATACGAAAGCCTACCAGTATCAATATTAAAACGGAAATGCAATATGTAAAATGGCAATGTATTTGTTTCCATTTGAATTCCCCATTCATATATGCAAAAGTCCTGTTGAACTCAAAACGGAAATTCAATACTATGATTTGCCATCTGGTATACTATTATTGACATTTCATTCACACAGAAATTAAGATGCTTTGAGTAGCCTTAAATTAAAATGTATTTCCAAAACTGCATATTTATGCTTAATGTGATGATGCAGTAATTGTCAAAATGATGAATGTAATTTTCTTATATATATTTTCAAAATTGCATTATCAAAGAGAACATAAAGCTAGAAAGATCAAAATTTAAATGTAAAAAGGGAAACACCTCTCCTGTTTGCAATTACACATTCCCACGTACTGCGCTCATTCTGTGGAAAATGCCCTTGAAAATGCAGTTTCATTTTCAAAGACTTACCAACCATTCCATCCCTACAGCACGCTCAGCGTAAAAGGCTTAATCTGAAAACATGGCGGCCAATCTTTAGAAGACGGAGCGAACGGAGAGCAATATAGAGACCCATGAACAATCTTTAATCAAACGTGGCAGATTTTTCTGTTTTAATCAGTTGGTCGTTATTCTGTGTTATTAATCAGTGGTCAAGTAATTCTGTGTTAGCTGAATGTTAGGCTGTGTTAGGCTACAGATGCGGAAGATGGAAAATAATCTAGCTTCAAGGGCTGTTTTCTAACTTACATAGTGAGTATCAGACGTGTATATATTGCAGCGTACCACTTTGTTACCAGAAAGTACTTAAAATGATTTAGTGTAATTGTACTGGTACATAGATGTATGCAGAGATTACAACCATCTAGTCATAGTGACTGAGTTGGCAACAACTGGTTTACTCTGTCAGTACCATGATGTATTTCACCTGAATTCAGCTAGAGCATCTCTGCTTTTCTTTAAAAATTAATATTACAGAGGTCCCAGGTACATGTTTGTGACACAGTGAGCTGGATTATGTTTGCCAGCTGGTTAAAAACGGCAGATGGGGGGGGTCCTGTTTGGGAATGTAGCGTTAGCTAGCATTAACAATGGCTTTTAGCTATCTTAATTCTGCCACTCTCAATTCACTTTGGGTTTTAGCAGGTGAGGTGATGGAAGAGCAAAATATCCACCTGATGCTCACTTGGTAGAAGATATCCTTACACGGCATCAACTGGAATCTCTGTCAAGCCTCACTTGCTGCCACTTTTCTCAGCTTATAAAATAAGGCTGAAGTAAAGTTATTTTTAGAATTTTCCGTTGATGGACTGGAAAATTAGAAAAAGATGCTGGCGAGAAGAAAAAGTGTGGCCTTGTTTTTATCAACCAGAATAATAAACCAGAAAACTTTGTAAAAGCCATACGCTCAATGTAACACTTATGAAGAGAGAGGCGCTGTTTCCCATTTACATTTGAATATTGTCTTCTTTCTAGCTTGGTGTTCTCTTTTCATAATGCAATTTAAATGCATTATTAGAGAGTCAAAATGCTGATAAGATAATTAAAGTAATCAATCATTGTTACACAGTTATTTCATAGTCACATTAAGCATATGCAGTTCTGGACATGCATTTTAATTGAAATAAAGCTACTCATAAAGCAGCTAAATCTTTGAGTAAATGAAATGCCTATACTAGTATACCAGATGGCAAGTTAAAATTGCTGTATTGAATTTGAATTTTAATTTTGAGCTCAATATTGCATGTATGAGTGCGAAATTCAAATGCAAGCATCCATTGCCATTTCACATATTACATTTTCATTTTAATTTTGACACTGTGCTTTCATAGAATAAAGCCCATTCATAAAATTAAATACTTAAAATCTAAATTGTAGTACATTTTGTTACTGCTCTGATTCCCTCCCACCTTTGTAGTCCTGGTTTTCTACGCTTTGTACGAGTCCTGTGTGGAATGTCCTCAGATGAGAGGAAAGCCTTTCTCCAGTTCACAACAGGTTGCTCAACTCTGCCCCCTGGTGGACTAGCCAACTTGCACCCTCGTCTCACGATAGTGCGCAAGGTATATTTTCACAATTTCCTCACTTCGGGTTAACGAACAGTACAGACATCAGATCGCCAAGTAATTTATTTTTATAGATATTTTTATATTTTTTTTAATGTAACAGCTGAGTGTTTGAATAATTATTTTTTAATTTCCTCCTAACTCTGATCTTGTTCCTCCTATGTCTGCTTCCACTTTTAGGTGGATGCAACAGATGCCAGCTATCCCTCAGTAAACACATGCGTGCACTACCTGAAGTTGCCAGAGTATTCCTCTGAGGAGATTATGAGAGAGCGCCTCCTCGCCGCTACTATGGAAAAGGGCTTCCACCTCAACTGAGCATGCTCTCCCCACACCACTGACCAACTCCCTGTACTGATGAAGCCTGTTGTTTTGTTGCAGAAAAAAAAAAAACAAAAGCTGTGCTTGCTGATGAAATCCCCTTAAGTACAGTTCACACCTATAACCAAAAGGAATCCCATCTTCAGCTCCATTAGCTACTGAAACAGATTTAGGGCCATGCCCCTGCCTGTCTTGCCCTAGTCACCTCATCAACTTTTGTACTGTGCTGCTTTAAGGGCTTGAGCCGCTGGTAGCCAAGGGCAGTCTCTCCTCACGTTCTGCGTTTACTCTTATACCCCGGCTCAGAGCGTCTGTGTATAGTTCAGCATAGGTTTTCTTTTCAGATTCCCACATAGCACCATCTTGCACGTCAGATCCTGGTTTCCCTCAGAGGGGGGACACAAGCACCCGCTTCTGTAGAGCTAACTGTAGTGTTTGGGTATTTCCAGGTTTTAAGTTTTACTAGTGCCTGCATTATTTGAAGTATTAGCATTTTTTTGCCCCTTTTGTTTTGCTTAATCTTTCAGCATACAATCATGCACATGCTTTCTTTTTGTTTGTTTTTTTGTTTTGTTTTCCCTCCCTCCCTCCCTCCCTCCCTCCCTCTTCCGTTACTGTGTATGTTTCAGTTGTTCATCATCCTGCTAAAAGGATTAAAGTCCCTGAGTGCATTTGTGTAATTTTACAATAAAGCTATAGAGGAAAAAAAACACTGGTTCTGTGTGCGAGGCACATTTAAACAAAAAAAAGAAAAAGCAAGCTATGCTTCTCCTTGTATTTTCTTTGTATATTATAAACATTTATTTAACTCAAGTTGCAGTTTGAAGTAAACAGATATTTTCAAATGTGTATGCTCCAAAATAATCATTAAAATGTTTGCAAAGTATGAATAGTGTTGTGTGTTCTGTGGTGTCTCTGGTCTCTTGCTACTTGCATGTCAGGTAGAACCAGTAAATCATAACTAATGCAAGGAGAACAACTGCACATGGCAAATATAGCTAGAACTACATAAACAATTAGTTTTATATTGTAAACAATTCATCATGTAAAGATCATGCATAAAACTCATACATAGTACATGTAGCTCAGTCCAATATTAATAATAGCATGCAAATAATACAAGACCCCCAAAGGCCTTTATCCCTGTGATTGAGAGCACAGTCTTCATTTTGTTCAAATAATCCCCATATTTTCATGAACTGTGTGGCTGTCAGCTTTCTGCCATCTTGTCTAAGGCCAGCAGTGGAGCCAGGATGCGGTTCTTGTTGGTCTCCACAACATGTCCATTTAAGATCATCTCATCCAGAATGATGTGCACCTTATCCAAATTGAACATAATCTGATTAAGAATTAAGGAAAAAAACTATAAATAGATGTTAACAGCAGTTAATAAAGGCTACTGTGGCAAAAAACAGTAAAATTTGAGTACTTGTATATGACCAGTGATTGATGTTAAACTGATAAAATGATATAGAAAGGATACATCCAGTTCACTCTGAGAAGAAAACAGAGAACATTGTCAATGTCATGCTGAATGGGATCATTTTTTTTGTGTGACTGATTGTTCTAATTCTTTTTTAGCATGGGGCAGCTTAAACTTACCACACGGCTGAAGTACTTGTCGAGCACTTCTACAAAGTTGTGGACTAGCTCATAAATAGAGAGCTCATTCTGTGCAGTAAAAACAAAATACATTGATTTGTATGAGGGACACAACTGTTTCACCACTTAGTGTATCTAACTGTAGTTGTTATTGTTATGAGCCATGTAGAGAGTATCTGTAAAACCATTCACACAAATAACTTACTTCATTGTCAGTGATGCCAACCACAATGAAAAGAGCTGCATACTGCCGATATACCAGTTTATAATCCTTGTACTCCACAAATGAGCACTGGAGAAGAAGAGCATAAAAGAGAATAATCATGAAATGGTTAAAAGGCATGATAATTGAGTTATATTTTCTTTATATATCTTCCTTGCTTATTACTGGATCGCTGTTTGCTTATCAGGACATTCAAACAGTCATCTTCACTGTCACTTCTGCAGGGAGGAAAGAAATCTACATCTGTAGATCCATGCAGAACAATGCAGAAGGAGCTGATGTATGACTGATTTTCCTAAAGACTGTTCATAACCAACTTAATGTTGGTATTGACTAACAGTCAGACCAGCTAGCTACATATATTAACACGATGTAGCAATGCTGTAGACAATCTACTGTGAGATATCTAAAAGTTGGGATGCTGTGTAAAATGTAAATGAATGTAAATAAAAACAGAATGCAAAAACTTGCAAATCTCATAGACCCATATTTTATTCACAATAGAACATGGAACACAGATGTTGAAAGTGAGACATTTTACCATTTCATGAAAAACATTAACTCATTTAGAACTTGATGGCAGCAGATGGGACAGGGGCAACAAAAGGATGGAAACGTAAGTGGTACTAATAAACAGCTGGAGGAGCAATTACTTACATGACTGGGTTTAAAAGAGGGTTTTAGAGAGGCAGAGTCTCTCAGAAGCAAAGATGGGCAGAGGTTCACCAATCTGCGAAAAACTGTCTAAAAATTGTGGAACAATTTCAGAAAAATGTTCCTCAATGTAAAATTGCGAAAACTTTGAATATCCCACCATCTATAGTACATTATATCATCAAAAGATAATCTGAAGAAATCCCTGTACGCAAGGGACAAGGCCAACGGTCAATATTGGATGCTCATGATCTTCGGGCCTTCAGGCGGCACCGCACTGAAAACAGGCATGATTCTGTACAGGAAATCAATGCATGGACTCAAGCACACTTCCAGAAATCATTGTCTGTGAACACAGTTTCCCATGCAATCCACAAATGTAAGTTAAAGCCGTGTCATGCAAAGAAGAATCCACGTCAACACGATCCAGAAACGCCACCAACTTCTCTGGGCCAAAGCTTATTTAAAACGGACTGAGGCAAAATGGAAAACTATTCTGTGGTCAGATTAATCAAAATTGGAAAATTTTTTTGGAAATCACGGGCGCCGTGTCCTGTGGACTCAAGAGGAGAGGGACCATCCAGCTTGTTTTCAGCACACAGTTCAAAAGCCTGCATCCCTGATGATATGGGGTTGCATTAGTGCCTATGGTGTGGGCAGCTTACACATCTGGAAAAGCACTATCAATGCTAAACAGTATATAGAGGCTTTAGAACAACATACGCTCCCATCCAGGCAACATCTTTTTCAGGGAAGGCCTTGCATATTTCAGCCAAACAATGTTAAACCACATATTGCATCCATCACAACAGCATGGCTTTTCAAAAGAAGAGTCCGGGTGCTGAACTGGCCTGCCTGCAGTCCAGACCTTTCACCAATAGAAAACATTTGGCGCATCACGAAACTTCCCAGACATTTACAGACTGTTGTTAAAAGAAGAGGGGATGCTACACAATGGTAAATGTGGCCCTGTCCCAACTTCTTCGAAATTGGGATTGTATAAGAAATATATAGTATATATATAGTAGGATCCCAAAAATAACAACAATGAACCACGATTAACAGTCAATGGCGTTATCAATGATATACCACATACCAAATTGTTTAAATAACAGGTCATAGCTTCAGGTCTTCTATTCACCCATTTATTACACTCAGGGCAAGAAATGGTAGAACCTTCCCTTGAAACATAGTACACACTGTACATTAGTCCATTAAAAAACAAACTAAACAAACTAAAACAACTATGCACTAGTCATAATCTGGTTAGCAATATCAGATGTAAAACTGTGCTTCCACTTTGGTGGAGAAAAGCCTATTCTGCTTTAGCAAAATTACTCATGCAGGTGTAAATAAAAAAGCAGTTTCTTTTTGTTAGTCCGATAGCATGGTGGTCCCTGTTTTACGACAGATCTGAATAAACTAACACTATTGCAATGGTGTACAACTGTAATTAAACACGGTTTAACAGAACTACCATGGCATATTCATACAGATATATATGTAGATGGCCAAATGTAGTTAGGCGCCTTTTCTTATTACTGGGTTTGGCCACACATATTGCTAACAGATGTATAAAAACAAGAATAGTCATGCAATCTCCATATACAAACAGTTGCATAACTGTCATAAGTTGCCTCCTTTCCAGCCTTTCGAGTCAGTACGTCAAATTTCTGACCTGCTCTGTCTTCTTTAAGTGCTGTAGTGACAACTGTAAAGTTTGGTGGAGGAGGAATAATGGCCCAGGGCTGTGTTTCATAGTTGCAGGAAAACTTGATGTAATGATGCAGCATACAATGAAATTCTAGAAAATTTTGTCAGCATGACACTGCCCCTGTGCACACAGTGAGGTCCATTAAGGACACATCCTAAGTCTAAAAACAGAAAAATCTCTTGTTATATTGCAAATGCATGAAATGCACTAGATGGAACCATTTTTTTGGAAAATGTAACAATATCAGGCACTTTTTTTAAAAATGCTGGCATAATTAAGTTGTTGAGATGTAAAGAAATGTCTTCTTTGATGTGAAATGATTAATTGTAGAGAAACTTTTTTTCACAGTGGTGGTGATGGGAACCATGGGTCACATACACAATGCACAAATATACAAATTGCTATCTGCTATCAGATACGACTATCAGTCTACTATGTGTTTTGAGTTTTTATATGTAATGTTAAAATAGAGATAAAATAGTGATTTCCTTAAGTACTATTTTGCCTTGTTTTGCATGTAGCTCTCTGCTATGAATGGATTTCAAAAATACATTATTTTATTACATTTATGCCAAAACTTTATCTTAAAACTATTGTAAAACAAAGTCTCAGGCATCAGACAATACATTTGTAACAATTTCACGTTGATTTCTGTCTCGGTAAGTTTCTCCAGAACAGAGCATTTCACATGAAAACACTCTCAATGACTTTGTTTACATCACAACAATTAAATTATGCAGAAATTGAGAAACTATTGGAATTTAAAACCAGGCAGCCATCTCTACTGCTGTGTGTGTATGTATATTTATGTACTACACATTGGAACCAAAAAAAAATTATTTCTCAGTCAGTCAGTGGTAAATAGTTAATAAAAATTAAAAACAGGAACTGACCTCTTCTTTCTTGCGGAACAGGCAGCCCTTGACCACGTCCGCCTCCAAGACGGCCCTTTTTCCAATGTCTACATGCTCGTAGTATTTTGACAGGCGAGTCTGCCCCTGTTTATTGACCATTAGAAGAAACTTGATCATGATCACTTGGGAAGGTGGCCACCACTAAAAAAAATAATAAAAAAAAATAATAATAATTTGGAATTAGAAATTATTCAATGTAATATGAGAGAGAGAGAGAGAGAGAGAGAGAGAGAGAGAGAGAGAGAGAGAAAGAAAGAAAGAAAGAAAGAAAGAAAGAAAGAAAGAAAGAAAGAAAGAGACAATAATTGCATCCATAAATGCAACATCTGTAACTCTGTTGTAATTGCAATTTCTGGGCAATAAATATGTACATTTATATGCTGCTTGCTATACTTTTTTTTATTATTATTTTATAAATCTCTCTCTTTTATATGTTGTGTGTATTACTATTAATAATACTTGTAATGTACAGTACTGTGCAAAAGTCGGAGACCACCCTTTCGTTTATTTAATTTAGACAAAATAGCATTTAAGTTATTAATTTTTCAAAAAAGCAAGAAACATATTTAACAGGAAATTACACAGATGCCTCAACCACTGAGTATATCTAATCTATCAGTATTTAATATGTCCACTCTTTACTTTTGTGCAACTTATCACTTATTTAACTCTTCCACGATTAAACGTTATAGAGAAAATGTGACTCCTAACAACCGTGCAACACCTGATAGGCCATAAAAACTGGCACCATCAGATAAACAGAACTTAAAGCTTTCATCTTTAAGAGAGAGGAGAAAATCAAACTCCATTCTTACTTCAAAAAATCCTCATTTGTTTTTTCCGTCTCAACGTTATGGGTCTGAAAGGATGTACAGCTGTCAAGAAGCTGTTACCAGGAAAAGGAAATCGACAAAAAAGAAGAAAATTGGCACTAAAAGACTGATCATCTAAGATATTGAATAAGGTTTGCTGTGTTCAGTTATACTTCATGGCTGTTTTGACTGGAAAGAGATAATAAAGATATAAATAAATGAAAGGGTGATCTCTGACTTTTGCACAGTATGGTATACCTGATACATCTTGGACTATTTTAGAATTTATTTACAGATTTATATATTATGTATGCATAATAGTACTGCTATTATTATTTTATTAGTATTATGTCTTTATTAATATCGATTTATTTCAGTGCCGTGGTGTCGATGTATAACTTTTTGTAGATTATAATTTGATCTTGTTTGTTTATTACCTTTTTATGTACAGTGTTATTATGTATGTTTGTTACTTCTTGTATCTTATTATGTACAGCAACTGACTGCTTTACACAGTGTTCTGAACTGACCGCTCCGTCTGCGCAGGCGCTGTGCGGTGCGCTGTATTTGGTCGACAGAGAGCAGGGCTGGGTGAGCGTCCCGTCATGCAGCGCGAGCTGAATCCCCCTGTCGCCCGCAGTGAGGAGACTCTCATCCAGGGAGCGGACTAATGGCGGCCGGCGGAGCCGTGCGCTCACTCTGAGCACGCAACACATACTGCGCTCGGCGCCGCAGACGGATCCACACAACCTCCCGGACGGGACGAGCGGTTTTTATCGACGGAGAAAGGGGCGGGGGATTGGTGTGAACGCACCCGCGGTCGTGCGGCGACTTGTAGCGGGACACTGCTATTTAAAAAAATGGATGAACACCCCGGCGGAGGAGGAGGAGGAGGAGGAGTAGGAATGGCCACAGCGAGACAGCAGCAAGCGCCGCAGCAGGGGAATCATAACAGTGTTAATCCTCCGATCGGGCCCGGCGGAACGGCGCCTGTCGTCCAGCAGCAGCAGGACGAAATGCCGCGGCCGCAGCAGTACACGATCCCGGGAATCCTGCACTACATCCAGCACGAGTGGGCCCGATTCGAGATGGAGAGGGCGCACTGGGAAGTGGAGCGGGCCGAGCTGCAGGTATCGACTTAGCACGCGTGCTAACGAGATCTGTTGCTGATACGTTAGCTTTAGCTGGCTGGGTGAGCTCATGCCAAAGTTTAAAAGGTACGCCTTGGATAACCGCTGTGTCATGCCTCTCCAAGAATAACAGACATCTTGTCTGGGTAACTTTTCCTCGTTAACTGGGTCGTAAGTGAAACTGCTAGCAAAAAGAGCCCTCGAATCTACAGAGCGCTGTGTGCGGTTTATTAGTCACGAATACAGTAGCTTGAAATTATGGTAGTTCCCCTTACTACACCTTACCAGTAGTGTGGGATCTTCTCGTTGGTGTGTGGTTCTTCTGAGACAAGACAGTTTGTTTTCAGCTGTAGAAAACCAGAGGAAGCCGCTCCACACGCAGCCAGCTGACTTTGTCAACTAATCTCCCGTTCAGCCATTTTGTTTTGGTCATCATGGCGTCGGTGTGGTTCAAGTCTTTATTAAGCTAAAGCCCGTTAGCACGATCCAGGGGGCTTCATATTGTTTTTCTAATTCAGAACAGAATGAGCATCCCGCGCTGGGCTTAGATTGAACATGGCATCAGACTGAGACGTTCATTCAGAACCTTGACCAATAGAAACTGTTTGCTTCATTGATAGATAGTTAGCGTGAGAATGTGTTAGCAGCGCTGCTTCACACCGCTTACTTGCTAACGTCAGTGCTATTGCTCGAGAGGGCTCACTATAACGTTACTCTAAAACGGTGTTTAGTTTTCCTGGGATATTGTCAAAACATTTATCGTTTATTTTATATTTGGCCTGGTTCGGTGGTTTCTCATTTGTAGAGGTTTTGTTGTTGACAGCTATTAGCTAACTGTTCAAAATATGTGGAGCTGCCCTTTTCGCTAGCTAGTCGGTGTTATGTTTCGGGGCTGTCTGAAGCGGTGGCGTGTTAGTTTTTCTGTTGTGTCCAACCAACACGTAAGCAGAGTAGGTCTTTACAACTAGTAAAAAGGAAATTTGACGTTTAATGTCACTAGGATTGAATGCCATACAGTTAGTTAGAAGAGAGAATCAGTTTTTAACCCGTTAGCTTAGCTGCAGTATTTAGAGAATTCTGTACTGGCTAGTGTCATTGTAGGATACGCTCTCTTCTTGACAGATAAACTAAGGTGGTATTCAGAAGGACTCAAACCCGAGGCAGTAAGTGTAAAAAAAAAAATCTTTCCTTAACGTCCAGAGAACCCCTGGAAGACACAAGTTCAAGCTGCAATGCTTTGTTATTTTCTGTCCCCAAACAGTCATGTTTGCTATCTTATGGCACTTAGGGGGGTGAACAGGGTGGTTAATGAGAGGTATGAAAGGTGTTGAAGGCCTGTGACAGAAGGTTACTGTGGTATGCAGTGCACACAATGCACAGCTCTGTCAGATGAAGCTCAGGAGGATGTAGAGTTATTACTGCCTGTGTGTTCACAGACACATACCTTCAGCATGACACCCATCTTTAGTCTAACATGCATCCCTGTGGCTTGTGAAGTCGCACTAGGTTTGGGACGGACTTACCCGGCAAAAGTGTTTCACATCCCCTGCGTTCCACTTATTGGCTTGTCAGTCAAGGGAAGACCACCTGCCCCTGGTTTAAAGATATAAAGTAAAAGTAGCAGCCTTAGATCTCTGAAGCATATTTATACATTAACATGAGATGTATAAAAACTGCTGTGTCTGTGTCTTTGCAGGAGAAATGCAGACATAGCCCTAATGGATTCGTAGCCACCCTAATAATATCATAATGGGTAGGCCGTTGCTGATCTCTATACTGTCAGGCACTAATCGATGCGAAGACCATCTCACAGGTCTGTTCTTCATTTGGAGTGCAGAGCTGCTTAGTGAGATGTCCTTAGAAGTCACATCACCAGTGCCACTGACTCGTTATCTGGGTTAGAACAGGGTTTGTAGGTCATGGTAGTGAATCATTCTTCTGACTCTTCCATAGTGACCAAGGAGTAAAGATGATCTATATCAAAGTGAATTTTATGCTCAGATTATATTCAGTTGTTCACACAGTATAGCATAATTTGTCAGTGTCTACCAGGAGAAGATGACATTCTACCTTGTTGACCTGTCTTGATTAGGTGGACTTAAACTAAATCAGGGGTGCACAATGCTGGACCATCAAAATCGACCTAATGAACGTTACTTATCATTTATATGGTTTGATTCTTGACCCATTATCTGCTTTTTTTAAAAACGTAATCAACTACTAATTGTTCTTGTTCACAATTTCTAGTGTAATGCTACAAGAAGGTTGCATGAAATTTAACATGAAGAACTTACTCATACTGAGAAAGTCACTTTGTCCTGACAATTCCACTGTGATGCGACCTACCAACCGGATGTTGGGAAATACTGATAGGCTTGCATTAATAAATTAAGAGTAGCTCAGAAAGATTAACAGCCTCCAGAGCTTCTGCTTTTTAAATTAGCTCTCTGCTGGCTGTGCATTTTCAGGTGGAGTTTAGGTGGGTGATGAAGTCATCAAAAGGTTTTCCAGTCCATAGAAGCAGTGAATGACCATCAAACTTTTAGTTGTGTAGTAATCTAAACTAGTGATCTAGTTTCCAAGATTAGCTAGCCATGCTGGCTAATCCTTTGTTCCTTGTAGAGTAAAATGCACCATGTAATCTGTGGGGTGAGGAGACATTAGTAGTGGTGTATCTTGATCGAAGTTTACTTAGGAAAGTAATGTGCATGAATTCAGTGTCTTGTAGGTAAGTGCAGAACATGGGGTTATCAGGGCTGGTATGGGGCCATTGTGGTAGAAAATTGGAAAAAAGCCAAAAAAACAACTTTGACTTGATTTCATATTGATCATTATGAAAACTTGCGCTGCAGTCTAAAAATTAATTCAAAGACCCAGGGAACCTAAAGCTAATAATAAGCTCTAATTAAGTTAATCTTGTTCTTGCAGGCAAACAGTAAACATGTACTAAGTATACCCTTTTGAATAATGTTTCGGTGACCAATAAATGACGATATGTTTCACCAAATTGGTAAACTGCGTGATCCAAATCTTGAGTAATGCTTCCGTAAGCATTCCCCTGATGTCTCTTGCCCCGTGCACACAAAGCAGTTTCAGTGTCAGAGAAACTTAGTGAGCCAAAGCTAACCCAGGCATTACCGAAGGCTAGCCAGCTAGACCAACTCTCTGTAGCCGCTTGTCATCCAGTCATTTGTTTATCTGTACATGAACGTTGTTCGTTTGTTTGTTCCTTCAGTCACACATTGCTTCATCTGTGTGTTTGGTCGTCCATCTGTCCACCTACACATCTATTCATCCATGACTTTTTTTGTCCATTTACCATCACATAAAAGCTGGATAATGATTTTAGATCTGTATGAGTGGCAGAGCAGGCTAGGAATGTTGGACAGAGAGCTGTCAATCAAACTGCTCATTAGCCATGCCCACACAGTTCTCGGATACGTCTAATCAGTGTTTTTTTTTTGTTTTGTTTTTTTAAGCTCTGTTTTATCATATTTGTGTCTGATGTTTTTCATTCAAGCTTTACTGGATGTTTAATATAATAACTCAAGTTTAGTATCATACAAGCATTTTTAATAATTATTCTGTGTTCCCCAAGACTTTAAACTTAATATATAATGTGAAGACTTCATAAAAATGATGTCTGGTTAGAACTGCTTAAGTGATATTGAGATAATAATAATAATAATAAAAAATGAGGAAAAATGTTTTAACCTAACAGTAGCATATTAGTATTAAAGATTAAAGTCAGGCACAACATTACCACTTTATATTGTGAATAATCGTTCGTATTACTCAGCATGTTAATTATAATCAAATTTACTGATTGCTTTTACAGTGCCAGAAATTCTTGTTTCTTTCTAAATAGAACTGCATTAGGTTTAAATTGCATTGTAAACAAACTCATGCACTTTCTTTTTTATAAAACTTAGGTAGAAGCCTAAAAACAGTGTTAATGCAGAAAAAGAAAAGAGCAGTAGTAGTCATACATTATAGTAATAGACATGGGTTTGTATGAAGGAGTGCTTAAGTGCTTTAAAGGATAGTGCATGATCAAAGTGGGGAAAAACCAAATGGGAGAAGTAATAATTATTTTAATGCTATAGCAATATAAATTCTTAGCCAGGGTTATCAACTGTTCACATCACTGGAGTGTTTAGTGTTTTATCTTGTTGTCACACCCAGTTCCTGATGGGTTTGGGAATTAGCTCATGAGTTGAATCAGTTGGTGTGTGACACATCCCTAACTTCGCTTAATTAGATCTTGGTCGAATTAATTCCATATCAAAGAAGACTTACAACACAGGGGAAGACTCAGTTTGAGGTTTAAGTTGAGCTCAGTAACTGCGCAGGCAGGCTGTGTGATTCACCACCCAAATAGTGTCATACAGGCATTCAGACTTATGTGACAGGAGAACCTAGATAACATGATCAAACATGATCATGATATCCATTTTTTTCATGTACATATCTCCTGGTGCTGATACATACAGATGGGTACATGTGATATGACAAAAATATCACTGTGCACAAGGACATTTTTGTGACACATGCATACCACAGTGTTTTGACACCGATACAATGCACCACATTTAAAACATTCAAAAAAATCCATCGAAAACTCTTGAGTACAGTGTTTTTTTCTGAAATCCACAACAGGACTAATTATGCTCTCCTTGTAATGAAACGTAGTTTTTAGTGGTCTTTAAGTATGGACAATGTGCACAATATATAGAATTATATAAAATTATATAAAATTAAGAAAATGCAGACGTTTTTGCATTGTAGCTGAGAAATCAGGGTACAATACATACGTCAGCATATATCAGTTTGATATATTGGTCAAATCTGTTTGATGCTGATATTTTTCTTTTTAAGCAAATATTTGCTGTTATTGAAATGATTTCTCATATCAAAGTTCATCCCTATTACAAAAGGATAAAATGCATTTATTCAGTACTTTATGCTTGTAAGAGACTTGTAAGATGGATCTGAGATCTTAGGTGCAGAGGCATGAGTACTTGTACTTGCGGTGCCAACTAAAACTTTTTAATGGAAGCAGCGTCATACTGTATTCCTGAGTGATTGACTTGAAGAAGGATTTACATTAAAAAACAATAACCAATAAACAAATTTTTGTTTTATTTTATTTAACCTTCTCTCTGAGTGCTGCTTTCTGAAAGGATGTCATTCACCATTTATATCAGACCTTCCCAAGTCCTGTGTGTTACCATGCCAGTCTGTGAACATACTCTGTAAACTACCATTATCTGACAGCTGTATAGCGCAATGTGTCATGCATTGGCAAGGGTTATTCTTGCCTCAAGTTCTGAAGCCTGCTACTATGCAAGACTCCAGATTTGGGCAGTGACCTCACCATATTTCCCCAGAGCTAATAATTAGGACTTTGTCTCAGTGGAGGTAATCATACAAATGTTGATGTTAAGAAATTGGGGGTACAGTGTTACATAACTGACTGGTCGTTTGAGTTCTTTATCCACGGGACAAGCCTCATTCGGCCTCTTTCTAGAGAAGATTGTCATACTTTGATCCCAGGTGCTATTTTAGGATGATTTAGAGTGGGCATTTTATTCAAAGATATCTGAGGTCATAGCCATACTAGTGTCTTGAATAGAGTGGGCTACTGTGTGTGTCAGGCTGTGCACAGCAAAAGACAAGAGCAGACAGCTGTTTCTGTGAAGCGTCTCCTGTCCAAGTCCTGCATGGCTGTGCTCACCGCTCTGACTTGATACTAGGCTTTCTCTTCTTTGTGGTCATCTTCCTAAACATGTTTCTGAATTAAAAAAAAAAATAATAATAATTAAAAAATAATATATATAAGTCGCTTAACAGAGGAAGAAAGTAATGGAAATAGAGAAAATAGATTATCTAGATGGCGAAAGAAATGAATATCTTGAGTCAGGAATCAGATGTCTCATGAGTATCTCTCAAGGTAGCTACTAGAAAAACTGGTCTTTGTTCACTTGGTATCAAGCATGGCATCAGCTGGACAAGAGATGCATTTCAACTGAATTCACAATGAGAAACTGAAGTACACATGACCTGATGTCGCAAGTATACAAAATGCTTCAGTATTGATCTCATTTATCTCATTTGTCTTGTATTTATTTGCACCAAAAATAGGCAAGTTCTTGAAGACTATGTTGCTTTCACAGCAAATGGGCATTTTTCCTAATGTCACATACATGCTTGTTTTATTTTCTACAAGAACAGTTTGCCGGTGATGACTCTGAATGACTGGTCTAAACTAATGTATGGAAAATAAAAAACCTAAATATGTAGGCTAAATTGTCCCTTTAATATTAATAGCTTATAAAGACCCCTTTGACCATCTTTCTGTTTTTCTATCGTTAACAGCTGTAAGTTTAAGGCAAAATTTATTTCATCATGTTGAACTCAATCATCATGTGTTGTGTCAGTAAACAGGAAGATCTGTAAAAACTGTTTCTTGAAATTCATAAAATTATAAAGGAAAATCAGCAGAAGGCCAAGACCATGCTGTTGTATAGGGAGGATTTTGCCTTCAAAGGACATGTGACAGGACTGAGCCACAGGGTCCTTCATGATATGTGTAACTTCCCATTCAGGAAAAGGAGGCCCCAAGGGTTGCATGGGATTCTAGTACTAATAATTTACCTTGGAGTTTTTCAAATGGTACAATATCATGATTTTCCAAAATCCTTTTTATTGCATTTATCAAAAAAAAACCTTCAAGTCAAGTAGTGGGCATGTCGAGTCTGCACTTTGGGAAGTGACCAGTATATGGCTGCTGCCACTCTCAAGACTCTTTCAGATTGACGCTGTAAGCAAGCAGTGACATTAGCTCACACTGAATTTTAGAAAACTACCTAGCTGTTGTTTAGTTGAAGGATGGTGGAAGGCTGCAGTGTTAATTTAGTTATTGAATATCCTCTGAATTGTCTAGTTAACTTGTATAGTTGTTTCATTAGTGCTCAGCTTTTCAGAGCATTATTAATTGTTATTTAATAATCAGTTGCTTTAGAATGACAGTCACAAGCAGTGTATAACTAAAATGCTGTTTTGTTTATTTTTAAAGACCTAGATCTAAAGGGTTTGTTCATGTAATTTGAATCTAGTCAAGGACCTGTTAGTCACTGTGTCTTATTCATATCTTCATATCTACCACAGAATTATATAACCTGGTCTGTATGAATCAGTTGAAGTAACCTCTTTTCAACCTATTTCAGAGTTCATTTATAGGGTTATATTTTTATATTTATTTATCAAGACAGGGACCTTTGCATCCTCATGACCTCATCACCCATAGCCTCAGTATTCAAAGTCCTTTGTCTCTTACTGTTCATTATTTCATTTATTTCCTTATTTGTGATACAAAGAACACCTGTCGTTATCAATACATCCTTCTCAGCCTTTTATGTGTCTGCAATGACCTGCTTGGATCTCATGAACACACACAGAAGCCATATTTCCAGGGGGTAGTGTGGTTGTCTATAAATACCCCCTCCTCTCTTCCTCCCCCCTCACGCCAACTAGCTTTAAGAGGGCTCAAGTTGCACAGCTGCGCTCTCTCAATAATGTTAAAGTGTGAGAGAGGGCTCTAGTCCTTTGGGTCATTGCCTGCTCTCTCTGCCATGTGCTGCTTAACCTTATGGTTCTCACAAACATAAGTTATGTTTATGGTGAGAATTTAAGCAGGGAGCCCTGCCATTTCATTTTTAATAAACACTATTTAGATTTGTCATTAAATAAAAATGTTCCCGTTGTTCATTTTTCAAATATTTTGGTATATTCAAATTTTATGACATTTTATTTTTAAAATACAAAGAATATAAAAGGGATGCACCAATTTGGGAATTTTGGGCCAAAGCTGATATCTGATATTTTTCATTTACATGTTTGTCGACACCAGTGCTGATTTATAACATTTAAGAAATGTTAAAATATGGACAACATCTATGTGGATTTGCATTACAGAGCAATATAACAAACTCTAAAGTACTTTTGGGGCAGGGTTAGTTTGGGATAATGTAAGTTTAACTCAGGATGTCTGTAATGTTTATGACCATTTTGTACAGGATAAGAAATGTTGGTATAATTGGAGAGGCTACTTGAATTATGCACTGCTTTTACTCCAGAAAGGAGTTGAAAACATTTCAAGACAGTTAATGTAGTTGTTATTCTGTTTACCCTAACCATCTGTCTTGTTGCCCTTAAGTGAGTGCCTTGTATCATTAGCCTTTTAATTAGCTTGGGAGATTACAGCCAACAGTCAAACATTGCAGCATAAAATCAAGCTTTTTCTGTAATTTGTACGTTTTAATGCTCTGAACCTACACTTAGTAGGTTTGAAGTAGGATGGTACTTATTGGCTTAATATTAGCCACAGACATCATAAGTTAATGTTTCTTTAAGTGCCTCCATACTTAAAGACCTTTTCAATGGAATATGATAGCGTTTTTATCAACATGTCAGTCCACACGGGATTAATATAACCAGCGGTTATTTCTGCTGCTTGTTTTATAGAAGGTAAAAAAAAATTTTTACTGATGTGGAAATGCATAGTCCATAAAAAAGATGGGCATGGCGCGTTTGGATGGGACAAAAATCATTGAGAAATGCAGGTAAAAATAACATTACGACACCTCCCTGTGTAAAAGTAATCCTGTCCAGCTCAACTCAATGTCAGGTCTCCTAAATTAATGAGTTGGCAGTCACTATAAATGTCAGGCATCCCCCTCTTTGACATGGACATGTTCTGCATTCTGACATGCATTTTTTTTTCTATATTGAATTCAATTACAGATATAAACAATTAACCATTTGTCCATTAATAAACAATTGCTTGACCAGTGCTGTTGGTTAAAAATTTTTTTTGATAAATTGTGGTCTTGAGGCTTGTCGATTAACAAGTAATCGCAGACTAATGATGGTTGGAGATTGGTCAATAGAATTTGCCAAAATTTGCATCACAAACTTGCATAAAAATTCAATTTATTTAGTGATAATAAAGCTACTTTAATATTAATGCATGTCTGTCATATATGTGCAGAGTGGAAGAAGGTAGAAAGTGTTGATTGTTTCACTCTTAGTTGACCAAAATCTTTCAGTAAGCACAATGCCAATGGCAAAGCCAGTTTTCTATTTTGTTAGACACACAAAATACATTCAGGATTCAGGTTTAATTCAATTAGATGTTGTTCTTACCCCTGTAGTTCACTTCCTTTTTTGTTTGTTTGTTTCCCTTTATTTTTATTTTGCTAAATTGTATTACATTGTAAATGTAACTGCTCAGAACCAAGGCACAATCCAGCAACTTTGTCTGGGAGTATTGTAGAAGACAAAATTGTGTTTAAGCTACTTTGGGAACGTTGGGAATGTTATGATCTGGGCTATTGTGTTATTTGGTTATTGATTCCTTTTTTTTTTTTGTCTTGCAGGCTCGCATAGCATTCCTCCAGGGAGAGAGAAAAGGTCAAGAAAATTTGAAGAATGACCTGGTTAGAAGAATAAAAATGTTAGAATATGCATTAAAGCAAGAAAGGTTTGTAGCAGTTAAAATATTTTTATCTTTTTGTTGCTTATTGAATCATATTTGCTAACCGAATATTATTATTATTATTATTATTATTATTATTATTATTATTATTTTGTTCTTTCCAGAGCAAAATACCATAAATTAAAATATGGCACAGAACTAAATCAAGGTGAGGTCAAAATGCCCAGCTTTGAATCAGGTAAGTGCATTCCTAACATACATGAATGACTTACAAAAATATTGTCATTAGTGTACAAAGCTGCTTCGCTGAAATGAGACCTATTAATAATGGCTTTTATCCCAGAAGATACCAAAGACACAGAGGTGCCCGCTGTACCACAGAACAGTCAGTTAACCTGGAAGCAAGGCCGGCAACTCCTAAGACAGTAAGTTTTCTCATAAGCTAGAAAGGAAGTTAAACTTTCTGGATTATGTGCTGTGCATGTTATAACAGTTTCCAGAACTGAGGAGAGCTGAACCTTAATGCTAATTAAAAGTCAATCAGAGCAGGTCTGTTGTGCTTTACCGAAAGCACAGTACTGTGCCAAAGTCAGAGACTACCCTACCGTTTATGAAATTTCCAGGTCAAAAATAGCTATTAAGTAAGTTATGCACCGTTAGGTGTTAAAAACAAAAGCAGGAAAAATAAGATTATATTTAAAAGAAAATTACACAAAAGCCTCCAACACTAAAGCATTGAGTTTCTCTTCTCTTTACTTTGTGCACATTACTGCCAACTCTTCCATCCTTCCGGTCTTAAACCCGAGTCACAGCTGTGTCCTCCCGACAAAAGATGTTCCCAAAGGTGTCACAGACATTATGTTCCCCTTTAACGAGACACTAACATTCACACGAGCAGCTACTCAAACACACTTTAGCTGTCTTCAGAGGTCTTTCTCATCTAAAATGGCTTAAGAAGATGTTTGTGAGAAGATTAGATAAAAGTTAATCCACGTCTATAAGGAAGGGAACAGAAAGGAAAAAAAAAGAAAAGAAAATGTGACTCTACACAAGAGCTGGTAGACCCCAAAACTGTCACCATCAGAGAGACTGTGCTTACAGCTTTCATCTTGAGACTCTTTGCTCTTGCTTCAGATCTGAAAAATCCACAGTCTACTGTGAGAAGACAAGAAAAGGAAATTTGGGGGGAAAAAAGCTAGAAGGCCAAAACTGGACATTTGAGATATAGAGTAAGGCTTTATAGACTGATGAGTCTAAATTGGTAATTGAGATTACTTGGATTGTGAGAAGCAGAAAATCTAACTGCCGAGACTGAAGTATGAAGTATGGAAAAATATGCCTGCTGATTTCTTTGAAAAATAAAAGCAGGTCTCCCAAAAAAGGATAGAAGCTATAATAAGGGCAAACTTGTACTTAATGACTGTTTTGACTGGAAATGGAATAAATCAGGGTTGGACTTTTGAATTAATTGACTGATGTTAATTTGATGTTCGTTTGCTCTGAGTCACTGTGATGAAGTCAGGAACCTTCTTCATCAACAAGACTAGTTTAATGTACTGAATCCCAAAAGACATTGGGCCTCATTCATCAGTATCTTCCTAACTTTCTTTTTAAATTTGTTCTTGAGAAAGGTCCCAAGAAAAGTCTGCATCAGATTCGTGACTTGTTCTTAAACGGCACAGTTGTTCACAGCTTTGTGTTCTTGGATGTGCGTAAATTCTGTTCTTGCCAAATCCCAAATAGGAAAATACTGGTGAATGTCAATCTTTGTGAAGATAGAGAGAATGGTACTGTTGAAGACATGTGCAAGCTATTTTTTTTAATCATTACCCTGACCTAGACAAAGGGAGGGGCTACAGGTATAAAAGGTATCAGCAGCAGAGACAAAGGGTTTTTCTCCTTTTCCTGTGATTTGATGTAGTCTGTGAGGCTTTGCAGCCCATAGACCTTTTGGTTTGCCATGCTGGTCAGAGCTGGGGAGGAGTTATTGCCAGATATTAGCCTCTGGGCTAATGGAATCAACTTTTTTACTGCTTTTAATCACAACCTGGGACTATAAATATTTTCTTTTCACTATCTGTTTTTCTTTGCTTGAACACTTAATGAAGAAGTGCTCTGGGAGCTTGCTTTGTGAGCGCAGTGCCCTCTTTGTAGTGGACCCACTCTTTGGAAACCTCAAGGTCATTTTGCCGAAAAGTTGTCCATGACATAAGTCATCAAAAAGAGATTATTTCTTGTCTGTTCTCTTTTTTTCCAATTTTTATGTCAAATATTACTACATGTAAGATTCTGTGGACTGTGTATTAAATGGTAGCAATTTTAGTAATTTAAGAGTCTCTCTCTCTCTCTCTCTCCTCTCTCTCTCTCTCTCAGGTATCTTCAAGAAGTAGGTTACACAGACACGATATTGGATGTGCGGTCACAACGGGTGCGATCTTTACTGGGGTTATCTGGCTCAGAGCAGAATGGCTCAGTGGAAACCAAGAACCTGGAGCAAATCCTCAACGGAGGAGAGTCTCCAGCCAAAAGGAAGGGACAAGACATGAAAAGGTACAAATAACTTAAACCCACATTGTTATCTTCAAATAAACTGCTTGTGCTGTAACAAATAAGACTGTGCAGATCTTAGCAAATGTTTAAAACAAGCTAGTTAATTTTTTAGTTAAGAGTTTTCTTGTGTTACATTTATTTATTTATTGAAAAAACTTTCAACTTTTCAGAGATTAACATTTTGCTTGTCTTGCAGGAATCCAGGAGACGTCCTGGAGACATTTAACTTCTTAGAAAACGCAGACGACAGTGATGAAGAGGAGGATGAAGAGGGAGACTTAATGGAAGACATCTCGAACAGGACTGATAAACAAAGAGTAAAAAAACACAAAATTAAGGTGAGAAACAGGAGAGGAAAGTCTTTTAACGATCTATTCTGTACTGGCAAGTTGCATCTCTGTATGTGGTAATGATGTGCAGGTAATTTAATTTAGTTAACTAAATGCAGGAATACAGCAGTTCTTTTATGGCATATTTTAACAGTACAAGTGGCAGGGTTTTTAAGTAGCATTAGGAGGTCATCATGTAGCAGTATATCAGCAGTCCTGTCTAGTGTATTTTTCTCCATCTATTGGTCTCTATGAATAATTGAATAATAACTGTAATGACAAACAAATAACATGACTACCACACAAATCACATAATACCCTTTTGCAGGTTGAAAAATATAGTCTCAGGCTAAAATATTAATAAATATGTCAGTGGCTTTAGTTACTCTGCAAGTCTCAGAATTGTAGTTTTGATACAGAAACATCTGTAATGGCTATACAAGTAGTGTAATATTTGTCATGTCTCCATAAATCTTCCGACTATACCTTGAGAGAGTTTCTGGCTTCACTAATTATGTTGTAATATTTGTAGATAATCTTAAGCTGAGAATAGAAACAGTGATGGTGAAGTGAAGTCACATTCTCATTGCTTTGTGTCACTGTCACAAATATAAGTTGTCAAAACGGTAATGAAACAATAAGATGATTCTTATAAAATAGCATATATCTTCTCAGGTGGGAAATGAGGGTTTGGCATCGGACCTTCCAGATGACCCGGACACGGAAGAAGCACTGAAGGAATTTGATTTCCTAGTGAATGCTGAGGACGGCGAGGGCGCAGGCGAGGCTCGGAGTTCAGGAGATGGCACAGAGTGGGGTAAAAGCGTCAGCTTCCTCACCCTAACAATACCATCATTCTCCACTAACCTACCAGCACAACCCTACTAGTCCATTTTCAGTTTCGCACACATGGCCTGTTATTTTGGGGGCTTGCACAAGACTCCTGAAGTGTGTGTCTTGTGTGTATTCTGGGCTACACCCTGGCCTTCCTGGCAGAATCTTACATAGGACACTTGCTGCATCAGCATTCTTCTCGCCCTTTGCTGATGAGTATTCACAGCTTATTGCGTACCATCTTGCTGACTGGAGCTGTCTGAGTCGAACACATGAGTACATGTCTAGTCCCTGCTGTTTAATTAGATTTATTTGGCACTAATTTTATTGCCATAGAAAATGCCAGTTTAAAGATCTACGCTTTGTCCTATCACTAGTCCTGATGTGTAATTGTAGTCTTTCACACGAATCGTCATGGAACACAGATTTGAAGGGCGTGTTTTACTTTACTTGCCATCTGCCCATATGTGCTTAAATAGAGAAGAATCTACTGCAAGCCACTTAGCTTACCAGGCTGCAATCAGTATGTCCTATTGGTGGCTGCCCATTGGCTAGCGTCCTTCCTAAGGGTCTCGCATTGGGAATTACCTTTGGTGTTATACGTCCTGTTCGGCCTCTGACATGGAAATGGACCTAAAAAGCATTTCCGTGTAGACTGATCTGATTACCGTATGAAGTATGAGATTATATGGTTACTAATCTGAACCCAGAACTTTCTATAGATGATTCTGATTTCTTTATGGCCAATGGTCAGTTTTTTTTTATTTTTATTTGTTTGTTTTTTGTTATTATTATTATTATTATTATTATTATTATTATTTAAGCTGAAGCTCATGCTGTGTGGGGTAAATGAAATACACTAGCATATTTTTAACTGCCATTGAATATTTTTCAATTTAAAGTCAGTTGCCTGTTTTAAACATGATTTAACATGAATCAGGTAAAGTGCTACACTGAAAGTAAGAGGCATCTGGCTTTTTAATGCAGTGAGTCTACGAAGTTTGGTACAGGTGTAGCAGCTGCATTCAAATGCAGCGTGAGTGCACTTAGTTGGTTCATGTTATATACGCCATAAAACTAGTGGAATAAAAACGATAAATTGGCTGATTGCCTGTTTTGTGTGTTGAACAGAATTCTCCTGATTACGATCATGGCCGATTCTGTGCATCTCTAGTGACAATGAAAGTAGGCAAGGTTCTCTGACGGTTGTGTGGTATTAAAATGATTTCTTATGTGATGCTAGTGTTTACAGTAAATGCACACAACAGTTGTGACAATTAAGAAACTCCAAGTCCTGATTAACTTGGACTCTGCATTTGTTTTTATTGAGGAGTCACAGTGATTTCTCCCATGCTGGTGTTTTTAGAAATGCTGGTTGTCTAATGAGAGATGACAAGGGTGTTTCAGTGGTCTGCAATTTCTTGCTCCACCTGTAAATCCCAGTTTAGTATGTTTGGTATCCCAGTGAGAATGGTGAACAAATACAGCATGGGTACTCAGGTCTGATATGGTTGGTGGTACTTGGCAGTGGACATGACGACAAAATGCGTGGTCACTATTTTATAATTGTACTGTGCTGTACTGCACTGTCTGGTGGAAACGCACCTATGGATGAGCTGTACACATCGTGGACATGTTATGCTTGTGATATCTGAACAGTTCTGGTATTGCCTTAAAGCCCAATGGTTTTGTCCCCTTTGTTGTTCGTGGTTGTATTGCAGTTGTTTCCTTTAGCACCATGAATATATCCATGTTATATCTATCACCACTTCCTGGCAGGGCATTATGTGTACTGGACTGCTTATTCATCAACTGTTTATTTGCTTTAGTGGCAAGAATCCAGGGGCTGCTCAAGTCAACACTGACTTTCTGGGTGGTAGAGATTACCTTCAAGTCTGCCCAGCAGCCAGCTTAGGGACTGGTGTCTTGTTATTTTGCCCAGAATATTCCTCCGTACCCAGGAGTGCCACTGTTATATGTATCTAGCGAATGCTTGGTCATTATACTACATGTTGTCCCATCTCTCATTAATCACTCGTTCTGTGACGACGTGGTATAAGATCTCAACCAGTGTGCAGGAGGAGCCTGAGGAGCATTGACTGCACTTTGCACCACCTGTGGTGGTCATCACTATACTCCAGGATGTTTATTTGACGTTTGGGCTAAAATATCTGCATTTTATTCGATTTACTGTACCTGTAAAATGTTATATTTCTCTGTAGTTTAGTGATCTCTATAATGCTGATCCAGGTAGATGTAGTCCCAGTTTCTACATTTCTTTTTTTTAAATGTTTCATCATCAGGATAGGTGTTGGTTGCAAACACTGTCAAATTATTCCAGGCTTAGTACTGAAATGTTTTCACATTAAATAGCAATATTGATAAACATGAAACAAGTGAAGTACTGTTAAACTTTTCTGTATGTGGGGCAAGCATTGACTGAGATGTGGCACTGTGTGAATTGAACTGTCTTTCTCCTTTTTATGCTTAGCTGAACCACTGCCATTTCCATCCGGAGGGGGAAAGTCCTTTATCATGGGCTCGGATGATGTGTTGGAAAGTGTGTTGGGCCTGGGGGACCTTGCTGACCTGACAGTGTCCAATGATGAGGCTGATTACAGCTATGATGTAAGTGGTCCAGCGTGCCTTTTTTACTTTTACAGTTTTTCTCCTACCAAATAGGCCACCCTGTAATCTCGATCACTTGCTCCCAACCCAGTCAGCAGTTCTTTTTTTCTCTTTCATCAGCAGACAGGAAGGCACATTGTGACTGCAACAGCAGTTCACGGAGTGTTGATCATGGTGTTGGGTTTTTTTGCACTTATTCTAGCATTCTTTAGATTAATTGGTCGTGAAATCAGGACCTAACGCTCGTTTTAGAACAGAAATGGTAAACATGTTGCTGCTGCACCACTGCAGTAAGCTACAGCATTTTATACTGTTGTCAAGCTGATGCTCACATAATTTAAAAGACAAATATGATGGGAAACATAATTCTAGTCTTAAACCATTTTAGAGTTATGATTATAATGACACATTAGTGTATTTCTGTGGAAATAATTGTGAATATATTCATTATTTTTTTTCATTTGTCATTTGGAGTCTTACCCTAGATTCTGCACCAAAAGGAAAGGAACTAATAAAGGAACACGTTTAGGGAGGCATGAGAGCATTCTTGGCTCAGTTCCTCTGATTTATTCTGGGACACTAGATAACTGCTGGCCCAGAAATGACTTTCCCTCGAATGTCACATTCTAGATGGATTTCAGTTTTCTAAGGCTAGTGCTGTTGCAGCATGCTGGTGACCCACGGTTACTAGACCTACCATTTCCAGGTTTCATTTCACACTTGTTAAAATGCACTCCCACCCCTTCCCCCACCTTTCTATTTTTAGATGCCGGCCAATAAGGACGCATTCAGGAAGACATGGAATGCGAAGTATACTCTGCGCAGCCACTTTGATGGAGTGCGTGCCTTGGCCTTCCATCCTGTAGAACCAGTGCTGGTCACCGTCTCTGAAGACCACACCCTGAAGTTGTGGAACCTGCAGAAGACGGTTCCTGCTAAAAAGCAAGTGGTTTGGTTGGGGTGGATTGGATACTGACTGATGAAGATTTTGCCCTTTATGGCAAATTATAAACTTCATACATGTTTCTCTTACTGATAAAGTGAGTGTGCTAAACAAGATTTTTTTTTTCCCCTTATTGCTTTTTAGAAGTGCCTCATTTGATGTGGAGCCCATATACACTTTCAGAGCGCACATGTAAGGCCATTTTTTTTTCTTTATAATCCAACTGTATTCAGTGTTTTGCTAATGTTTAATTGGCAAATTAAAAAAAAGTTGACTCATTGGCAGCTAAGAATGTGAAAATTGTTCATTTGTTTGCTGATGCATTTCTTTCTATAGTGGGCCAGTGCTTTCCCTGGCTATTACTGCAAGTGGGGAGCAGTGCTTTAGCGGTGGCATTGACTCAACAATACAGTGGTGGAATATACCCAGCTCTAATGTAGACCCTTATGACACATATGGTGAGGACATGCACTGGTGCTTCTTGCCTTATTTTCTATGAAATGTTCAGCACATCATGAACCTGGCTTGTATTATCCACAAGGGGGTGCTCTTAGCACTCAAATAGCTTTTTGTGCTTTGCATTAATGACAGTCTTTGTTTAAAATGTCTTAAGTAGCTTGCTTATATGACAGCTATATTAAAACACATTAATTGCACACAAGTAACATCACAAGTGTTTGGGCACATCAGAATTCAGACTATTCAAAATGGCTGAAATTGGTGCCACATGGCAGTTCTGGACTCTAAATTTTTCCTTTTTGCTCAGATCCCAGTGTTTTGGCTGGCTCATTACTGGGGCACACTGATGCTGTTTGGGGACTGGCCTACAGCGGAATCAAAAACCGACTGTTGTCCTGTTCTGCCGACGGAACCATCAAGCTGTGGAACCCTCAAGAGAAGTCACCTTGCCTCTGCACATTTAACTCAGAAAGAGGTGATGGAGTACCTCTTGTTCTTAACAAATTGCTGTTTTCTTGTCCTTAATTTTTGCTGTGGCTAGGTTCACAGACATTCTGTCAATTTTCATACAAAGTCCAGCAGCTCTTCAGTTCTGTAGTGCGACGGGTTGCAGGTGCAGACTAGATAAATGAAAAGTGCCTAACAGTAGGAATAGGAAAGAGATGAAGTTAGTACTGATGAATCAGGTGTGCTTATTTGTGCGATTATTTCTATTTTGCAGAACATGGTGTACCCACATCAGTAGATTTTAACGGTTGTGATCCAGCGTACATGGTGGCGTCTTATAACACAGGCAGCACTGTCATCTACGATCTGGAGACATCTCAATCCGTTGTGGAGTTCTCAGCACAGAGAGAGAGCAGTAAGACCCCCCATCTCCGTTCACAAAGTGTCTAACACTGCAGTGCTGTAACATGACTCATATGCCAAAGCTAGCTGAGCTATAGTGCCACTTAAGTTGGGTAGTTGTAGCTTAAAAACACTGAGCTCTGAAAACTGACTAATAACATTTCTTTAAGATAGGAGAACTGCAGAGAGTTGATCTGATCATTAAGTATCTGAGAGTGGAGCTTGATGCCCTTTGTTTACTTGCAGCTCTTCCAGCTGGGAATCACATTAATAAAGTAGTGAGTCACCCCACCCTGCCGGTCACAATCACAGCTCATGAGGATAGACACATTAAATTCTTTGACAATAAATCAGGTAGGTCCAGCCTTTTCTCAGATGTGCAACTGATTTTTATTCACATTTTGGTACCCATGGAACATAAACAAGTTTTTTGTACTTTTTTTTTATTCCTAAATTTCGGAAATTATTTTTTATCATTGTATTTATTTGTTTATTTATTTATTTATTTATTTATGGGACCTGATTTTATTTGTTCCCTTTAGGTAAAATTATCCATGCAATGGTGGCTCACTTGGATGCTGTCACCAGTCTAGCAGTGGATCCTAATGGCATCTACCTGATGTCAGGAAGTAAGTGCTGGTGGTGCTGTTTACTTGGCAAACTTGCTAAAACTTCTCAGCTTATTGAACACGTTTACGGTAGAATGAAAGTTTAAGTGTAATTTTATTTTGGCTGCAGTTCCACAACCCCGTTTCCAACAAACACTGTGCAAAATGTAAATAAAAACATTCAAATCAATATAAAATCATTTATAGTACAGAGATGGCATATCAAATGTTAAAACTAACAGATTTTGTTTTTTGATAAATATGTGCCCATTTTGAATTTGATGGCAGCAACACATTTCAAAAAGTTGTGATGGGCAACAAAAGGCTGGTAAAGTTGTGTAATGCTAAAAAAAAACACCTGGTGGTTGATTGGCTACAGGTCAGTAACATGGTTGTGTGTTAGACAAAAAAAAAGACCATCCCAGAGAGGCAGAGTCTTTCACATGTAAAGATGGGGAGGGGTTCACCACTCTGTGAAAGACTGCATGATCAAATAGTACAACAATGCAGGAATAATGCCTCTCAGCATAAAATAGCAAAGAACTTGGAGATTTAATCATTTGCAGTGCATAATGTCATTAAAAGATTCAGAGAATCTGGAGAAATCTCTGTATGCAAGAGAAAAGGTCAAAAACCAATATTGGATGGCCGAGATCTTTGGGCCCTCAGGCGGCACTGCATTGAAAACAGACATGATTCTGTAGTGGAAATCACTGCATGGGCTCAGAAACACTTTCAAAAACCACTGTCTGTCACAGTTCATCACTGCATCTACAAATGCATTAAAACCCTACCATGCAAAGGAGAAACCATATATTAACAGGTTCCACAAACACCATCACTTTTTCCGGGCCTAAGCTCATTTAAGATGAACTAAGGTGAAGTGGAAAAGGTGTCCTGTGGTCTGACGAATCAGAATTTGAAATTCTTTTTGGAAATCATTGACTAAACAGGAGAGGGACCATCCGGCATGTTATCAGCGCACAGTTCAAAAGCCAGCATCTGTGATGGTATGGGGGAACATTATTGTACATAGCATGGTTGGCTTGCACACCTGTGGAGGCACCATTAATGCTGAACGATGTATATATGGATTTTGAAACAACATATGCTGCCATCCAGACAACATGTTTTTCAGGAAAAGCCTTGCTTATTTCAGCAAGACAATGCCAAACCGCATTCTGCACGTATTACAACAGCATTGCTCCATAGAGTCTGGATGCTAAACTGGCCTGCTTGCAGTCCAGACTTGGACTTCCATTGAAAACATTTGAAACATTTTGCCATCAAGGTCACTTCAAAGGGGGAAAAAGCAAGGACAAAATGCACCGCTGATGTTTTTGGGCCTTTTTTTAAACAGAGGACTCCCAAGAATTACCACAGCAGCATGACTCTCCCAGTCTGTCAACATTCACTCATTCAACCGCCGAAACTCATTCACAACAGAAACAGTGCATCCACATCTATCCACTAACCCAGACTCTTCACCCTTGCTACAGAAAAGGCAGTCTTGCTAACCAGCTATACAGAACTAGCCACAGTAGTATTTGAAGTTAAATATGGCTGGATGACTCTGAACATTTTTAGAGCTGATTCTGAACCAACCGGAAAAATGTTTTTTTGATCGAAGTTGGGTTGTAGGAAGCGATAGAAGACACATGACTGCAGCTGTAGTATGAGAGAGAAAAACACGTACTAGAGTCAGTGACTTCAGCTCATGAATGAAAAACAAATTTACTTCAGAGTATTTAAGCTAATCCTTCTGATCTGAGGCAAACATACAGTAATGCTGTCGAGAGCTTTCCTTTCAACAGTGTAAGCTCAGTTAGACAGTCGATCTCAGTTGTCTATTTTTATCAAGTGTCCACAAAAGGTTTGTCTGAATTTGACGCTGTAGGTGATGTTAGATCTGCTGAAGTACCAGTGAGAGTTAGCAGTATGTATACGCCAACTACTCGCATTCCTTTTTGTTCCCCTGACATAAAGTGACTGCTCTCCTTCTGAGTCCCAGCTGAAACTCCTATTAAGTAGGTTATTTAAGGTTTTCCACAATTTTTAATGGTACTTCACACCATTGTTTGTGCTTGGCTAGATGCTTCTACCTACTTGAGTTAGCCATTATAGCGGTGCGCCTAACTGTAGGAATAAAATAATACATATTTCAGTATTATGTTAGCTACCTCCCTTCATCATCATGGCTCACAGTGTTACCCTGCATTTGTACTTTACAGGTGTGACACACAATAAGGCACACAAAACATTTCTCCACTGTGCGTGCAAATATGATCGTGCTGACTCATAACTTGGGAGCTTGTGTGACGTCCGTTTCAGAAGCATGGTCCAGTAGTTAGCTAGCTATAGGTTATAGACATAATGTTATCAGACAATATATGTCCGCGATGTACTTGTTATAAGTTCTCAGATGCGTTCCGCAAAATGTAATTAGATCTCTAAAATGACCATTAGTCAGCTTGTTCTCCGTTTTGCACTTTTTAATCACAAGTGTTTAGGGCTGAACCTCACCGAATAGCGGTGTCGCTCCTCACTGCCGCTGGAGCTGGGTTGTTGACATTGCCTGGGAGACACTGCTTTCAATCATTTTGGGCTCTAAACATTTGAAACCATATTGACAGGGGCTTTACAGCCTGCATATAATCTTCTGGCTTGAAGTGTTTCAAACACACGCAAATGTTTCTTAGTACAAATTCAGTTAAGGTTTATAGCAGCATTTATAGCAGCAGCAGCTTTTTAACTGTAACCTCTTTCCCAGGCTTTCTGCGGTGTGCAATAAAAGGCTGGCTTTTTCATGCAACAGCAAAAGTCAGCATATTGACTGACTCTGTAAAAACATATATTAATACCACAGAAATCCTAGTTATTTACAAAGTTGCAAACATAAAAGAGCAGAGGTAGAGGAGAACCCTTGGGTATTGCCATAACCATGGCCAATATAGCCACGCCCCCACCAGCTGTAAGAGTCCAAATGATGTAGGAATCAAGCTTTATTGGTTCTTGATCTGTAGCAGTATACTGCAAAATTTCATGAGTTTTGTTCTGAATGTTTATTTAGAGGGCTGGAAAATTGATCAAGGCTATTTAACAGCATGACTAGTCACCTTTTAAGTTGAAGTTTTTACGAAATAAAGTTCATAAGTTGCGCCCTCTGAACGACAGTTATGCACTACAGGCATCTCTGAAATTACACGGTGCACTTAAACGTTTACAGACACTGAGAGTGGAGGTTTATGCTTTTGACTGTCTTTCACAGGTCATGACTGTTCCATTCGGCTGTGGAACCTTGACAGCAAAACGTGTGTACAGGAAGTCACTGCTCACAGGAAGAAGTCGGACGAGTCCATATACGATGTTGCCTTTCACCCATCTAAGGCTTACATAGGGAGTGCTGGGGCCGATGCCCTGGCCAAAGTTTTTGTATAGAAGATCGCTCATGAAAGCCTGAGTGAACTCGTCCTCACAATCAGACAGCAAGAGAAAGATTCGACTGGTTCACTGCCTTGTGTAACGAGAGTAGCATTTCTTACACTACATTGAAGCGGCCTCTGCCACGCCCCCTCACCACTGAACGCACATACGCAACGATCCCAGGTGCCAAGCGGTGGACTGTTGGTTTAGCAAGGTCTGGGTGGAGTTCCCACTTAGTTTTATTTTTTTTTTTTCCTGAAAACAAAAAATGGAACAAAAAAAAACATTTAACTGTACTTTACTGTAAGTCAGAGCTGGAGTTACACCAGTGTTTGTCTTCTTTTAATTGGGTTTGAAATGAACTGATAACGTGTACTGTAGGTATGTTTCAGTGACCATGGAGAGGTTAATATGCTTGTCAGTAGATCGTCAGTGGCCACAAAGTGGGCAAAGTGCACCAGAGGAACTAAACCCTCCCACCACACAGAGCCACGAACCGATTTCCGGTCTCACAAGCTGCCCTCTTGACATTAATGTAGCATTATTGAAAAAATAAAGACATTTAAAAAGAACAGTTCAGCTCAATCATCTTCATACATTAGCATTAGCCTCATGACATTTTGTGTAAAAAAAAAAACAAAAAAACAAAAAAAAAAGTATAGTTTTTATAATCCTTTTTATATAAATGAAGACTGTCGTAACAGTGCTAAAGACGTTTTTAAATTAAAGGAAAAAAAAGGAAAAAAAGGGAGTGTGAATATCAAGCCCTCCATCTAAACCCTTTCTGACCCTTCACAACTGACCCCGCATCACTGGAAGCTCTTGAGTCCTATCCTTATAAATGCTACTGTCTGATGTCGCTGTAACATTGTTTTATCACATCATGGAAATACTAAATGATAGTAGAAGCACAGTCCGTTTTGCCTCGAGAGCTCTTTAGGTTATCGACAAATAAACTGCAGCATCCTATCACTATGTGATGTTTTTGTACATCTTACTGTAATTGAGTTTATTTATCACAAGTTAGGCAACTGAACGCTATTGGCTTATTATTTATTTCACCGTTTCGGGGTAGTCTTAGCCTCTTTTGTAAAACATGCAGCCTGAGGATACTTGTAAGATTGGTCTCTTAAGAAAATGGAACAGACATCCAAAAATGAATTCTGTTTTTAATCTCTTTCATCCTAGGCTGAAAATGAGGTTGACATGTACCTCATTTTGGCATAACAGTGCTTTGAAGCATGGGGAGATTTATTTTTTCCCCATTTTTGTTTTTCTTTATTCCATTTTTATAAGTTAAGGGATCTGGATAGCAAGTTTGGTGAATCACAATTCTAAGTTGTTAGTCTGTCCCTACATTTTATCCTGTAAAACCCTTTTATTTTCAAACATACAATTTATGATGTAACTAAAGACCTTTTGTTTGTGTAATGCATGATTAATACATAAAGTATTTTTTCTAGTCTTCCCAAAAAAGTAAAACCTGATCAGTTTGAAGAGTTTTGATGAGTTTTGTAAGTTTTTTTGATTTACAAACTATGGATTAGCAGATTTTAAAGATTGTACCACATAGCAAAATACAACTGTTGAAAAAGTAATGTATATAAAATGTCTATAATAAATATTAAATGGTGTACCTGTATATGCAACCCGTGCCATGTCTTGCTAATTTGTGCCCTTTAATTTGTGCAATTAGTGCTTAGTTACCAGTCACTGGCAAAAGATGTGAGAGAAAACATATTTAACAGAAAATTACACAGAAGTCTCAGCAATAAGGTGTAATACCAAACTTTTCGGTATTTGTATCACCACTGTGTCTTTATTACAGCTTCCATTCTTTTCAGGATATGTGACATGTTCAGTTTTGCAAATAAATCTGTAGGGATTTTTCAGAAGTTCAGTCTTATAAGTTGGTTGCATTTTTTTTGCTTTTCATGATCCACATAATCTGAAACACATTCAGTGATGTTGAGGTCTGGACTCTGGGGTGGATAATTCACTATTCTGAGAACACCAGCAGCTTCTTTATTTGATTAGCAAATAATTTTTGTCTGTTTTTCCCTGTAACAGCTACTTGACAGCTACACATTATTTCAGAGCATTGTGTTGGATGGATGGTGGTCTACCAGGTCTTGCACAGTTGTTGGAAATCCAATTTTTTCTATATTGTAAAACAATTTTTGAAGTTTTGAGAAGCCTTGTTTTTTTTCCACTTGTTTGACATTCCCTTTTCTCAAGCAACTAGATTATCTTATTATCTAATCTCAGAAATATCTACTGAATAATAATGGATAACTTGTACTTCACGACCATTTTGACTGGAAATTAAGTAAATGAAGGGTGGTCTCTGACTTTTTCATATATAAAGACATTTGATGTATCTAGGTGGAGTCACTGTATCACAAACAAGTAAATGTAGCAAACATTCAGCTGTGACTCTATAATCTGGAAGATTAAAAAAAAATGTCCTGCTTGTTCAAAACACGATCAGCCTCAGATTTTTAAATGCGTCAACAGTTTAATGAGCAACAACTGGTCATCTTGTAAAAATACCTTGTCCTTTATTAAGAGGAAAGTAATAAATTAAATAGAAATGTACAATCACTCTAAAGCCCCCCTCCCCTCCCTTCTCAGTTTGCAAGGCAGCTCAGCATGCATATAGATGGGTATACAAGAAACAATAAGTACATGAAAGCATAATTTAAGCCAAAGAAAGTATACATATGTGATGAAAACAAGTTTACTGCTTATAGTTCAAATGCATTCCTCAACATCTGAAATCCATACGTGTAATGTGCCGAACATTCTCAAACGTACAATATGTGACTAACATATTATGTAATAGAAAAAAACTGTGCATGTACTGCAGTGCTTGTGTAGTTTGTGTCCCCTAGTACAGATTGCATTACTTGATATAACACAGGCATGTTATCTGTGGTTTGGTGAACCTTTGAGTTGTAGAATGTTAACTCGTATTCTCTCCACTTTACTGTACTACAGCTGGTTGGCACAAGAGGGCACTCTACGGACAGCTTTCTTAGCTTTGCTCTTTGTTTTTTGTACACGAGTGCAGACCTTTTCTCTTGTGCTCCCACTAACGCAGAGGCATCAAACCTTTCTGGAAACTGACAGTCTCGCCATTCTGATACATCAGCCTTTCTTTGTTGTTATTTTTTTAATACTGTGATAATGATACTGCTGTTCATTTTGGACCTCAAACTTAGAAAAGAAACAAAAATTACAGTAAGATGTGTATTTCCTAAAATAGGACAAGGTTGCGTCTCTCAAGTAATTACACTTTGTGTCGTTACAGAGGGATGAGTTTGGTACATTTTATACAGATTAAGCTGTAACATCTTTGGATCAAGCACACATCTTAAGCATACAAACATGCAAACACTTTTCCCAACCAAACAATGACGAAAGGCCTATCCTTGCACAGAGAATATATCTAGTTTTGAAAGACAATAACAAAGAAACAAAAAAAAACTACTGTTTTATTCTAGTATGTGTAGAGATGGTCAAACAAGACCATAACATTCTCTCTATTTCCTTTTTTCTTCTTCTATTGCTTTTTCTCTCTCTCTCTCTCTCTCTCTCTCTCTCTCTCTCTCTCGCTTTCTTTTTTTTCTTTACTGCATTTTTTTCTTCTCAAAATATTTCTTTCTCCCACCTGCTCAAAAACTTCCTATTTTCTACCACCTACTCAGACAAGTTTCTAATTGGACTCGGTGAAGTCCCTGCAGATCCCCCGTACAATTGGCTGCTCGAACTGCTCGAGGCCGGTGAACTCACGGGTGAAGAAGGTGTGGGTATCTTTGGGTTCCGATGCCATGGCCCTCAGGTCCTCCATTGGAGCCCAGGCCACACCCACAGAGAACACTGTAATCCCTGTAATGGGCCAAGATTGACAGGTTACAGCACTGTGCTAGCTTTACACGTTTAAAGGATCACGTTTAAATAACACTGAACATTACAATGTTACAAAATATGCAGCAGTAGTTGCGTAATAGATAGAAGCATTCTTAAAGGATCTAGGGCCTGACCTTGACTCATTTTCAGTGAGGATTAGGGAGAGTTATGCAAAACCACAGATCACTACCTGGCAAAATAAGAGTCAATCAAAAAATGTTATAATCCTCTGTCTATTACAAATGCCTCTCTTCTGCTCCCAGACTAAAGTCTCCTTGCAATTTATCTCTCAAAGCTACTTTTCATTTCAGTGCTGAGAAAGACTTCATAGGCCAGTTTTATAGACATGAATTTAGCAAAGTCTTGGGCTATGAAGAATCACCATTGAAAATTTATTTTAGTCTATCCTGCTTAATCTGGGTCTGGAAAACTGGCCCTGTAAGTTTCACACATGAAGAGTCCCTTATAGTGGCTTTTTGCCTTTTAGTATTTCATGCAAGCTGCATTTAATTGACTGCATCACTGATCTCCTAATAGCAGTAGATATCTTTGGTACGAGGAGCTTTGCTGTTGATTTTGAGACCAATCTCAAGAGTATCTTGTATAAGAAGGGACATACAAAGATAGATCAGCAATGAGTTATATAGCAGAGGGACCTAGTTTTGGTTCTTGATTAATTACTCACCCGTTCTTTGAGCAGCAATTGCTGGCCCTCTGACATCATCATAGGACTGGCCGTCAGTCACAATGATGAGATACTTCTTGCCCATGCCCATGGTACGAGGCTGGAAGAGATTCTCGACAGCGTAGGTGATGGCATCTCCAGTGGCTGTACCACCACTCATGTATGGGATGTTCTGGATGGCCCTCAAGGCATCATCTTTTCTTGTATGCTCATTGAACCCAAACTCCAACCTCTGGTCATAGGTGAACTGGATGGCCCCTACACGTGATCCAATATCCGAGATATCAAAGTTGCGAGCAATGGAGCTTAGGAGGCTTAGGACCAGTCTGAAGTTTGCATCACCCACGCTGCTGGAACCATCAATCAGGAAGCCCAGATTGACTGAGTTATAGCATGTCTTGCTGCAGAGTAACTGATCAAGGGAGCACAGTTTTTGAGCCAGCGGCTTTACAAACTTGTTTGTGCTGAACCAACTGGGCATGGACATTGTAAAGAAACCATTGTCTTTGCAGACAGCCTGTAAGACACACATTAAAAGCATAAAATTAGCAGTGACTAATTTCCAGGACTGACTTCAAGTACTACACAAATGCTCTTGCTCCTATAACCCCTTCTCTTCGGAGAAACTTACTTTCTTCATGTAGTCCTGATCCCTCACCAATCCCATCTCCTCAGGGATAGGTTTGGCAACGGACACTACAAACACATTAATGCCAGATTCTCTGGCCATTACTGCTGCATCCTCCAGGTTATCAGAGGGCCAACCGTCAACAAAGGCCACAATAATTCGTGGATGACCTCTTCGCACTCCATATTCAGGATTGAAGAAATTCCGCACAGCGTATAATATGGCCTTGCCTGTGCACAAGGTAATAACTCAAGTTTTGTCAAATAGTAAATTATGGAAAGCAGAAGATTTGGGCAAGTTATAGGTGACATCATAATTAATGGTCATGTGTAATGTCATGCATCGGAAGTGCACCTGTATTGGTGTTGCCTCCTATATAAGCTACTTCCTTCAGGGCAAAAATCACATCTTTAGGCATACTATAGTTGCCTAGGTAGAACTCAGTCCGAGGAGACTCACTGGAAAAATAAACATGAAAATATTACAAATTCTGGTTGTGGTACAGGATGAAGACATTGCAGATCATTAATAAACAGAAAGACTTGCTAAACACCTTGCTTGCACCACCCCTACACGTGGTCCATCTGGACCAACTTTTAGCATCGCTGCCAGTCTACCAATGAAGTTCTTCTGCAGGTTGAAGCGCCGTTGCCCTATGTGGTAGCTTCCATCCAGCAGCAGAGCAATATCCACTTGGCAGTCTGAAAGAAGATTTAAGTTACCTACCTCCTTAAAAAGACAGGAGACAGAGTTCTTTCAGAATTAGTATGTGTATTTACAGGACATAGTCAGACCTCTGTTTTCTGCTGCTGGAGGTTTCTTCAGGTTTTTCTTGACCGTTTTCTTCACTGCAAGGGTGAAACAGATGGGTCTCCAGTACAGGTTACAAGTATGTCTAATGTTCTTAACTGAAATCTACTTTGGTTACCTGGTCCAGACGCTGGGGTGGAAGAGCTGCTGGTTTGGCTGGATACTTCCATTGGTGAGCTGATAGCTCCTGGGACAGAAGAAAACAACCGTAATTCCGGTCAGTTCACAACAGTGTCACTTTACTTTGTGAAAGGTTTAAGACTAGCATATGTAGTCTACAAGAATGTGGATGCCGTTGCATGGCATAATGCAGACATTGCATTATCTTCCCTATTCTTGGTGTACTACAAGATTTTTAGCCCAATTTGACAAAATGGCAATCAAATTTCCAAATCGTGTGCTTGTCAGCGCAGATAATCTGGCAATGTCACAAAGGTAGTAAATAGTGAGTTCTCTAATGTAACTCCAGTGATGTGAGGCCTCTGGATGAACCATTGTTCCCTGCGTTCCTGCTGTAGATAATAAATGTCGCCACCTACTGGCCACCGTGAAAGATGCAGACCAGCGGGAAAGAGTTTGAGACTGGATGCCGTGTGCGAAGGAGCTGAGGTAGTTGGTCCTGCCCTGCCGTTTCTGAATCTCCAGCGGCCCTCCTGATACTCCTATGATCCCGCTGTAAGGTTGATAGATGGCTGGTTAGTAACAAAGTTTTTTTTAAAAAAGCTCTTCGCCTATTTTACTTAACCCAGCAACGTGGTGAAAGTGTGAAGCCGTATCTTAGGCTTTCCACGGGTTTCGCTGGTCGCCTGTGACCGCGGTGTTATGTCTGGTAACTTTTGCTGCCTGTGCTAATTTACCCAACTGAAGTGACGGAAAGCTCTCATTCTTTTATATTCCTTTATAACATCTGTACACTCTACTAGGGCAAAACGTAACAAGCTGTGAAATAAATTTCCCTGTGACATTTTTGCTTATCCAAATTACCCAAGGCTGTTTTGGGTGAAGAGTGTCGTGTGCAGTGTTTGCCACAGCAGCTAAACCAGCCGTTTGTAAGCTCAGTGTGCTGTGTTTGTCTCTCAGATGAGTGATGGAGAAATTCCGTTCTTGCTGCAGTATCGTTTCATAAAACATTTCGTGTAGATTAATTGGTCTGCAGTTCTAATATTATTTAGTAATGGAATTTATTAAATAAATTTGTAATTGAGAATAAAATCTGTTTGCCTTCTTTACAGCTGTAGTAAGTTCAATAAACCAGAGACAAACAAAGAACAGTATCAGGCTCGGTATCTTGACTCATTTTTATGCTTTGTTTATGTACTCCTTCCTTCACCTGTGCACTCCTGCGCCGCACACGCTGGAAACGGAGGCGTAGACACCGGAACCGAACACGGACATTTTCCACAGACTGCAGTTGGCCGGACACAGAACCCGCTGAGCGGAGTCCGGCAGATCAGCCGCGCGAGTCCCGCATGAGATGGGCACTGGAACTGAGTGACCAACACACAGGACACAGCATGAGGTGAAATTGTATTTACATTATGGCATTGTGTAGTTTATACATACACACATACACAAATTTTAAATGATGTAGAAAAGTAAAAAATCGTTAATAAAAAAAAAAGAAAAAACGAAGATGATACAGACGTTTTTTTATATCAGTGACCTCCTCCTAAACTTTATCAAAATACAAATAGAAGATTACAAAAAAAAATACAAAAACATTAATTTTTATACATTTTAATACATTAGAATTTACATTTCTGTGTAAGGTAAATTAATTAATCAAACAAATAAATAAATAAATCAGAATAAAAACTATCCTGCAAATGTGTGTATGTGGGAACTGTTATTTCACTGTTTTCACAGTTACTAATAAAAAAAGGAACAGAGACAGACCACTTAATTCAGATCCAGAACTGCTGCAGGTCAGAGATAGAATGCCTGTGTTAAAAGATATAGGTTGATAAATTAATAAATAGGTTGATAAATCAGTAAACAAATACATACACAGATAACATGTTGGTTCTTCAATATTTAGGAGCTGAACGCTGCATTTTCATCAAGCTTATGATTCTGCAACATTTCAGTAAATTTTGGAACAAGGTGTAAAAAGCAGTGTCATAATGACCCCCAACCTACCTAACACATGAAGAACTGCGAGCCGCACTGACATGGTTAATGAAGACATCTGCAGAAACACACAGCAGGACATTCATCACGCTAGAGTAGTCAGAGCTTCGAAAGCAGCCGAGCAGAAATGGCTTTGCTTTGCAGCGACATATCACTTAAATCCATTTAATGATACAATTATTCCTTACTGAGCAGAAGTTATGTCTTTGGTCTTAAAGGCACGCTCATTCCACAAATGTTGGTTTAAATTTGCTTTTAATATTTGCTTTTTAGACAGCAATGAAATTAGATAGTACAGGAAATGTTTAAAAAAAAAAAGTAATCCCCAGACATATCCATCACAAGCAGCTCCTTTAGAAGTGCATACTTCAGTTAATCCCCCGAGACAGAGAGACAGAGGGAGAGGGAGAGACACAAAGAGATGGAGAGAAAGGAAAAAAGGATACCGATCTTGAAATATTATTTAGTATTAAAATGCACAGAACAGGCAAACATTGGAATTAAAGCCAGCTTACAGGGAAGATATAGGATGGTGTTTCCTTTGGCTTCCAGGTTCAGAAGCTTTAGTGTGAGGGCAAAAATAAATAATTCCTTTGTGAGGGATAGTCCAGAGTTGTCTGAAAACGGAGGAGAGCGCAAGGCCTTTAAATAAGTTCCCTTGAAAACCTTGGTCATTCTTCTGGTGACGTCACAAGAGGCGGCCCCTCCTGCTTGGCTACCTGGGAAGGCGTGCGGGATACGGGGAAAACAGTGTAAGACTCTTCTGTGCTGCCCAGATGCTTTGCAATGGCAAAGGCTGTATAATTAAATGTATGTGGAGTTTTCTCAGTGTCCTAAACTTTTGCATATGACTACTTAAATAACTAGTATTAAGTAGTAAGTTAGTATTATCACTATTTAGTGTCTGAGTGCTTAGCAGTGCACCTCTAATTAGACATAATTTTAATTAATATTGGAGCTAATATCTAAAGCACAATGTCATACCAATGACTAGTAAATAAATAATTATACATATTGCATTTTGTTTTTTAAATAGACTGTAGAGTTGTATTTTCTCTAGAGAAGACCAGTTGGGTAATAATGGGATCTTCTGGGCTTCCATATGAAAATTACTTTCAGTTAACAAATAAAGACAGTATAATTTGCTTGTTTATTTGCTGTTGTTGTGTCTCAAACAAGTTGATGCTCTCAAGGCATACCACTCCACCCATTAGCATCTAAGGTTAAGCTGAAAGTTTACGTTAGACAACCTGTTAAAGATTTTAGGATTATAAATAATGAATATGCTGCAAATTGTGAAGGATGTGTTTGAAAATACTTATTCATTACGCAGCTCATCTATGATAAGTCGGAGATTAACAGACGTCAGGACTGTCTGTGTAGTGTTGATGGAAGCTGACTGGTGAGGTATGTTCTTAAGAAATGAGATCTTTCTGTGTCAGTATCTACATGTTGAATACTGGGGGCCCAATAAATGAGCCCCCCCAGTATTTATGTCACTGTATATAACTTTTGCCTTATTACATTCACTGAATATTTAATTTGGTCTCAAACAACCCACCAGCTCTTGAAAGCTGTAAAGAGACTGAGAAGGCTAAACATTGCCTCAGTTTTTTGTTATTACAGCTTGAAATATTCTCAGCAGGTCACGAACGAAGGCAGACACTGATACTAGAGTTGGCATTGTTCCAGTACCAGGTATCAGGCGATATCAGCAGAAAATGCTGGATCAGATATCAGAGGGGAAAAAAGAAAAAATCTGTGAATCCTGTAACAAATCTGTCCTGAAATAGCACATTGTGTGATGCAATGTGACGTTAGCTGTGTATTTCTTCCTGTGGGGTAGTAGAGGACTACTTTTAGATGTTCATCATAAGTGAAGTGTTTTCCTTTTAAAGCCTGGTAGTTTTTAAAGAAGATGTATTTACTCTGTATTGGTATTGGCCGATACTTGGGCTTAGTATTGGAAAAGAAAAAGTGGTATCGTGGCATCTCTAAGTGATACACAAGCCTGCAGGAAGAGTGAGTGGACACAGGGTCAGCAGTGTTAATGATGATGCCCTAAAATAAGAAGCAGGGAGGTAATGTGCACAGGACATGGAAGCTATCCAGATTGTTCAAGGCTGGGGGATCAAAGCTTTACCTTGGTGGTATTCTTGCAGTGTAAATAACCTTGCAGCTGGAACAAAAATAAATCTGATCCCTCAATAAAGCCAAACAGCCCAGTAGAATCTCCCTTTCTCTCACATGCACACACACATTTAGAGTGCTGCAATGATGTCTAAATGAAAATGAATGTGTAAAATACAGTGCTGTGCAAAAATCAGAGACCTTTCATTTATTTAATTTCCAGTCAACACAGCCATTAAGTACAAGTTATTCATTTTCAGGAGATATTTCTGAGGAGATTAGATATAGGACAAGCCACTTGCATAAATAAGGAGAAAGAAGCTGCTGGTTTTCAGAATCCAAACCTCAACATTACTGAATGAGTTTGGGATTAAGAGGACTGTGAGAAGCAGAAGATGCAACCGATTTCAGTGCAGACTAAATTTTGGAGGTGTGGAAAAATATCCCTACAGATTTCTTTGAAAAACTGAAAGCAAGTCTGCTGAAAAAAAAATGGAAGCTGTAATAAATGGTGTGAAGAGTGGACGTTAAATACCGAAAAATGTAATGTTTATTCTTTAAAGCTTCTGTGTAATGTTTGTTGAATATATGTTTTTGCTTTTTTCCTGACAGTGAAATATGAATGAATAACTTAATTACTGTTTTGTTGAGAAATTAAATAAAAGAAGAGTGGTCTCTGACTTTTGCACAGTTCTGTATAAACACATGGCCTTGCTGATGGAAGCTTTGTGTTACAGCTACAGCAAATAACAAAGACGTTTTCTTTGGAGAAATGCATTTATTATGGCTAACCATAATCAGAGACAGCTGTCAGTGGACTAAAGTGGAGACTTTATTCCCCTATTTTAAACCTCTTTCAAATATCTTTACAAAGGAACGTTAGAATTTTTCATGCAAACATCAAATTAACAAATTTCAGCTACCAACAGAGCAAAGGCTCCTGCTAACAGAGATGAATGCGGGTGAAGGTGTTTATGTAACTATTTGGATTACATTTAATATGGATTATCAGGTGTTTAAACGTCTTATCAAGTGGAAATTTACAAAAGTTTAAAGCAACAGTCAAAGAGTAAAATGAGAGGTTGCTGTTTACCATGGCATCTCCCAGCTTGCTGGCATGCACTGATGAAGTGCAGAGGAAGTTTGTATGGGAATGTGGCGTGCGACAAGGTTCTTTTTCAGGGAGATAGATGAAGAGCACTCAAAGAATGATACCTGATCCATCTGTTATGGGCCACGCGGAACAACTGCTCATTGTGACAACTGGGAAGCCTCCCAGTTTCTCAATTAATGAATATTTCATGGCACAGAAAGTCTGAGGCTAAAGTGGTCTCTGACAACAAAATTCTTGTGAAGGTTGTGACGGCAGCAGGTTGCTCAAGCCTTTAGACGGCGTGTGGTACCCTGTGATCATAAGAAATACTTAGTACGATCTTTATAATGCAGAAAGCTTGACCAAAAGCTACTTACTCACAGAGTTAATGGAGTATGTAACAAAACTCTTGGCTGGCACAGGTGGGTTGGCACATGAGGCTGTACTTTTGCCTTGGGGTGGTCTTTTATATTGGTGCCTTGCCCTGTACTGTATCAGTCTAACAGCCATGGAAGGGATATATTTGGCACCTTATGTGCAATTTCAGCAGTCATTAATAGTCATTAAGATTAGTGTTAAATAGTAAATGGTCTCTTTTGAATTGAATGTACATGAGTTAGTGGTCTAATATAATTTGCAAGAATTAGATAAGAAACTGAAGTTAAAAAAAAACAAGCTCCTTTATCTTTTACCAGCTGATGCCTTGCCTCAAAATGTCTTCAGTTGTTCAAGATGTAAACAGTCATTTAGAGTGGTTTGATGCCAAGTGGTTCATTGTAGAGAACTATGATACAGAAATGATAGGAACCAGGTTGCAATATCTACAACGCAAATATTTGTGTTTATTATTCAGAACCACTCAGTGAACCTCCATGAGTTTTAATGTGCAATGTTGTTAATGGTAAAATGAGATTAAACCTGAAAAAAAAAAAAAGCTTTCTTCAGGTACTGTTTTCCCGCATGTAACTTTCTACCATGAATTAATTATTAAAAATATGTTTTACTTATCATAAAACAATGAATTACGTATCATAAAACAGATAGTAACATATTCTTTTAGAAACACGGAAATGCCTTCTGTCATCACCATGGTAAACAATTGTAACTTGGTAAATTTTTTTCTATACAGAGCGTTTCACAATTCACCTCTATTCTGAACGACTTTGTTTACATCTGAATCATTTACTTATGCAGAAATTGGTGGAATTCCCCTTTAATGGAGTGAATTTCATCACAATGTCCAGGGAAGAGTGTATAATCCCAGGTTATTTGGTTTTATGTAATTGGGTTTTATGCAGTGTTTGTTCCCATTGAGGCAGATGATGGTCATATGGAGAAATTGGCTTGAAGCTGAAGCCTGTGAGCTGTGTGTTTGGCCAGATCAGAGGCTGAGTTTAAGGAGACGTGACAAACTTGTTTCTGCCCAGGCCAAGGCTGCACTGTCACATGCTGCACAATGTGAGACTTCATGGGAGATCCACTACTTTCTGCAAAGGAATGCAGGAACTACCGCTCCACGGCATATAAATAGCGTCAGCCGTCCAACACTTGGATGGACTTCTCATTTAGGCAACCATTTTCACCTACACAAATATTAGCCCTGGCTAATGCGATATAGACTGGAGCCCAGATTTGTCTGTGAGGATGAGGAATCTATTTTCCCAAAATAAAAGTTACATTTCACTGTCTATGTCTAAAGCATTAGCCTGGATATACTGTATTTCACCATTAACATAAAAGAGAGATATTGTGTGTCCTTTTTGGATGAGAGTCCTCCATATGCCATGTTCCACATACAAGAAGCCACAGCAGAAGAAAAATAAATCCTAATGTGAGCAGACAGATCAGTTTGAAATGGATCTATTCCATCTTGGCGTGGTTCAGGATCTGGAGAGGCCATGTTGAGGATAATTTGTGGGTACTTCATGTGTTTGTGTACCATGCATTTGATGGCCCCCTCTTCAATTCGTCACCAGTGGAGGCCTCCTAATTTGTTAGTGTTTGCCTGTCCTCCTTCATTACGGCTGCTAAAATTTTTAGCTGCTTACTTGCAGTGGACACTCTGGGTAAATGTGAATTGTAGTGTTAGGCTATTTTGCAGGACTGTGTTACATAATGGCTTTTGAACGATAATGTCAAAATGGAGTTAATGACTTACCACTGAAAGAAGCACAGTGAAAGATTGCAAGTAATGTCATCACCCCACTTAGTGTCTGAAAGGATTATTCACACATGAAACATTTGTTCCATTCTGTTTGAACCATAAGGTGTTCTCAACCCAGTTTGGGCCCCCCAACAAGTCTAAGCTTTTTCTGCCTGCAACTTAACCAGGTAGTTAAAGGCTGTTGTGCTCTGGAGCTGGAATATAATGTAGTGGCTCATTTTAACAGTTCTGCATAAACTCTGCATAAATAATTTGGTTCACTTCTTAACTGTACACATTATACAGTTTGTATTATGGCCCCACACTGTATTTTGTTCACATATCGGTAGCATTTCATGTATTTTGTTATTAGCTAAGGGAATGGACATAAGTATCCCAATTAAGTAGCCACAGTTTGTACATAAACCCTCTGAATCTTTTGAGATTGGATAATCTGTGTACTGAGCTCCAGTGCTTGAGCACTGTAGTTTCCCACAATGTTCAGCACAGGGCAAAGGAAGGACATTTCCCACATTAGCAGGAGCAGGTCACTGAGGGCTCCATCCTTACAACACTGCCCTCTCATTAATGCTGCTGTCAGAGTGACTGCACAAAGAACAACCTCAAACAACACTGAAAAAGCTTTAAAAAGGCCTTAATCCAAAAACTATGTCATTTAGAGCTCCTCAGTGTATTGTTTGTTAATCATTATTGTGATTGTGACTTTTTTTTTGACTGTTTTTTTGTATTCTGTGAGCATTTCGACCAATAACAGTTCCACAAGTGTTGTTTCTGTGGTTGTTTTGATGACTCAATATCCATATGTATGTAATCCAACAAAAGTCAGTCCCACCAGGATTTTGCTGCCTTTTTTTGATGTATTTGTTATTATGTTGTTAAAAAAAAAAGAGTTGCAGCAGTTTTGTTTGTCTTGGGCGTGGTAGGAAAAGTGTACCTCAGAGAAAAGAGAACATACACACAAACAGTTGATATTTAATAAAAATAATACAATATTATAATATTGTATATAAAATATTTTAAACTTCAGAATTCAAAAGAGTTTTTAAGTATATTAAGTATTGCTCATTGATATTATGTAATGAAACTGCTTGTTTACAACATAATCCCATATTTCAACAAATATTCAGGAAACATAAGGAGAATAATTGGAAAAAAAGTTCTGAGTTGTGTGAATTTGTGATTGAAAATTCCTGGAGAGACTGAAAAGTAAATTATTTTGGGTAATGCCATTAATGCCATTCCTGCTGCTTTTCCCTTGTGGTCGGTATGCACTAAAATATAGCTGAAGCTATGATATTACATCATTCCAAAATTGTTCCAACATTTGTGTATGTCAACACCTTTTCAGAGTAAAAAACAAAAAACAAATACTGTCAGTGAGAGTAAAAGAGATGTTTAATAAATAACTCACGTTATATAATGTACACAAAAACACAAAACCACTTGTTGAGTTTTTCTTTTTTTAAAATGTACAATTGTTCATTCAAATTTTCCAAAGCCCCACGCACCATGCACTGGAACTTAATAATGGGAGCCAAAGCAGAACAGGCAGAGATCCAGGTTATACACACCTGCCATCAGTTTAATAAGGCTCAGAGTACTGCAATGGATAGCACAGATTGTTTAACTAGCACAGCTTTGGACAGTAGAACAGCAGACACCTACTGTTAATGTCTGTCAAAGCCGGTGTGGGGTTCTGTATCCTTGGATCAGTGAATAGACTCAAAGCAGATGTTGTAAATCCTCTAATTTATGAAGACAATTCATATATACAAATGTAAATAAGAAATATTTCATAATAGATCTCTAATTTTGATTTCTCTCATTCAGATACAGTATAATCAAAATGACTTCTTGTGGTGTTGCTAAAGCTGGTCAGAAACCCCCACACAATGTTGTCAGTCTAGTAAGAGATTTGTGTCCTGTGGACAATCTAGCAAAAAAAGAATATCACAGTCTTCCAGAGTCGCTGGGCTTCCTCAAGAATGCCTGAGAGGTGACACTCTTATTACTTGGCCCCATTAAGGGGCTATTCTGTGTGTCCACCTGAGGTGGGCTCTCCTGTCTGTCCTCCTGAGCACTGTTGCTGGAAGCTTCATTACGGCCTATCTCCACTCCAGAGTCTGTGTTCTCTTCTACTTCTTCCTCTTTGAAGTGGTCCAGATGAAGCTGCACGTCATCAGGCTGGGCCACCAGCAGCACTCGTGGGGTGGAGCTCTGAGACGCTCTGGGTTTCAGGCAGGGAAACAGATCCTGCAGATCCTTCCGGAACTTGGAGCTCATGCCAACGTAAATGAAAGGATTGTAGAAACTCGCTGACTTGGCAAAGAGGCTAGCCAGGATACCGTTGAGCGGGGGTACTTGGTAGCCCCAAGCGGACCACATGGAGATAACTGCGTACGGGGACCAGGCCAACAGGAAGGCCGCACACAGAATGAGGGACACCTACACGGGGGGAATTAATCAAGGGAATATGCATCAACGGAAAGAAGCAAAATAAGGAAATAATGACCTAACAGAATTTTTTGCACAAAAATCTGGAAACCAAAGGTAAAGATTTGAGTTAAATGAATAGTCACAAGCAAAATGAAACTTACACAATTTTCATCTCACCTCAAATGCAATCAGTTGGACATGGTGTCCAAAGATTATTTCTTTAGATATGCACTGAAACTTTGATGCTAATGTAGCAAATAAGTAATCATCTACCTCAAATCTTTTTGAGTGACACAGACTTCACTTTTATTAGCTTCGCAGCTCCAGTGCAAAACTAAAGAAACACACTTCGGGACCACTGGTCTTTGCCGATTGAGTAAATCTGTGGTAAGTGGACAGTGCAACAAATGTTTTGGTGAACTATTTCTTGAAAGATTCAGAGGTCAAAGGTGGGATGACTGAATGGTTTTTGAACAGGTTTACCCGCGTTATGTTGCGCTCCATCTTCCTTTGCCTCTCACTGATGTCTCCACCTCGGCTGGTTTTGTGGCTGGAGTTGATCGTGCGGATGATGGACACATATGCGAACACTATAACTGAGATTGGTACGAAGAAGTTGAAGAAGAAAATGCTGATGACGTAAAGCTTGACCGGCACTGAGAACCTGGCCTGGGTCCAGTCGATTTCACACGTCCCATATCTGCGGGCTACACAGTGCAAGGTTAACCTAATTGCATGACTTCATTGATCTCTGACTCTTCTTTCTTCTACTTGAAAATGCTTTTTTTTATTAAGATAAACATTAGAAAAATTAGTAGAGATCAGACTTGTATAATGAGACCTTACCTCTGTAACTGCCCCAGCCCAGAAGTGGTATTCCAGCCCAGAACAAGGAGAACAACCAGACTGCAGTGATGACAAGACCAACTCTACGCTTGTTGATGTGATGAGCTGAAGGACAAGATCAAACACTTGCATCAGCATGGTTGCTCTCCAGTGTTTGCTGATTTATCTACCATTTGTACAGCCAAATAAGATCTGATGTTTCAAACAACGAGACTGAAAAACATATCCACCAATTTATCAGACGCTTTCAGAGAAGAGGATTTCACATTGAGAAAAATCAGTAGTCTAATGGTTGACCACAAAAGGAAATGGAAATTTGGTCATGTCTGTGTTTTGAAAATAAACTTTAAGCAGAACAAACAATGTTGAGTACCTGCTATCAAAAGCCAGAGCAGAGAGGCAGCGCAAAGAAACAAAGGGGTGTGTCCAGTGCTGGGGTAGATTCACTTAATGGAGTAGGACAATCAACATGGCTGGGCTTTAACATGGCCCTCACTGACCCAAGCTGCCCTGAGCACCTGGACTAAGTGGTGGGAACTCAAAATTGTGGAGTCTGTGGGCTTGGCAAAGCTTGGACATACCGTACTGAGGCTGACATCCTTTGATGTAGCGGATGACGCTGATGGCTGTCAACGTGTTGATGCTGATGAGGCCAAAGAGCAGGATCAAGAATCCATCCACCTGGCCAAGGTACAACATCTCATGCATCACAAATTTATGGCTTTTCTCTGCCAGCACAATGCTGTAATTGCTCTAACGTGTGTCATCACCCACTAACCAGTCCCCTAAGAAGCAAGCCAGCAAGATTAGAGGATAACTGCACATGCCTGGGTGTTGGAATGAGTTCAGATGATACAGCTCCTCCCCACCTCTCCCCTCATAACACCACCTGTCAGTGTGGGGCACGAAGCACTATGAAATGCTTATGAAATACTGAGATAGTGTTACTTTAGGGAGCAGCTTCTTGAGAAGACATAATGCAGACAGAGTGACAGACTTATACATGATACATGAGGAGTGATGAGCAGCCCTGAATGGCGTTGGCATATGGCAACAATAACTTTTTTTAAAATTCTCATGTGTTTCCACCATAGAAGTATTTTTTTTTTTTGTGGAATAAAAAGTTGTTCTGAGTAATGTGACCTACATTTATCTGATTTCAGGCTTCTGAAAGTGTGTTTAGATGTTTAGATGTTATGGGTTTTATGTGAAACAATAAAACATAATTGTTGCCAAATGGCAACAGCAAGCAACAATGTAACTGCAATCAGCAATGCATATGATGTTAATTAAACTTTCATTATACACATTGGTTACTGCTGTTTTTTTTTTGATGTTCCAAATATTGTCATGTTGTCACTATATACACTATAGAAAGAAAAAAACACAAATACACACAAAAAAAATCTGAAAAGGAAATCTACGAATTCTTTAACATTGCAACATCTTCCCACGTGCAAAAAATCCTCTGAGGAGTGGTCAGTCATAGCAAAGTATTGTTATTCAGGACAGAAATGCAACAGTAGCAAAAAAAATTAAAAAAGGTACTACCTTACCTTACATGTCCAAAAGGTCCGAATGAGGTATCCCTCATCTTTGAATACATCAAAAACTTCAAGGATTCCACGAGAATACCCAAAAATGGCAATGCTAGCATCAGATACTGCGAGGTTAAGTGTTAAGAAATCCTGTGGTTCAAGAGATTTCCACTGTTTGGTCAAAAGTAAAATCACAACTCCATTTCCAATCCAAGAGAGCCAGCCTATCAAATAAGAGAAAACCAAGCATCACATGAGCACCAGTTTTCCTAAAACAGTTTCATAAAAAGTCCTAGATTTGTAATTAACAATTCCAAAATGACAGTGTAATACTAGATCTTATCCCAGTGGGAACTTAATGTTTAGAATAGTCAGAAATTGTAACAAACTAAATAAGTAAACTATCTGAATTATTACCTAACATCACCAAGTAGACACCAATGGCTGTCTCTCCTCCTTCAGACACACGGTACACCGTAACATTTGAGAAATTGTGAGAATCCATTGTTCTGAGAAACGGTACTGAGATGAAATCTGAACTTGGTTATATTGGACTCATCTCAGGACTAAGTGTCCACTGTACTGGGGTTCGCACTCTTGCTGCCTTTGTCTTGGTAAAGACAATGTTGATGAGTGAGGCAGGATATGACAAATCAACTAGTCCACCCCAGACACGCTGCTCTTAATTGACAGTTGACCGAATTGTAACGGAGCATCGTGCTGTACGTGAGATTATGGACAATGTGCTAATTTCTTAATCGTGTTAAGGATTGAGATCGTCTGGGGCAGCTTCAGCGTCTGCCACCAAATCACTTAAGACACTTACCTCTGCTCTCTGACTCTTCAGATGTCAACAGGTCTGTTAGCTACGAAGATGTAAACATGTTGCTAGGACTGGGACCCTTTCCTGACCTAGTTAATCTCGCTAAACAGAACTAAAAAACTGATTTAGATTCTCAGCATATTTGGACATACAGATATCTGGTCTTCATTTGAACTATGTTGATAGATAAAGATTATATAGTTTAACAAGTGACACAAATTAACATTTTTGTTACCCTTTATATAATTGAAATAAACAAATGCATTTTCCTTCTGTGGAAAAAGTAAATGCAACCTTATAAATATCACTTCTTCAAATTCAGGTGCCAATGATTAAAACACCATTAGAGAATATATTGGAGGAACTGGTCTTGTTTACAACTCAGATATCTGGTCTGATTTGAGAAGTGTTTTTCTAAAATTTTAGAAATCAATCCTTCCACTGTCTGGAAGATCATCTACAAGTAGAGAAGATTTAAAACCACTGTTTGGGCCAGGCCAAATTGAATCCAAGAGCAGACAGTAAGATGCTAAAAGAAGTCTCTAAGTACTCATTTCATTACAGACTCTGCAAATAACTCTTGCTCCTATGAATATCAAAGTGCATGCATCTACCACTAGAATGAGACTACACAAATTTAACCTACATGGGAGGTGTGCCAGAAGGAAGCATTTGCTGTCTAAAAAGAACATCTGGGCAAGGCTAAAGTTTGCTAACAAATATCTAGGCAAGGACCAGGACTTCTGGAACAATGTGCTATGGACAGTCAAGTCAAAGGTAGAGTTGTTTGGCCACAGTACCAGAAGCCCTGTTTGGTAAAACCTAAGACTGCATTTGATCAGAATAACCTCATACTGACTATAAAGCTTGGTGGTTTAAATGTTGTGGTTTGGGCTGCTTTGCTGCCTCAGGGCCTGGCCAACTTGTAATCATAGAATCGACTATGAATTCATACCAGAGAGTGCTTGAGGAGATCGTAAGACCATCTGACAAGAAGTTGAAGCTGAAGAAGTGGACCTTACAACAGGATAAAGATCCCAAACATACAAATAAATCCACCAAAGAAAGGCTCGAAAGGAAGAAATGGAGGGCTGTGGAATGGTCTAGTCAAAGCCCAGCTCTAAATCCTACTGAAATGCTGTGGGGGGGACTGTGGGCTGTACATGCAAGAAGCTCCTCAAACATTGCACAGTTGAAATAATGTATGAAGGAGTGGGCAACCATGTCTCCCATTAGATGTCAGAAACTGGTATAAAGTTACAGGAAACTCCTACATAAAGTTGTTTCTGTCAAAATGGGCTATATCAGTTATTGAAGCCAGGGATGTGCTTACTTTTTCAACAGAAAAAAAGACAACAATCTCAGTTAATTTACTTTGGAATAGATGAATGAAAATTCAAATTTTCTTTGTTTTTTCTTCTATTATGTTTCATTTATCTATATATACAGTTTAGCTGATGATAAAATACTGGTATACCCACATATGTTTAAAAAAAAAAATAATGGGGTGTGCATACTATTTCCAAATGGCTGTAAACAGCAAGCTGGACCAGAATATGGGCAAGAATTGCACAGAAACAAGGAGACTATTTGTGTAAGACTGTTAAACTTTATTGTTGAAAGTGTTAGCTATGTGATTTCATTAAATAACAGTAAACTAAACATTATAAAGTACATTATCAGCAATTCCATGGTTAGAAGGACAATGTTGTATAAATGGAGAGGTTCTGATTGCAGATTTGAATGCTGGAAAAAGGGCCCTGGGCGTAATCTTAAAGCTTGCTACTTCTGACCCAGTTGGGAGAGCTGTGGAGAAATGAGAGCAATGAGAGAAACGAGAGCAAACTGATCAAGCATGTCACCACACTGAAGTGAGATTCAATTAATTATTTTTTTTTAAACAAACAAAATCAAACAGTGTGAATTACTGCACTAGGTGGTATTTTTGCCAACACTTTGCATAGCTTTGCATGCCTAAGGAAAATGATACAGAGTGGAGGAGACATGATATAATTAGTTATTCATGCAGAGAATTAGAGGATAGTATATTTACTGGTAATGCAGGTGAGGACAAAAATGGGCAAAACCAGCTGAAAATATTTACTGAAGGACTGACACGTTATGACTTGATGTCAACTTTGTTAAGACAAAGTGCACTGAGGAAGATTAGCTTAGGGGAGCAAAAAGCATTCCAGCACCCTCAAAGCAGTGTCGTCCCAGTGCTCTCTGTCAGTGACAGTTCATTTTTAATGGGTTTAGTCCATGAATGTGAAATATTCTTGTTACTTGTCATTCTCAGCTTAACTGTGACGCAAACTGTCACACCAGGGCAGCCATACTTTTAGTTAAAACTGATCAACTTTTCCTGACAAATGGTTTGTTTTTTTTAATGGTGGTGCAGTCTTGTACATGCTGAGTAGGGTAAATACCTGTTTCATGAACTGTGTTGCACTGAACAGCTCACTGCAGCCATACATCACTCTTTTACCCTGCTTGGCCTGCAAAAAAATACATAAATAAATAAAAATCACCATATTATTCTTATATAATGCGCACAATATTCCTCCAGGACAAAGTGTCATTCAGCACTGTAAGAGCATACCTTTGCGTAGTCAACAAGATTTTGATATTCTATATAATTGCCCCCACCAACAACAAAGACAATGGCCTGTAAAATAACACAGAGACATCAGATGCTTAATCATTATATAAATAAAAGATTTAATGCAAAAAAAGTTAGTGCAACACAAATGTTAGTGCAAAACAGGATGCGAGGCCCTGAGCTACCATTAACTTTCCAGGCCTCTTAATTAGCTGCTATGCAGCAGGGCCTAATCCAGAGCTCAGGACAGAAGGCTGAAGGCCATCTGTACTGCCTAAACACAGATTAACACCCAGACCCTGCCAGAGTATAGAATTTAGGTGCCATAATCGCCCATATACAACATCTTGAAAAAAGTTCCCTTAAACTGAAATCAAAACTCTTTAATCCTCTTTCACTTCCCCCTCGTTCCAGCCCATCTATGATTGAATGAAATGCTCAGCTAGCTCAGAGACTCCATAATATCTTCACTTGGAAATACGTCAGGCCGTGTGATGAAAATGCATTAAGAGTTCAGATTCATGTTGCCTTTACATTACAAAAATTTCAAAAAGTATTTGTTTTGTTTTGATAAAGTGACTAAAAGGTTACTGCCTTCTGAAAAAATGCTGCTGTATAAGTATTTCTCTAGGCGCTATCCTTATATAGGTATCTAAGTTATGCTTAAATCTCGAATAATACATCTTTAATCTAGCCACTCTGCCCTAACAGTAATTATCTACCCATTAGCTACTATCAATTATTCAAGCTTACCTCCTGAAATGGGTTCTTGTTCCTTGGAATGGAGCTGGGAAAGTAAATTGTATAGAGGAGTTAATTCATCCTCATTAGTAGTGAGTGAATACAGCTAATAAAATAACATTTGTTTTACTCTAAATATTCTGAGGTGGAAAATTACAGTTCAACTTTGTTACATACAAATCAGACATGAGGCAAAGACACAACTGAGTTTAAATTCCTACCATGATTAAATGGCTCTATCATAATATTTGAATAATGCCGGATCAGATAAAATACACAGATAAAATGGAATTGGTTCCAAAAACTACTCCAAACTATAGGATCCTACCTTTCACTACCGCGAAGCATCTTTGGGTCAAAGTATCTGTAGTCATCTGTCTCCTGCAAAAACACAGCAAAAATCAGGCATCACGAAACACATGGACAAATTAACAGCTACAAAAATCCCACTCTCATCAGTCTGCATTAAAGCCTTATCAAGAAGCTAATGCTTCCCGGCAACCATTTTTTCAGGGGTGATGACCCTCAAATTGCAGAATCCTGCAGAAAAACTCAGACGCTACCGTCCCGTTTATTTCCGCAAAATTTGAGAGAGCTGTCTCTGGAGACAGCGGCCGATGGCTTTGGTCCTCCTCACTCATCCTCCCTACTGGCCGCGGCCAAGCCTGTCTCCTCTCCCACAGGACCTCAGTCAGCCTAGCCTGGCAGGCCTGCCGCTCCCGCACATACTTTACCACAAGAAGAAATACTTTGCCGTCAGCTCACTGAAAGAGGAGCACTATGGGTGCTTCCAAAGGGCTAAATGCTCCAGATTTTTGTGCTATCAGTTTACCCCTTTGCTGGGCAATGGCTAACACTAATCACAAGTCGGGAACACAGCTCTTAGAGCCTGGTACTATTGTTTTCGCGGCCACTCCAGGTCCATTACACGTGTCTCTGTGAGGACCATCTGAGGAGGGGGCAAAGGCAGTAGAATCTGGATAGCTCTCTACCTCTGCTTTTCCTAACAAGAGCTGTATTGTACGGTGCTCTGTAACTCCAGTAGCTGAGAAAATGATAATATTGTTATGTCCGATTCAAGTGTATGGACAGGGGGATGCCGGTTTTGGGCAGAAGCACTTCCAGTCTGTAATGAGATCTGGTAATCTGTCTGCCAGAGCTTTTTGAAAGAGTGAGGAACATCAGAGAGAAGCTGAGGATGTTTTAGAAGAAAATAACTTCTTTGTGTCGCAGAGAGATGGAGAGAGCAGGAAAAGAGTGGGTTAGTAGTATATAAACGACACTCTACAAGAGATAAGATGTTAGCAAGGTGATAAAGTTCCAGAAATAAGACATTACAGGGGGAGGCCATCAAATTTGTTGAAAAAGTGTCTAGGGAGTCTCATGCTTCTAGACAGCATTCTCTAGAACTCTTATTTCAGAAGACTTCCAGAAGTCTTATTATTGGAAGGGTGTCGAAAATTTGCCACATCATATCCTCTTTGCACAGTTCCACATTTATAAAAGATCAGCATCAGTCATTCCCCCCACACAACCTCGGCAGTTAGAGACATTTTCAAAGGCAGACTTTTCCTTCAAAATGGTCCAACAACAACTTGAAACAAACCAGTGTGCTAAAGGGGAATTTCGCTACCAACACAAGGCTCATGGGATACAGGGGGACTTTGGGAACTTGCTTGACCAAACCCACCCAGTTTAAAAAGATCCGTTTTTGTTGCATCTGGATTTAAGGAACTGTGGTGTTAATAAGGCTAATTCTTCCTGAGATGTATA